GGAAAAGGGGGTCGAGTGATACTTCTTTTTGAAGGTATTTTTGCCCTGATTATACCCTCCAAGTTTAAACTCGCTGCTATCATCCCCATTAATATGAGAGCTTGTTAAAATCTTGAAAATTGGCTATTATTTTAGTAAGAGTAAAAGCAATACTTTTGAGACGGTCTGTAGGTATGCTGAAGGAATGAAGTAAATATTAGCAAAACATCAGTTTTTTTACGTTTGAAGAAAAAAATGTGTTTTTTGTAAACTTTATTTACACAATATTGTCGCACAATCATCATTAAGATTATTATCGTTAGTTCGAGAGCTTATAACTAAATTTAATTATGGTATACACTATAGCCGAGCGAGTTGAATTAGTTTATACTTATTTCAAAAACAATGACTGTGCAAGACAAACAGCACGACTATTTAATGTAAGACATCAGGACAAAAATGTCTCTCATACTTATATTAGGAAACTGATGGTAAAGTTTTTGGAAACTGGAACAGTGGAGAACAAAAAAGATAATCCGATTCGTGTCGTTAGGAATAAAGGTATGCAAATCGCAGTCATAGGGCACATTGCAATGGATAACACCTTAAGTACTAGGCAATTGTCCGAAGTTTCCGGCATATCACGAACAAGCGTAAGGAGAATTTTGAAGGTTCACAAATTTTACCCCTACAAGATACAATTGCTTCAAGAACTTAATGAGGATGATTATGATCGACGATTACAATTTGTAGAAGAAATGAGTGAACGGTGTGTTGGCAATCTAAATTTTCTTTATAATGTCTGCTTTTCAGATGAATGCTCCTTTTTTTACATGGATTAGTCAATCGACATAATTGTCGATACTGGAGCGATTCAAATCCACATTTATTTAGAGAGTCTTATACTCAAAATCCTGAAAAGTTAAATGTCTGGGCAGGTATTCTAGGCAATAACATAATTGGACTATTCTTTTTACAAGGCAATTTCACTGAGGCTATGTATCTCTTTACTTGAAGAAAATATTGTTCCTAGAATAAGGGAAGTTATTGCTGAAGATAATAATTTGTCGCAAAATGAAATGTTTTTTCAACAAGATGGAGCCCCACCACATTATGCAGCACCCGTTCAGCAATTTCTAAATGAAAATTTTAGAGACCATTGGATTGGCCGAAGAGGACCTATTGAGTGGCCTGCAAGGTCCCCTGATCTTTCACCTCTGGACTTCTTTCTATGGGGCCATTTGAAGTCTAAAATTTATAAAACACAGCCAGCTTCTCTTCAAGTTCTACAAGAACGAATAACTGAAGAGTGTCAAAGGATAACTACCGATATGTTGCAGAATGTTAGAGAAGAGGTAGAGAATCGATTTTATTATTGCATGAATGTTAATGGAGGACATTTTGAACAGTTTATTAAATAAATATCATGTAAATAACTTTTTATTAATAATAATAAAACTTTAATTAGTAGATATTTTTATTAAGGAAGGTAAGTATTGTTTTTACTTATAATAAAACGTGATCTATTTCCAAGATTTTAACAAGCTGTCATATCAACGGGGATGCTAGCAGCGAGTTCAAACTTGGAGGGTATAATCAGGGCAAAAATACCTTCAAAATGAAGTATCATTCGACCCCCCTTTCCTATTTAAATTTTGGGGGTAACTATCACCCACGCTTTGGGGTTGAAGTTAAGGGGTTGAAAATATAAAAATAAATTGTCCCCCTCAAATCTGAAATCGACGGGTGCGAGCGTTTTTTATTTTTTTTCGTAACACCTGAGAAAATCGGGGTGGAAACTTTCCATTGGCCCACCCTGTATAAACTTCTACATGCAAATTATTTTTCTACGAGAGACATCATTTTTAAGTTAGGCCTTCAAAGGGCATAATATAACGTGTTTTACAATATATTATTTATATATTCTTTTATTTATAAACAATATTATAAAGTAAATTAAAGAACTAATGTCAAAAACGTAATGTTGTCGCACGCGGACAATTTATAAAACGAGCGACGAAGGAGCGAGTTTTGTAATGGACGAGTGCGACAAAAGGTCTTATGATATGAGTTCTTTATGCTATTTTATCTATTTTGCAAAAATTCTATAAAAAAATTAATGTTAAGTATACCTTACATTTAATTTGGTCGAATTTTACTTTAGATAGTTGGTATCACAGTCATTGGTTTGACAGTTAATGTCAAAATTGATTCGCCATGCCGTCCTTATTTTACTTATTTACAATAAGCGGCTGTTCATGTTAAAGAAGAAAAAAAGGATTTTCTTTGGTGTTTAAACAAAATTTATTGCCAGAAAAGTCTCGTAAGTACTAGAAAAATCATAAAAATATTATAACCAATATGCAAAATATTATGCTGTTTAAAGTATAGCCAACCTATAAAATCAAAATTTTGGGTGGTATAAAGTATCTCATTACAACACCGAAAGCGGTGTTATAATGAAGTCATTATGAACGCAAAATAGATAAAAGGATTTTTTGATATAAAGTGTCAGAAATTACTGTCAACCAAGTCATTATTTGCAGCGTTTATGTAAAATTCATTTCGGACAGTTATGTTAATATTTTAATCCTAAACATAACACACTATTGGCACACTCTGTATATTTTTTAAATCTAAACAATAAACTTTAAATATAAAAAAATTAAGCTGGTATTCTAAAAATAAATGCATTTTTATTTGCCGATCCCATTTTGTTTTGTTTTTTTTTATTTAAAAAAAACTAAGCTGTATTTAAAAAAAATAAATCTATATTTTGTAATAAAATAACGTTTAAAATGTCATTTTTATATTATTACAAATTTAATAACTTCATTAGCTTTGTAAATTCCTGGGCAGGTGCAAACTGACATAACTCCGATTCAATTTAAAACTGATTTATAATCTCTTAGTTTGTTATGGTTTTGTAATGGGTTTCCGCTAATAAGTTTTACAGTTTTTTTCTTGCAATTTCATGTTTAACAACCTATCATAATATGTATATATAATTTTACGGATCATAGAACGCAGCCGCACGTTTTTAGACTTAATCTGGGTGGCCTCGTAGGTTCACTTCTTGTGTAAAATAAATATTAAAATTGTTAAGTTATCCCACCTTTCAATTAAATATTGTAATGTGGCAACTATATTAATTAATATATATTATTAATAAGAACCTTGAGTATGAGGGTTAAAAACACTCATATAAAATTTCTTAATCCCGGTGCATTCGCCATAATTGAAAAAATTGCGCGATAATGAAATATATCACAACAACCAGCCATTTAAGTTAACTGGTGCATTTTATTAGCATTCCTGTTTAATTATCTGATAAAAATATTAAAAATCGTTTTTTTATTATAATTGTTTTGGTCGACCGACATAAATAATAGCAACAAAAATGTAAATGTAGAGTTTATTTTATTTCTACCAACGAATATTTTGGTGACCTGTTTTGGTGTTATTTAAACTTTAAAGGGCACAATTTAACATTTTAATTTTTCCTGTTTGCCTTAATATAAATAAAATACTTTTTAAAGGGAACCATCGCAATTTACATACCCATTAATAAACAGTGTCATCATCACAGTTGCCAAATCTAAAAATCTGGTCAAAATATTAATTATAATAAAAATTTAGAAAAAACTTATAATTTTAAACTTCTAGAGGAATGGAATTTTAGAGTAATGATAATTTAATTTATTTACATTTTTCATTATTTTGTGTTACAACGTTATAAAAAAATGTCCAGTTACCTACTGACGAGTTACTGACTGATTAGTTACTGCCAAACTTGGAAATTTTGGAAATTTTAAAAACTTTGCAAATTTTAAACAAAAAAAAACTAGTAAAAAAGTTACCTACTGACGAGTTACTGACTGATTAGTTACTGCCAAACTTGGAAATTTTGGAAATTTTAAAAACTGCAAATTTTAAACAAAAAAAAACTAGTAAAAACATTAAAAAAATCTTTGAACTAAGTTTAGTTGGTCAAATACTCCAATGTTTTAATTTTGTTACCCTGATTCATGACAATCTTGATGAGGAGATTAAATGTTTATTTTTGTGGGTTGCTTCCATTTTGCATTACCATTTCTATAATTATGTTGTAACATTATAGTTTTAATTATAAAAAAATAAATGGAAATGCAATTATATATTATTATAAACATAATACCATTGGATACGCATGATGATTTGATATATAAATTGTATTTTGATTAAACATGTTTAGATCGAATTAATTTATTAGGAAGACATTATAGCGGCAAGGTCGTTAATCTTACAATTTTTATGCTTTCTGCACCACAAATGTATTTAATTTCACTTTCTTTTAAAATTCGCCGCCAATTTAGGATGAAGGAAAGGTAAATTGATGTTTTATTGCAACAAGTATCATAGTGGTTAATTAACTGTCTGAAGCATGACTCATTTCTGCATGTTGTGATCTTTTAACTTATCTTTATTATTGCGAAACTGCTGACTTATCAGCGTTTACAGTATTTTTATGTGGTTGTCTCGTTTTAAAATTTTTGTTGACAATTTTGTCATCATTGGAAAATATTTCCCTCGTGGGAGTAGGTAGTAAATATGTGCAAATTATGTTTTCTTCTCTATGATTTATAGTTCGTGTAGCACGAATGTGTATGATTTGTCACTTTTTTACATGATAATAGAATAATGGATGGTTATCAAATTTTACTTGAAAGCGATATGACTCTTAATAAATGCATGCATACTAGAACTTTGAAAGTTAAATAAATTATGTATATTTATTACAGTCACTTGATAAGAAAAAGTAATTTTCATGACATTTAAAGTCCCTGAATACTCTTTAATCTAAATTTAAAGTGTAAATATTTTTTTTGGTAAATTATATTCAACAAATTATGTTTTTAGTATTTATGTTTTTAAATGTTAAGTGAAATAACACTTTGTAATTATAGACATTTAAAGTCAGTCAATTAAGTTATTATTATAATTGTAGTTTTTTCGTTGATTTATAAATTATATTGTTTCAGGAATTTCGGGATAGTCCGGTGGTAGCCTCGACTTCTTCAAATTTGGACCATGGCCATGTTAACCCCATTTCTAATGGAGAATTTACGATATTCACTCCATTATCACCTCCACATCAAAATAACAACGTGTTTCTTGCCAATCAACAGATAATAGTATGTATATTTATTTTTATTGTTATATGATTTTATTTAATTAAATTTCAGACTAGAACCCCTGATGATTATACTTATGGAGATGTAGACGTCAGTAATTGGTTTGGTAAGTATAATAAAAATAGAAATAAATTCATTTTTTACTTATTTTATGTTGATGTGTTTACAGGTCCTGGAGAAAAAGAGTTTCCAAGAAATAAATTAAAATACATAAAGGAACTTGGAAGAGGCTGGTTTGGAAAGGTAAATTAGTATATAAGAAATGTTTTTTTGTATTACACACAAAGTTTTAATTTGTATTTGCTTATTTTGAACTATTTGAACTCCATGTCTCATTTTAGGTTGTGGAAGGTGCTGCCCAAGAAATAGGCAACAATCACCAGCAATGGACTCCCGTGGTGGTTAGGATACTTGAAGCTTCAGCTTCGAGCCGAGAGCGGGTGATTTTTCTCCACGACGCTTCGATTTATAGGTGCGGTACTCACCCTAATCTGCTCAAGCTGATTGGACGATGTCTTGACACCATACCTTTGTTGCTGCTTCAAGAGTATTGTCCTCAGGTATAAAAAATTAAAATTAATCAATCAATTTAGATACTATAATTATTTTTTATACTTTTACCCATGTTATACCACATAGGGGGTATAGTATAAAAAACTTGCCAATGCTGTGTTCTTACTGAGCGGTTGTATGTCTATCTAAAAAGGGTTGCTTTGGAAACAAAATAACAAGGCCTCTAGCAGCATTATATCCTTATATTTATCATTTTATGTAAATAAGTATTCTTAAAAAACTAAAATAAATCATTTTTTAAACCCTTATAACTCGAAAACTATTTGTCAGAAATGTTTACAACGTGGTAGGTATATCGTGGTATATTCGGGACACCCTGTGAATTAAATTTTTCCATTTAAAATAATAATTTTCACATAGCAATTTTTCATTAATTATCATTTGTTACAGGGAGACTTAAAAAACTACTTGAGACTGAACAAGTTAAACTCTGAAAATTCAGTATTATCAACTGAGTACCCCTTAATATGGAGTTGCCAACTGACGTCAGCTTTAAAGTTTCTTCACGAAAAAAACGTTACTCATCCGTAAGTATGCGATACAATGTAATTTCAAGTCGGTGCGGTCATCCATGCTTATGCCACCCAAAACCATTACAGATTTGATTCCAAATCTGTTGATTTGCTACGTAGAGCATATAAAGGGCGATCTTTAACCAAAGCAACAGCTCTCGCTACTTCAATTTCACTGAGTGAGCGTATTTCATATATGAAAATCAAAAACTGACGTTTATTTTTTCCATAGGCTATTTGAAACTATTTTTAAATTTGCTAAATGATCTTGGATTTAGAATAAATGTTTTATTTGTCCACATGAAAAATTGTGATAGGTCATTCAGTAAAAATATGAGGATCTTTCAAAAACGCGTTTTGCAAATTTATTTGAGCATTATTGCATTATTTTCAAAAAAATGATAAAATTAGCTTGACACTGACAAAAATTAACCTTAATTATTTCTATTAGTCAGTTTTTGGTGTGGACCTTTATTATAGAGAATGAAAAAGTGGACTAGTCTTTTCTGCGAACGCTATTTGGCTCAACATATCGCACACTCAGTTTAAGGCCAAAAGTAATTTAAAAAATATATATTTGTGGGTTCTAGTTTATTAAATTTTTTTTAAAATGATATATAACAACCTGCATTTTTCTTAAAAAACAACAAAATATACCTACAAAATAAAATCCATGTAGTCTACTAGACTTCTACAAAATTGTCATCTTTAGCCATATTTCGTTTGTTCTCGACAAAAAAATACCATGTTATATATTAAACAAAAGGATTTTTAATGATAGCTATAATAGTAAACAATCTAAAGAATGATTTTGCTGTATTATTCAAACTTCATATTTTTTTTATTATGACATTTTTTAGTATCAAGATCCACATTACAATTATTGTTAGTTATTAACTATTTTCTCAAAATATAAATATAACATCATTTGACTTTGGCCTAGCCAAATCTATCTAAATTAAGTGGGGTGAAATTTAAAAAAAACTCGACGAGCGATTTGGTTAAAAAACTATTTGTATAAAGGAAGTGATATTTATTTATATTTTTGTTAAAAATGAAATATTTGTTTTTTTCTTATTTTTTTTAAGTACAGTATAGAGGTGTTCTTATTTAATTACAGAAATTCATTTGCATACTTTATTTTTCCTAAAATTCTTTAAAAAACCTTTAAGTTCCTAAATAAAATTTGTAATTTAGTCGTGGGAGCCCTGAGTTTTGCAAAGGTTAAAGGATTTTTTTGAAGAAAGTAAGGACGACAATCCAATGGGTTTTAATTAATATATTTCGTAAACGTCTATATTTTTTAGAAAGATTTTATTTCATTATTTAAAGAAAATATGTTGGATTTGCCACAAGTTTATCTCATATTTTCTTATTATGTTGCATTAATAAGGTTTATGACATTTTAACTTTTTGTGATATTTTATTTTAATAAAAAAAAAAATTATTTAATTAGAAACTAAGAAAACTTCAAGACTGTGTAGGTACCTTTACTTTTTGGTTTTGGTTGAGACGACTCCAGTGACTTATAAAAATCATGATAGAGTTTGAGCTCTTTATCAAATATAATATATTATTATTATATCTAACATATAAAATTACATGTCGTGACGCCCAAACCAAACTCCTGGATTTTAGTCTGAAACTTTGACAGTAACCGTTTTTTTGAAATTCCATCCTCAAGGGGGTAAATTGGAACATTGGATAATTTATTTTGTCGCATTCGCCATTTTTGAGAATAACAACTAAACGGATTTTGATGAAATTTGTTTTAAAAGTGGACGAAACAAAGAAAAATCATTATACAGTGCGACCCATTTGTTTGCGACTCACCCCTATAAAATCTTTATTTATTGTGCGATTTTAACCGGATTTTATTTAAAGTTTAGATCTTGATAAACTGTATTTTTGGAGCAAATTCCATACTTTTACAAAATTGTAGAGAGTAAATTTTTAACAATTCATATTGGCGACAAAAAAAATCCTTGTATTGGATTCACCACCCCTCAAAACAACCCTATAAAAAGTTAGAAAAGTAGAACAGTTTTTGAGATATAGTAAATTTTCCATATAATATGGAATTGACTATATCTCTAAAACTGCTTTACTTTCATAATTTTTACATTTTTAGATTCAGGGTTTATTTTACATTATAATTGTCTTTTAAATGTTGGGGATACCATGGTATGCCATGGTTAATAACTGTAGTACTGTACTAGTTTTTATAGAAATTTTGTATCGTGCTTTTGTTTAAAAACTATACTAATGTATGTAAATCTATATTCACGTACGGCTATTGTTTTGCAAAGAAATTAAAGTTCGTCTTTTTTTTTATAAGTTTTTATATAAAATTGCATTTGGTCTTGCCACAACATTAAGAGAACTTAGATTAATTTAGGCACCATGTATTTTTATATGGTGGGTGCGTACTTAGACAATACAGATATTTTAGTGCAATATAAATTTATGTTTGTTTAATGAAGTTCTTAAAAATAGTACTTAAGCTATAATGGTTTCTTAAATTTATCCTAAGGTTGTTTAAGTATTTAAAAACCACTATAACTCAAAACTGTTGATTTTTGAGGTATGGTGTTCTTGAACTGGATGTGCGATGTTATGCCTTGTTGTCCAGAGTCACTACTCCATTATTTTATTAAAAGCTTTTTGGATTCCCTTTACGTTCACATATATTGATTTTCTTAGATGGCTAACTTCACGATTTCGAATTTTGGCTAGCTGCCAAATGAAGTATAAATTAAATTTTTTTGCAATCTTGACATCATATTTCTTAAGGTAGTTGACGTGGTACAGTATTGTTAAAATTTTTTAGATTATACGCACTGTAAAAGTATACGAGCTTGTAGCTAAGTGATTCATAATTTTTTCGCAAGACTGGTGACGTTACCTTTACGTAATACTTTCAAATATTTTAGTAAGTTTTAATCCGGCAACGTCGCTTATGCTCAACCAATAGATATATTGGAGACTGCAGTCTGTTTCAATTTACTGCGGAAATAATATCTATACTCGCGTACAGCGTTGCCAAGTTGTTTTTATCTGACACTAGTGATGTATACTTTTCACAAATTGTTGAACTTTAAACGGTTATTTATAAACAATTGGACGGTCAAAAATTTTTAATTATTTTTTTTTAAACTCAGCAAAAATACTTTAAAAGACTGTTAGTTTTTTGAAAGCTTCTGACAGTTAGTTTTTTTTATAACTAAGTAACTGGTACAGAACTACAGAAATCGTATACAATCCATGTTAATTATCCAATTTTTAATTGAATTTATCTCGGGTTATAGACGGTCAATCGACTTCAAATTTTAAGGATAATTGTATTGTCATGTCCTTAATAAGTATACAAAATCTTAAAATTTTGTGATGGTAAGCTTACAGCACGACAACTACCTTAAAAGCGTCACCGGTTGCGAACGTGTTTTGATAATTATACAAACGATTTTTAAAATGTAGGCTTGATAAATTATTTCGTTTGTTTAGCGATTTGGCAAGCCGAAACTGCCAGCTGACGTCGAATCTCACTCTGAAGCTGGGCGACTACGGCCTCGCCGTCCAGCGCTACCCGCAAGACTACTATCAGGGATCTGAGGGCGTGGCGGTCAGGTGGTGCGCGCCCGAGTCCCTGATCTGCACGTCGACCACCATCCAACCGAAAAAGATCACCAAGGAGGCGAACGTGTGGTCGCTGGGCGTGACGATATGGGAAATATGCGAGTGCGGTGAGCAGCCGTACGTGACCCTGACCGACGACGAGGTGGTGTCGCAAGTCTTAGGATCTCCAAATTTTAGACTGACTAGACCTACTTTTACAGTACTTTATACAGATTATATGTGAGTATATCTGAACTATGCACTAATCAACTTTATCTACTACTTTGTATTTTAAGAACTATTAATGTATTTACAGTACACGATGGTTTTATTAAATATCCCTCGAAAATCTATAAAATCGACAAAATAATAAAACAAAATTATTAATTTTTTTTACATACGCTAAAGAAGCATCGCTAGTGCTTTTAATAAGCAGCTGTCATACGCTTATGTTACAAACAAGTGTTTTTGAGAATAAAGCCGAAAAATGTTAAAAATATCGATGATGATGGTATGATTTGTTATGTTGTTGGATGTTTTTCGAGAGGAAATCCTGGATTGGGTTTTTTCCAATAAACAGTGGAAATCCGAATGGTGAAATAAATTGCATACAGTTCCTGTAAATATAAATTGTACCTATTAGAAACAATAAATTTACATTTTAGTTACGTAAAAATTGTAAACATTTCAATTCATAAAACAAATAGTCCTCTAAATTCAAACCGGTATTATATTATGCTGCGGGCTGAGTTATGCTCGGCGATAATACGTGCTTTCTTAACCTGGTCTATAATGTACTATTTAAATATAAAAAAGTTAACTAAATTAATAAATTTGAAAAACACGAAAAAAAATTAAAAACCAATTGAGACAGATCTTCCATTAAATCCATAATGCTAATCCTTTAAAAGAATCGTTTTTTTCACCTAGGGTAACTATTTAAGGTATGGCCCATTGGAAAATTGAATTGTTTTTTTAAAACACCGTAATACATACTGGGTGCCCCTTAATTAGCGTGCAATACTTTAACAGTAAATTCTAGTACAAAAATAGGAAAAAAAATCCTTAAAACATAGATCAAGAAATACTTCCTAAGGGAGCTACAGCCCCCGAAAGTGGAGCAACTGATGATGGTTTTTATTTAATATCTCCAAAACCGTTTAAGATGGAAAAGTTAAATTTTAAGAATTGATAAAACTTCCTGTTACATTGCACCTGTCTTGAGTAATTTTTAGTAAACATGGCAGCCGTTTTCCATGGCCCAAGCTGAATCTTTTTCTCTAGTTGTGATTTTATTATGAATTTTTATTCCATGTAAGGTAATTTTCAAATCGATTTTAAGCGAAAATGGTAAATATTATCGAAGTTTAACAAGAGAACCTTTTTTGTGTGTAAACCCCAAAATAAAATAATCTGACATCATACCCTGGGGACAAGACACGTAAAAAAAGTAAGGGTGGTTTTACCCTTACTCCCTATCTATCTGGCCCACCCCTCATGAAAAATTTGAAATTGTTGTTATTACATGTTATTGGCCATAAAAAATTTAATCAATTCCCAAAATTTCACGTTTCTATCTCAAACGGTTTTGTAGATATAAAACCACCCTCAGGGGCTCCTCTTTTGGAAGCATTTCTCGACCTCCTTAGGAAGCATTTCTCGACCTGTTTAAATGAACTCTTTTCCTTTAAATCATCCAAGGATAAGCCCCTTTAGTACCTACAGACTTAATTTAAGAAGCGCCCTGTATATATAATATAAAGGATTTTTACAGGGGACCTAGCTTATTTAGGTGGTTTTCTCGCACTATACTATATATATATATAACATTTTTTAAATATGTTACTTCTAACTCCTAAAATATTTACCATTTCTCCTTTTTTGTATAATGCCCTACTATGGAGAAAGGCAGTAACTGCTAAAAAAGAAATTTGTGGAAAATTAGCATAAACTACATTTTTATAAAATGCAGTAGGTATTTAATTGATTTTTTTTAACTTATGAGATATTTGACTCCATTTCTCTGTTGAATTCAGTTACAAAATGTCCATAGCTTTACCATAGCACAAAAAAACGCATTTTGCATTTTTTTGCAGTTACTGCCTTTTTCCATAGTAGGGCAGTATAAAGATCATTATTAAATGGAATAAAAAAGTTATTTTGATAAGTTTTAACATTTTTTTTTTATAAAATATTTGATAAAAAACGCTTTTTTCTTATTCTAGATACCGTTTAATGGAGCTATGCTGGACCAATGCAGAATCACGTCCTTCCGTAGCACAAATCGACTTAATGCTTTCCGATCTGTTGCTAGTCCACAAAAACACGAACGCGTCTTCTAACAGCGCAGCGGCGGTGGAGCCGTCCGATTTCGATAAGCGATGGGAGTCCCTCAAGCCAAACCACATTGTCAAAACCGACAATCACATCACTAGCTCTATAGGCACACTAGAGGGAGACTTCGTGATCGAAATCACGAAGCCCCTGTCTCCCAGCTTAAACAACTTGCACGGTTCGTTGGACAATTTGGCTGGAAACCGTGGCAAGTTGTTGGAGTTCAAACTTGGCCCTGCCCCTCCATCGTTGGACCAAAGCACGTTGAGTGACAGTTTGAACGGTAGCCTGCCGCATAGGAGCAGCGAAAGTGAGACGGAGGACGAGAATTGGAAGAAGAAGATCGAGCTGGGGGCCTATACGGAGAAAGTGCGACAAAAATCCAAGTCTGTAGCCGATCTGATGGTCCTTACTCACATCGATTACTCGGAGTCCGAATCTGAAACGCCCTTGCCCAGTTTAGATTATAGAATTAATTACAAAAACGTAAGATATCCCCCCAAAAGTAACCTGGAGAATGTTAGCCTAACATTCGGCAGCGAGGGAAACTTGCTGAGTGTCCACGACACTTTCCAAGATGAGCTGAAGAAGCTGCAAGAAGAACGTAGAGATAGTCTGCTTTTCGTACCTGATAACCATAGTCAAAATACAGTTAGTTTTAATGAAAATGAACCCTTCGTAGATTTACTAAAAGTGTCAAATATTAATGATGAGTCGCCTAGCAAAAGGCTAATGCAAGAACTGAACAGCGGCGCGGATATTAAACCCGCAAACCAAGTTTACAATGTATTTAAGGTTACCATTGATAAATACAGCCCCTTACATGTAAATAGTGTCAAGTTGCAGGAAATTATTAACTTGGAAGATTACGACGAAACCATTTCAGTTGATGGTCCAAAACTCGCAGAAGAAAACATATCAGAAACAATAAAACCTAAAAAACAAGAAGTTGAAAAGGTATTTATGCATTCTTTGCCAAACCATACAACAGAAGAAAAACCAGAAAAAATTGTTGATTCTCACAAAATTGATTTTGTTGTAGAAGACAAACCACCATTAAACAATGCAGAACCTAAAACACAAAGAATAGAAAATGTGGCGGTAGATTTTTTGCCGAACGACGCAACTGTTGAGGAAAATTCACCATTACACAATAAAAAAACTGATTCAATTAAGACAAGTTACACGGTCCCAACACTGGTCCAATTAATTGAATCAAGAGATGAGCTAATGGATTATATTATTACGAATTACGATCATGACAGTTTAGATGATTCTTTTGAAAAGGAAATTGATGAAGGCCCAGTAAAAAGTACTAGTATTAAGTTTAATTCGGAAAATTTGTATCAAAGTGATAGTATTGAAAGTATTAAATTGAGTGATAGAGGGGAAAAGAAAATGGACGTTAATGTAGCATTTATAAAAGAAGAAAACCAAACTGAAGAAACTAAAAAAGTTGAATTTGATCTCGACCAAGAAGCAACATTGCCAAACTCACTCACACAATCCAGTGTTTTCACCAGCACTCCATTCAGAAAGAAGAGTCTGCAAGAGGTTGAAGAAACGTATCCCAGCTTGAATATATACAACGAAAACGTTGAGGATCCGGAAAAAATTGAAGAAGATCTACAATTTTCATCCAACTTCACTCCCCTGGACGAAAATGAAAGAAACCTAAACTACTCGTTGGAAACCTGGGATAATTTTCTGGGCAAAACCATGGATACGCAGGATCACGAAGAAGAAATGTTTAATAGTCTTATATCGGCACCAAAAAATTTTATCGAATGCGATGAAGTTCTAGATTGTAATCCCCCGGATTTAATAAAGGATTTGGGGGCTTCCGAAAGGCAATACACTCCGGATAATACTCCAGAAAACGAAACGTACGTTTTGGAAAATCCAAGCGATGAAGTGGACGATGCGAGCGAAGACAACACGTTCATCATCAACAGACTGGATGATGATGATGATGACGATGAGAAAGACGAAGGTGGAACGTGGGAATCAGGCGGCGGTTGGTTCTTACATCCTCGATCGAACGACGAAGACGTTTCGGGCGAAATGGAAACAAACACGAAACACAAAGACAGCTACGTCGGTTTCAATATGGACGACGAGATCATGGCTGCCATACGAAACGAACTACTAACAAAACTTCCCCATGCTCAGGGCACAGCCAGTGAGAACGTCAAAGAGGACGAGGAATGGGAGACTGAGGAAAGAAGTGAAGTTTTTTTGAAGTACAATGTTTACCATGCGCCGCTCTCCCCCATTCCCGAAGAGGATAGTTTGTTCGAGAGTTGTTCAGGAGATACCACACCAAGGTAAGTTTAGTACTTTTAAAGCAATATTTAAAGATTTAGGGGTTATTTTACGTCAGATCAAACAGTGCAGTTCACCACACCGACTCACATTTTCTTCAATTTTTGTGTAGATAATATACCGACACTCGGCCTGAGAGTAATTCAGTAGTAGATCCTTCACCGGCGATGGGGAATACGCATTATTAAGATACTTAAAATGTAACGTAATCACTTTTAACAGTAAATTATTAATTAAAGGTGTAAAATCAATATTTGTTTTGGATTTAACTAAAAGTGTTTTCTTATAAAATAACGTTTAGGCACAAAAAACTAAAATAAAAAAATAAAATAATTCTCTTGAAAATAAATTAAAATAAAATTTCATTTAATTGACGGGTAGGCCGAATCAACGTTGTATATAACAAAATAAGTAAACGAAATATATCGCAATAAACGATAGGAACTCATCAAGGTGATAATAAAATATCATAGTTGGAAAGTTTACTAGATTTGCTATAAGAATATTGATTTCTATTAAAAAAGAACATATAATACGAAACATAAGCTCATTATTGTAAAAATCGACTGTAACAAAATGTTGTTACAGCCTACCCTTCAATTTGTAAAGGCTAACGAGTTATTTAAGAAATATGACGCATCTAGGGAAAAATCAAAATTTTACCATAATCAATTTCTCGGTAATTAATTATCGTAGGAAGCACGGTGTGGATAACTTTTCCATTATTGTATTAGATTTGACGTGGAATGACCTTTAGGTAAGTGGTAAACTACCTAGTGAATGATACTAAGTTTTACCTTTTATGTGTAAGTCTTGTTTACCAACTACACAGGCAAAATAACCGGCCACCAGAAATTGGCAACAATTTTAATGTTGATTTCCTCTAGAGAAGTAAAAAACGGTTTTTTTAGATGTGAAAAAAAACCAGAAAAAAAACGGTTTTTTTTTTGTTTTTTTTTTCAAATCCGCTGCAATAAAGCATATTCTGTAAATAAATAACATCAATCTTAAAAAATGGATTAATTTTTCAAAATGAAATTTCGAGTAAAATTTATATTAATAATAAAGTGAAATGTAGAATATATAACATTTTTCATTATTGTAAATTTTGACCAATACTAAAAAATCTCATTTCTTATTATTTGGTAGTTCCCACATAAGAAACCAATAGCAATGTAAAACTTCTAGCTGTATCTTCGTTAAAAATGGTCGTATTGGAGCCGTAAAAAAAGCAATTTGAAGCTTGAAGTTTCTAGTTTTGAGATTTTTAGATGAAAAACGTGCAATGCTCAATCCTAACAAAAACCGTAATAAAAAATTTCTAAATTTTTTTGGCTTTTTTTTTGCTCCACGGAATGTTCTGACCACCAATAAATAAATGTTCTACAAGAATTTGCTATTGTTTTTTTGAAAAAAAAATTTCATACTACATGAATTTAAAAAATCATAAATAAAAGGTGCTTTTGGTAGCTTTTTGAAAAATCAAGCGCTGAATCAAAAATATTATAGGTAGATACTTTTTTTAGGACCAAATCAAAACAAGCGCGGCCCTTATTGGTCAATTCGGTGGTGGTGGCGCGTGCAAAACGCGAGACTGTATTTACATTTAATAAATGTCATTTAGAGCATAGATGACCGAAGGATTTAGAGGCTAATTTTAGTCCACGAACTGGACTGAAAACATACAAAATTAGGCAAATGGGACTAATCTTGAAAAAAAAACCTAAAACATGAAAAAAAACCATTTGGAAAAAAACAATAAAAAAAACCTGAAAAAAAACAAAAAAAACGGACCGTTTTTTTTCAAGTCGCATCTCTAATTTCCTCGCGAACAGCTCATCTGATTTTGATGATTTTTTTAAAATGTTTGTTGACTCTTTAGTAACGATGGTATGGAAGACATTTTTATTTGAATTTTTATTTTAGCATCTACAGTGTGCAAAAGTAAGTTTTTTCCCTGTGGGGTGCATCAGCAATAAAAGCGGATTTTTTTTCTGCTTTATCTCTGTTATTAAAATAAACGCACCATGAAAAAAGTAATAAGTCTAAAGTCAATATACGCTGGAACGGATGTCAGTTATTTCAAAATATAACAGTAAAATTTGTCAAAAGTTGTTAAATGAGAAAATACCGTTATCTATATATATATCTATAAGTTATATATATATACGAGAAATATCCGTTATAGACTATAACGGATATTTCTCGTATTGTGGCTGTTAAGGCCGTATGACCTATGCGCCGTATCAGCAACAAATTAGCAAAAAATAAACAATAAATTTATGCATCGAATGTTTGCGACCCAGCATACATCAAGAAAATAAAATATATATAATTTCAAAAACTATATTTGAAATGTGGCATTAATTGAAGATGGTCGTAGTCAACGTTATGTGTCTAATACGAACACTATATCCGAGGCGTTAACTTTAAAACAGTGTATCTTAGTTAATAATAAAGATTATAAAGTGGATGAAAAACAAAATGTTTAGAAAAGATAATTTCAATTGACATCCTCTGTTATTGCATACCCACAGGGTGTCACAAATTTCGGAAAAAACTTCCTACTTTGTTTAAGCTAAAATCAGAATAAAAATGTCTACCATATCTTCGTTACTGAAGAGTCAGCCTAGTTTTAAAAAAAATCATCAGAATCAGATGAACGGTTCGCGAGAAAATTAATATTTGGCCAATTTTTGGTGGTCGGTTTTTTTGACGTTGTGTATTATCATTTTAATGTATTTTCTTTGAAACAGGCAAAATTCAGAATGCGACAGTTACAGTTCAGAATACGAAGACCAAGAAGAAGAAGTCATGCCGCAAGATACAGAAACAGTTTCTGTGCATCGTTCGGAAAGTACACACACTAATTTGCACAGACAAACCCCAAGTCAAGAGTCTTGTTGCTCGAATGACACCTTGTTTAACTTGGAAGAGTTGGTCTGCATAACCGATCAGGAATACAATAAGAATGCTGTGGAAGATTCATTTAATAAACGAGAAAATGAAATCGTTGAAATTAAAACCCCAGAAATAGTTTCCAATAAATGTATAGAGGATTTTCTGCAATCGGAAAGGGAAAGTAGTTCGGTGACTTTAATAAAAGTTGAATCTTGTGAGGACGAATCGAGTTCTGAAACTCCATCTACGTCCACGGATCCTTTGTTGTTGTACAACAAAAAGTCGTTTGTTCCTCCGTTACCTTCTCCCGAGGATAAACCTTGGAAACAGTTGCCTGCTTCTCAGTTGACTTATGATAAAGTTAATTATACCAACGTTAGGGAAATTAATGAACCAAGTGCAAACATTTACGAGAATGATGAAATTGGTCAGAACGAAAAACAGGAAGTGTACGAGTATGTTGATAAATTTAAAAAAATTGATACAAATACAAGAGGGGATGAAATATATGACGATGTTGATACAGATACATTATATGATAATGTTGATACAAATACGAGAAGTGATGAATTATATGATAGTGTAGATAATGTAGAAAATATAAACCCAAATAAAACCAAAGCAGCAGATCAAGAAGTCTATGAAAACGTCCCCAGTGCTAAAAAGAGTGAGATCAACCCCGAATACAAAAACGGGGACGACCTAAATGTAGTGTACGAAAACATCGAAAACGTGAGAGATTTTTACAATGAAGCCGATTACGCGACCCTGGTTAATCTCGAAAATACAAAAAATTCGGCGGACTTCAACACGAAGCTGACGCCGGACGAGTGCGAAGATACCGACGAATTAATTATCAGTCAGGACGATGACGATTTGTTTGGAGTTTTAACCGATATCAGGTTTAGCGGGCCCACCGACAGCCAATTTATGTCGACGTCGTTCAGCGAGAGTAACGACAACGACGAGCAAGATTGGGATAGCGGGTCGGATACCAGATCCAGCTCTAGCGGAGAATTCATTTGGAAGGTAAGGAATTGGTTTGTAGTTTATTGTTATTTTTAATATACATTTTTGTAAGCAATTTAAAAGTATTTGGTAAAAATGGTACCTCCCCTTTGTTTGTAGCTTTTCATAATGCTTGGTTATAATAATTATTATTATTTGAACTTAACAATGCTAAAATAATAATAATTAATTCATACCTAACGTGTTTCTTTAACAACTTGACATGTGTCAAGTTGTTAAAGAAAACATTAAAAAAATTGCAACTGTCATGGTGACAGGTGTCTAACCCCACTTTTTGACACAACAACCTTGAAATTTGTATGTCACAAGTTGTATACAGTGTGACCCATTTGTTTGCGACTCACCCCTGTAAAATCTTTATTTATTGTGCAATTTTTGCCGGATTTGTTTTAAAGTGTAGATCTTGATAAACTGTATTTTTGGAGCAAAAAACGCCATGTTTTTACAAAATACAAGGCCTGCAATGTTTTTAAGAGTACATTTTTAAGAATTCAAATTAGCGATTTTTTTTGAAAAAAATCTAAGCACAGCACTGGATTCACCACCCCTCAAAGCGACCCTATACTAAATTTTATTGAAAAATTTTAAGTAGAAAAATGCACAATAATAACTACAAAAATTTATTCTGTCAAGTTATCCATGAAAAAACATTGAAATAAAATTAAACTAATAGTAACATGGTACTATTACTATAAGTTTAATTGTATTTCAATGTTTTTTCATGGATTACTTGACAGAATAAATTTGTGAAAAATTTAGTAAAGGGTCGTTTTGAGGGGTGGTGAATGAAGTGCCGTGCTTAGATTTTGTTTATAAAAATCGCTAATATGAATTCTTAAAAATTTACTCTTAAAAACTGACATAGTAGGCCTGGTCACACTGTATATATATATATATATATATATATATAGATAAGTGGTCAGCTGTGACCTCCGTTAAGTTGAGAGGGCCACCTCTCCTCCGGGTCTGCGGAATGGCCGATATTTATTTTGTTTGCATATATTGCGGGGGGGAGCCTTAAATATTAACGCCACCACAAGAGGGGAAGCAATTTTTAATTTTTTAAAATGTCAATTTTTTTACGCAAACTGGAGATACTCAAGATACAAAGTCACCTCCGAATATATATATAATTTCGGAGAAACAAACAGCCTTGTATCCTCCGACAGTGTTGCCGGATTTTCGGAGGTCGCAACGTATCTTTAGTATCTGGGATATACAGGGTGGCCGATTTATCTGAAGACATTGAAATATTTCGAAAACTATGCATCGGATCAAAAAAAGTTTTGAATAAAATTTGTTCGCCTGGAAGGGGGACATCCAATGATACCAAAGTCGACCCCTCACCACCACCCCATGGGGTGGGGGTGGGGGCAACTTTAATATTCTAAATAGGAACCCCCATTTTTTATTGCAGATTCGGATTTACTATTAAAAAATAAGTAACTTTTATGGAAAAACTTTTTTTAAATTCCTGATAGATGGCGCTGTAATCGCGATTTTTGGGAATATCTTGAAAAATTGCAGATTCGGATTTCCCATTAAAAAATATAATTAGTGTATACGGGAATTGTAAGGGAATTCAAAATAAATTAAATTAATTAATTCCTTTTGATGTTCCCATGTTCCCATGGCCATGGGGTGGGGGTGGGGGCAACTTTAATATTCTAAATAGGAACCCCCATTTTTTATTGCAGATTCGGATTTACTATTAAAAAATAAGTAACTTTTATGGAAAAACTTTTTTTAAATTCCTGATAGATGGCGCTGTAATCGCGATTTTTGGGAATATCTTGAAAAATTGCAGATTCGGATTTCCCATTCTTGGGTAATTTTAAAAATAGATGTTAACTTATTGATATACGAATAAAATCCAAAAATTAAACAAGTTTTTCTTTTTTTCGATCCGATGTGTAATTTTTTAAGATATTCCCAAAAATCGGGTTTCTTGCGATTACAGCGCCATCTATCAGGAATTTAAAAAAAGTTTTTCCATAAAAGTTACTTATTTTTTAATAGTAAATCCGAATCTGCAATAAAAAATGGGGGTTCCTATTTAGAATATTAAAGTTGCCCCCACCCCCACCCCATGGGGTGGTGGTGAGGGGTCGACTTTGGTATCATTGGATGTCCCCCTTCCAGGCGAACAAATTTTATTCAAAACTTTTTTTGATCCGATGCGTAGTTTTCGAAATATTTCAATGTCTTCAGATAAATCGGCCACCCTATGTATATCAGATTTATTTTGTCCACTGCTTCATGCTATATGTGCCATACATTATTTAGTAATAATAATAATTATATATTATTTTTGTTATAAAAGACAAAATATTAAAAATAATAAAAATGGAGTACTTTAAAATAAATAATTTATTTGAAAAGAACGTATTGGTATATGATAGGTCTTGCAGGTATAATGGCAAAAAAATGTTTTATTACATAACCCCTGTAAAATCTTTATTTGTCGTGCGATTTTTACCAGATTTGTTTTAAAGGTAAAATCTTAATAAACTGTATTTTTGAAGCAAAAACGCCATATTTTTACTAAATACAAGGCCTACTATGTCAGGTTTTAAGAGTTAATTTTTAAGAATTCATATTAGCGATTTTTTTTAACAAAATCTAAGCACGGCACTTGATTCACCACCCTTCAAAACGATTTTTATTGAAAAATTTTGTCTAGAAAACTAATAACTAAAAAAATTTATTCTGTCAAGTTATCCATGAAAAAAACATTGAAATAAAATTAAACTTATAGTAAATGTACCATCCCAGTAAACATTTGTGATATCACGAAAAAGTCACGTCGTGACATGTCACAACTTGATATCAAATTGCTGGCACAGTGATTAAGTTTGTCGTTTTATGTCAAGCAGTGACACGCGCGTGATCTTTTTGTCACGACGTGACCCCGCAGGGACGAAACTTTTCATTTAAATGACATTACTTTAATTTGTTCATAATACGTTATTTACGTATTATGTTATTATTGTTAGATACGTTATAGGTTAATGATTTGAAACAATTATTTCCCCAAAAATATATAACTTTACTTTATATTTGTTTGCGATTTTGCAAGCGAAGAAAAAATTAAATTCTTTTCCGTTTTATTTTTAATGTATTAATGATAATAAAATTAAAAAAAGCAGTATCATACCCAAATTTTATTATAAAAATCTATTTGGGATGTTCCAGCGCCGCCTCTGGATTAACTAAATTTAATTTACATTAAATTAAGCCCTTTGCCTACTACTAAAAACCTAAAAGGTTTTATCAAATTCGCCCAAAAAATAAATATTTTTTTTAATAACTTGACCTCTCGAAAACGAAGCTTTAAAACATACCTACATACTTTTCTTCTGATATTTTCGATTTCTATAGATCACTAAATTTTTCCAATTAAAATCTGCGACACCCTGTATACATGTAGGTGTTATACTTATAGGATACTTGATGCACCCTGTAGGTAGTGTGCAAAACTTGTCTTATTATTATTTTATTTAAATAAACGTTGACTGTTAATATTTTAGCCCATAATTTTATTTCACCCAACATGTTTTAAATATTCCCCTGCACTTTCGCTCGCGCATGCGCGCTAGCAATGTCACGGAGTGATATCTCAATGAGTGCGTATTGCGCTTGAATGTCACGACTTGATTTCCCATTGATTGTGTATTGTGGAAACATATGAATGCGCCAGTGATATCACGATGTCACGACGGGATTTCGGAGTGATTTCAATACGCAATCACAAATGTTTACTGGGATGTTACTATTAGTTTAATTTTATTTTAATATTTTTACATGGATAAGTTGACAAAATAATTTTTTGTAGTTATTATTGTGCATTTTTCTAGACAAAATTTTTCAACAAAATTTAGTAAAGGGTCGTTTTGAGGGGGTGGTGAATCCAGTGCCGTGCTTAGATTTTGTTTAAAAAATCGCTAATATGAATTCTTAAAAAATTACTCTTAAAAACTGACATAGTAGGCCTTGCATTTTCTACAAATATGGCGTTTTTTGCTCCAAATATACAGTTTATCAAGATCTACACCTTAAAACAAATCCGGTTAAAATCGCACTACTTATATTTAATGATTTTACAGGGGTGAGTGGTAAAAAAATGGGTCACATTGTACCTATATGTACTGTTTGCTTGCAAGTAGTTTTTTAAAAACTTTTTAAACCGATTGACTTTTGAAAGAATTATTAATATTATTATTATCAATAAGTTTGTTATTTTAATATTTATTAATAGATATATCTACTAATAAATATTAAAATAATATATTATTATTATTTTTAATATTTCAATTGTATTTTTGTATTGTTTTTATTTTTTTTAATTTTTTTGTTATTTTTACCATTTTTATTATAATTATTTATTTTGTTAATATTTTTATTACGTAGGTATCTACTTCAATTTTTTATATTCCTTTTACAATCTTCATTATTTTTATTTTTATTAATTTTACTTTTTTAATTATTTCTTTATTTCTAATATTTTTATTTTTAATATTTTTGATATTTTTCTTATTATATTAATAAAAATATAAGAAAGAAATTTAAGTAAACAATAAATAGGGATAATTAAAAAACATAAGTAAAGTCAAACATTTTTATCTATTAAAATAGTTATGAATAATAATTATTATAAATATAATTATCATAAGGGTAACTAATTAATGTCTTTTTTCGTTTTTCTTAAGGTGTTGGACTTTGGCTTTAATAAGGGATACACTTCTTTTTATTTTCGTTTGTTCTAGAAAAGATTTAATTTCTTTGCTAGATGAATAAATATTTTTTTAATATGGTTAAGGATTTTATCCTTTATTAACCCGATTTCCATATTTGTGCAGCCTAAAAATAATAACACATTTTTAAACAAATAAAAGTGAAAAAAGATTGTGTGAGTAAAAAATATTGTTTAAACTTACTTTTTTGTTTAAATTCTTTATCTTTTTTGGTAATGATTTCATCATTACTAGTATTGCATGCATTTACCTAATTATGTACTAAAAACTTACTTACCTTGAAAACCGACTCTCTGGATTATTAATTAAGTCCTGGAAGATATATTTTTAACTTAAATCGTTATTTTACACTTAAGATGTTAGAACAAAAGCGAAACTGCGTAACAAATAACATATAAGAAGTATTAAAGATCATCAAGTCTGAACATCTATGTCTGTGCGAGATATTGCAAGGTTGCCAAATTTCGGAGGTAACAAATGTACATATACATGACGGAGGTAACTTTGATGTGGCTGAATCTGATTAAAAAGCGACACTAGCGCCAATTCATATATGGTGGAACTAAAAGTTCCTTTTTAAGAGACTGGGGGGTCAAAGTGACCTCCGAAATATTTTTGCACAGATTGATTACTGACACTCCCCCAATGTCAAAAATATGGTTAAACACTGTGACCTCCGAATTTGGAGGTCACAGCGTCATATATGAGGTCACAACGTATGAAGGGTCTCCGTTTTGGAGGTGACAATGTACCCTTTATCAATATATATATACAGGGTGTCCCATAACTGTCGAAATAGAAGGTCAAAATAGGTTGATTAACACAAATATGTCTTAGTAAAATGTTAATAATAAACGAGATACAGGGCGATGATGTGAGATCTGATTTTTGAAAGTTTGTTATATTTGGAAAACTATTAAATGTATCAAACTCAAAATTTGTACACAATAGTTTTTAAGGACAAGAAATACAAATTTCTCCTAATTTTTTATGCTACTCCTAGAGGGCGCTAATGACACATGTCGAAAAATGTAAATATTAATTCACCCATTTCGACATGTGTCATTAGCTGTATCTCGTTTCTTATTAACATTTTACTATGACATATTTGTGTTAATCGACCTATTTTGACTTCCTATTTCTACAGTTGCTGTATTGTCCATTAGTTATGAGACACCCTGTATATGGTCACTTTAAAAGAATATAACCTAAATATCTACACAACAAGGTCTATCTCGTTTCGCGCTTCTAAAAATCACGAAGTTAGGCAACCCACTGCAAAGACTCTAACGGTTGCTATTTTTATGTTTACAATTCTTGTGCTTCTGGTTTGTGCTGTTTATACAGTTTAATAATCGTTTTAAACGTTGTGTTTCTTAAAGAGGCACTTTAAGACTTAAAAGGGACCTTAAAATGCTAAGGGCAATTACAAAATTCGAGCGCGGGCGTTAAATCGGTGACAATTTCGAAGTCTTTCCCGATAAAACTGAAGAAAATGGTGAATTGTGATGTGCTCTTTATAGGTTTTGGAAACTTAGAGAGCATGTTTTAAAGTTCTTAGAAGACAACAATGAGCTCCCCAATGAGTGCTTACTTCTGAAAAACGAAGATTAATTTAAATTTACGACTTCAGGGCAAAAACTGTATTTTTACGACATTATTTTCACACATTTCCTCTTTCGTTGCTAAACTGGCACTGTCAATCTCAATTTTGAGGTTAATTTGTGGGTATCAAGATACATACACCTTAAGATAGGATGGTGCGCATGTTGGGCGGGGCTTAAATACGTCACTTTAAATTTTTAACGTGCTTTTTAATTATCTGCTGCTAAAATTCTTGTTTTTGTGATGCTTTTGTATGTTAACTTGCTCTATTTTTTCTTAAACTTGTTGTTTTTGTGTTCGGTAAGGTTCGAATTACTTTTCAGTGTTCAAATTATTATTATTGCGTTATGTTAACCTGTTCTGTTTGTTTATTATTGTTTTTGTGTTGCGTTAACTTGTTTTGTTCGTGTTTTAATTTTTGTCGTGCCATTTGCATTTATTAAAATGCGGTGTGGCATATTTGGATGCAATTCGGACAACCAGTCCAAGAAAAACCCTTTAAATAAAAACATCATCATCAAACAAAAATTTAATCGATTCCCGAAAAAGTTTGATTTGTGGAAACAGTGTTTAAATGCCACAAAAAGAATAGACAATATTAACGTTAAGACCGCTTCTGTTTCCTATAAATATTTTCTGGACAGTGACTATAAGTTTAATTCAGATATTTCTCTATTTTCTCTCTCTATTTTCTTTGATAATATTACTATTATTCGTGTATTCTTACGGCAACTACTCATCAAGTGACGTCATGCGTGGGACGAACCAAAACTCGTACACGGGAGCATCCAGCCCTGGTGGGTATGGACATTTGACAGTTTTATGACTGCCCTGATTTATTTATTACAAAAGAGAAGTAAAATGTTTCTTCTTAGTACTTTAAGGCCCTATTTGAGGCTTACAAGTGCCTCTGTAAAAACAAAGTTTTAAACGATTTTTAATCTGTATAAATATCACAAACTCAAAGCACAAGAATCCTATGATTTATTATCTATGGATTGTGCAGTGAAGTATGATTTATTATCTATGGTTTGCCCAACTCACAAACCTTCTAGTTTTGTGGCCTAACTTTGTGATTTTTAGTATGCGCGAAACGAGATAAAACAGACCTTGTTGTGCTGATTGTGCTAAATTTAATAGTTTGACGAGCAGAAAAACGAATTCAATAATATGCAAACTAAACTAAAAAACAAAGTAAAATAATTGGTCAACTGTCACAATGAGAGTTGCTGTCTAACCCCACCTTTTAATAAAAAAACCTTGAAATTTTTGTCACAGTCTTACATAGAAAATAAAGGATAGGATTCTTTGGCTTATTCTAAAAAAGTATATTTCAGGAACTGTTTAAGATACAGAACTCAGCTTTTCTACACATCCTATAATTAATATTAGCTACTTTTTTACCCTATATCAATTTTTTTTATATGGTCCCATATTTTTTTGCTTCACAGAACATAAAGGTATTGCTTGTAAATATTTTAAAAATGACAAGATTTTTTTATTCACTTAATTTTTGTTGTATTGTACATAAACCTCTTGTGTATGTAAATCCTTGTGTTTAACTGTAGGAAGGGGAGCATGAGGAGTCTCTCAAAGCCCTTCAAGCTGCCCCACAAGATGTGGTGAGTAGGTCCTATCAATTTACTGCTTGACATTTAAAACCAAATTTAAAATTGTATTATTTTTTTTAAATAGCACCTAATTTTAAATTTGGACATCCTTTAATAATTAGCTTTTAATGTTGCAATAAAATTAATTAATTAATTGTAAGGAAAAATATTTAAATGAAATTGTTTGCAGTTGGATGATATTAAACCTTTGGAGGGTATAGAAGAAGAAGCATATAGTGAAGGTAGTGTAAGTAGCGGTTGCACGAGTAGCGATGAAGGGGAAAACCCGGAGTTTGTTCCTTCGGCGTGGGATAAATTTGCCACGCCTACGAAATCTGCGCTCAGATCTCCAGAGAAAACGTTGGAAAAGGAGGAAAAGGTAACTTTATTATCAAATTTTACGAACGCCTACATTTTATTGCATTTATTCAAAAAATTTATTTCCTTATTAATTTTAAAATTAAATTACTTTTTAATTTGGGCTGAGAGTAAAAAGTTTTACTCATTTTCACCCTATCAGTATTATATACAAATACTTTTTTGGTTAAATGGCCAAGGAGTGTATTTTTGTGCAGAGCTCAAAAAGACCTGGGCCGAATGGCATAGAATAATTTATCTTCAAGGCACTGTACATAGGCCAACAAAAAACATCCAGATAAGTTCACTGCTTGTTGCTCTTCACAAAATTTCACCAAACGGTTGTAAGTAGTTGGTTGGTTTTTGCCGGATTTACTGGCAAGTTTCGCCAGTTCAGGTGGTGTACACTGAATATCGCAGCTGATTTAACCATTTTCGGACGATTAAAAGACTCCAACTAATGTATTAATACGTCAGACTGTTCTAACCATACATTTCTAACCTCACTCTTTTTCAGTTTTAAAGGTCATTATAGTCTCCCCTCGTATACTATGACATAATTCGACATTTGTCAGACGGTTCTAACCTCACTTTCTCCCAATTCAAGCCTACAACTGACTTTACTGTCATAAACTTATTACTATCCACAAGCAAACTAACTACTATCCTCATAATTTTTTTATTTGTATACTGATGATTTTTATATGCCTATACCATAATCGATAACTTTAGTGTCGAGTGTTGACGACAATAAAGTTTAATTTATAGATCACTTGTTATAATTTTTAACCATATAAACTTAATTAAATAAATGGTTCAAAAAATACAGTTTCTTCATTTAAATAATATTTTATATACATTATGCATACTGTCCATGGGTTACAAAGAAGGAAAAAAATATTCATTATATAGCCCTTGCTTGATTTTAAACCCCCTAAATTTGCGACACATCATTTTTATTGTCTGTTTAATTTGCAATTTGAAAATGATGGATAAAAATCATTTTTGGTCAGTTATCGTTAATTTGTTATTTCTCTAAAGTAATCGACATGTTTAAAGCTTTAACTTTTTAATTTATCGTTGAAAATACATTTTTTATCGCCGTTTTTTTTTATATGTAAAAATTAATGACATCCGTGGATAATTTTCGAGAGATTTGTACTTACCGCACTAATCATTCATTTGTTGGAAAAAAAATGACAAATAAACAAAAATGTGTTTTATCAAAAAAATTCGTACAAAATTTTCAGAAAAATCAAAACTGCAAATTAACTATAGTCAATAAAATTGATGTCGCATATTCTGGAGGTTTAAAATCTAAGACAAAGTTAGTTTAAAATCAAGCAAAAACTTTTATCAAGGATGAAATTTTCTGAGAAATGTAAAATAAATAATTATTAATTTATTACATTTTTAGAAGACAAGGGGCGTTTGGTTTAAGAAACAAAAATACCATTGCGTTTATGAGTATCCAAGAGAACCAGAAAGTCCTGTATTACAAAGCCAAGATTTGTGGAAACCACAATCAGATTTTACTTCGTTTGGAGGTAAGTACATTTTTTTTATTAAATTTTTAATTCGAATTTACATTTAAACATTTTTTACTGTTAAACATAAAAAACAAATATTTAAAAAACTCTTTTAAATACGTTTTTTTGTAAGCAATATGTAAAAAATGACTATTCAGGAAAATTATTTTGTTTAACAGTAGAATGTCCTTTTAAAAAGTTTTTATCACAGAATCATTATGCATATCATTTAAATCTTTACAGGTATTGTTAAACCTCATTACAAACAATAGTTTGTTTGATTCGACAGATTTTCCGCGTCATTGGCGTACTAACCTATTCACGAATGCATTCCACAAATAATCATCTGCATCATTTCATTCTCATTCATGTAAATAAAATCCATCCATTCATTTCGAACGCTCATTCACTAATTATAATGAAAATTATTTAATTCCCATGAAAATTACAGACTGGGACTTTGATGCAGATACTTATTTACCTCCACCCACCGGCGATACCGATATTTTAAACCTTAACAACTACCAACCTCCAAACTACAATAAAGGTAGAAATCTGTACGAACTCGTCGACATATCCGAACCAAGTAAGATTATATGAAAGTCTATCTACTCTCTTGTTTGATGAATTTTGTAATTATGCTTTGAGGCACAAATTACTTAAAAACGTTTTTAAAGTTTGTGGTACACACTGTCTACCTGCGGATTATCAAAAAAGTAAATAGGGCCTCTTAAAAATGTAACTATTTCATGAATATTTGTTTAGGAATATATAAAAATTATTTTTGAATTACCACATAACTGACATATATTTTTTAATGGTTTTCCAGTATATTTTTCGTAAATTTTTAAATTAGATGTAAAATTCTTGTTCTTGCTGCTCAACAATTTGTATTTGAGTAGAGTTCAAGTTGCATTAATGATTTTAGAAAGCAGAAATTTCAGTAAACGCTTGTTATGGCAAACAAATATTTCTCATAACTTCATTTTCTGAGCTTGGCAACGCAGTACAGTGGTCTAAAGAGTAAATTTACGCGGCAAAAATGATTTAAATATTTTTCCCAACACGTGACTTTTTTATGTTTTCGAGGAAGGGGAGGGGGCTAAGTCTAGCCAAATGATATAAAATGATTTTTTTTTAATATTTGTGTATTTTTTATGTTTTTTTTTGTTTGAAATAAGGAATTATATTTTAAAATACTTTGCAACATGGTTTATTTTATTAATTTATTATTTTATAGTTTTTTTTCAATAATTTTTACTCTGCGCAAACATAATTTTTTCTTATAAATAAACTAAAAACCATTACCTTTAAAATATCAAAAATATATTATTATATCAACATTTCACCTTTCACCATATTTTTTTTTAACCACCTAGCGAAATTTTAACCAATATCGTGATGGTTGGAAAAACTTATTATTTTTATTATGCGTTAAATACTCTTGCTTGTTTCAAAAATAAGATTTCCATACAACAATTGTACTACCCTCTTGAAGCAATTTGATGTTTTTTAATTTCTGGGCACCCTGTACATTTGATTTATTTTTTTATGGAAATCTTAATTTTAGACCACCAGAAGTTTTTATAAAAAAATAATTTTTCCATAAAACGCACTTATAGGTTTTTAAGTTTTCGTAGTTTCTGAGCACCCTGTACATTTAATTCCAAATGTTTGTATAGGAATTTTATTTTTGAGGTACAAAGTATATTAAAAAAACAATACAATAATTATTGTCAAATTTGAAAAATTGTCGACCTTTTTCCATTTTTGCATAAAACCTGATTTATAGATTGCATTCCTTCCTTCCTTCCTCCCGTAAAAGATGAAATCGTAGTGCCATTTATAGATTCCCAACAGCACAGCGGTTTTGGTATTGTTCATATTTTACGTGAGAAAGCGAGGAAGGAAGTAAATCTATAAATCAGGCTTAATTAAGTTAACTCTCTTATACCCAGATAGCACCATTCGTCCAATGGACGTCCGTTTAAGATCCATTTTAAGTACATTGGTCCACGGACTAAAAATGGATGTACTATGTACGTCCATATATTTACATCCTTTGTACGATTTTAATGGACGTCCATATAGTGTCCATTTTACGTCCATAATTATTATTACAGAAATGCAAGTTAAAACGTATTGTTGGCTGCATAACAACAGTTATGATCAATCTCACTGACATTCAAGCAAGCGCGTGCTATAAAGGACTTAAGCTATCAATGAAATGTTAAACACTTGTAGTATTGTTCCTGAGTCGAATACAAGGATTTCCTGCAATGTTCAACATTGAATGTTGTAACTTTTAACAACTTTTAGAATATTTATATTCCTAGTGGGATTGTTACTAAGCCAGACAAAAGGCATTTCAGTCATGTTGTAGAAAATTTTCTGCAACATCGCAATGAAAATACGGTCGCAAAAAACAGTTAAAGTAAGCAAAAAAGCAGGTCCTGGATGCTGGAGGAATGGTTCAAACACCTTATAGACGTCCATCGGTGGACGACTTATGGATGTCCAAAGTTGTGACATCTGGACACTAAACGGATGTCCATGGGACGTCCATAGAAAATGGGAAAATGGACATCCTATGTACATACAGACGTCCACGAGCATACGTCCATTGGACGTCCATAGTATACCTTTGTGCTATCTGGGTAGGCGCATAAAGGCAGATCAATTTTTATAAAGTCGGAACTGGAGGTTCATATTTTTGAATGCACTAGGTGGTTCTGGGCAGTAATTATAAATTTTTACTTGCATTCCATTTATTACTCCAAATTACACAAACTTGAGAATTTGTATGTTAAAAACGTTCTGTTTTCGACAAATAATCCAAAAAAAGACATTTTAAAGTTGTTTTCGTATTCACGTTTATCCGTACTATAAATTTTTAAAAGTAATATTCACAATAATTGTAAGGTATTGCGTAAACATAATTATTATGTTTACGCAATACCTTTTTTAACAAAAAAATGCTAGGATTATGAAAGAAAGAGTATTTTTGACAATTTTTTCGTGTTTTTGTTATAACGCAACGCATGCGCAGTAACTTGTACTTCGCAGTTTAAAATTTTAGGTAATAATCTGTCAAGAACAATAAAGAGGCATCAAAATGCTTTTTTAAAGTGTCTCAGACCACTGTGCGCCGTATGCCTGATTAATATTTAATATTTGAAAAAGTTTGAGCTGGTTGACAGATAAACGTTGTTATTATAATCATATTTTGTTATTATTAATAACAATTGTTATTTAAATGCCAATGCTGATTAGCGAAAGTTTGGTTTACTATCCTTTTGTATTAATAAATTTTAAAAAACAACTGATTTTTTCACGACTATTTTTATTTTTTCGCTCCCAACTCAAAATCTTGTTGAAAATGTTCAAAAAAAAATTCCCTGAAAATTTGAGCCCTTAATATTAACTCTAAGTACTCCCCCAAAGCTTATAAAGATTTCCCATTTAAAATACACGTAAACTTTTTTTTTTTTTAATATCTATATCTCAGCCGCATTTTATGCTATTGGATTGTTTCAAAAAGGGATTTACTTGTAATCAAAAGTTCTACAAAAATGCTTTATGTGTCATCTGCACCTGTATGTTGGTACGGGTCACTAAATACGATTTTAGTGAAAAATTCTCATAGGACAAACTAGTATAAAATTTAATTTTCTTTAAAAAAGGTCCTATCAGTTTGTTTGTCCTTTACATTTTTTTATGAATCCAGTGACTTTTGAAATATCTTTAAAAATATGAGAATTTTTCACTAAAATCAGATTTAGTAACCCGTACCATCCTACAGGTGCAGATTACAGCTATGGCACATAAAGCAGTTTTGTAGAACTTTTGATTACGAGTAAATCCCTTTTTGAAACAATCCAATAGCATAAAATGCGGCTGAGATATAGATATTTAAAAAAAATAATCAAAGTTTACGTGTATTTTCAATGGGAAATCTTAATACGCTTTGGGAGAGTTAATATTAAGGGCTCAAATTTTCAGGAAATTTTTTTTGGAACATTTTCAACAAGATTTTAAGTTGGGAGCGAAAAAATAAAAATAGTGAAAAAAAGCACCCTATTACATATACTTAAGGTAGTTGTCGTGGTACAATATTGTCAAAAATTTTTAGATTATACGCACCGTAAAAGTATACGAGCTTGTAGCTAAGTGATTCATAATTTGTTCGCAAGACTGTACCCTGGAGACGTTTCCTTTACGTAATACTTTCAAATATTTTCATAAGTTTTAATCCGGCAACGTCGCTTATGCTCAACCAATAGATATTGGAGACTGAATCAGTCCGTTTAAATTTACTGCGGAAATAATATCTATACACGCGTACAGCCTTGCCAAGTTGTTTTTATCTGACACTAGTGATGTATACTTTTTACAAATTGTTGAACTTTAAACGGTTATTTCTAAACAATTGGACGGTCAAAAATTTTTAATTATTTTTTTTTAAACTCAGCAAAAATACATTAAAACACTGTTAGTTTTTTGAAAGCTTCTGACAGTTAGTTTTTTCTGTATAACTAAGAAACTGGAACAGAACTACAGAAAGCCTATACAATCCATGTTAATTATCCAATTTTTAATTGAATTTATCTCGGGTTATAGACGGTCAATCGACTTCAAATTTTAAGGATATATGTATTGTCATGTCCTTAATAAGTATACAAAAATTTAAAATTTTCTGATGGTATGCTTATAGCACGACAACTACCTTAAAATAAATTCTCCTTTCAGGACACCCCTAGAATAAATTGTAATAAGTAACATTTGAAAACTATGTCCGGCTCTTCTTGTTTATGTTTTTTTTTTGTTTACGCAGAAGCAGTTATTTAAAATTGGAATACATGAATTTTTTCAAGTTAAATGCTTAGTCAGAAAAAATATATTTTTAATGTTTAAAATGACCTAAAACATTTTGGGGCACCATTTATCAAATTTAATTTGTTTTCCATTTCTTCCGTTTTATCCAAAATTGTAATACTTACAAAAACTGTAATTTTACAATATTACAATTGAGGCCTGTCATAGCAAAACCGACAATCTCCACTTTTGGTCAAAAATAAGATTTTTGTCGGAGACTATACTTCAACTAATTATCTATAAGATGATAAAGTTTATGTGCTGCAAAAGGAGTTAAATCCTGCCTAAAATCCTATTTTAAAAATGACATTTAGTGCAAAGTCGACAATCTCCACTGATAGATTTGCAGCAAAGTATACAATCTCCAATTCCACCATTAGAAATTAGTAATTTGTGTCACCTGATATCCTAACATTTCTGTGGGTAAAAGGCATAAGGGGATAAGTCAAAAAAAGCAATTTTTCAATAGAGACTTTAACGTGTTCGCATTAATTCAGGAAATATATTTATGTTTAGCGGGTATACGCTTTTATTAGCATATGACATGTACTAACAAAAGGGTATACCCGCTAACCGTAACTATGTTTCCTGAATTAATGCGAATACGTTTAAGGCTCTACTGAAAAATTGCTTTTTTTGACTTATCCCCTTTTGCCCTTTACCCACAGATTTGATGTTATAACGTATTTTAGAGATTTAATTTTGTGTTTTTTTACTGGTAAAGTGTTCTATTGCAGTAAATTGCACTTAAAAAATAAAGTTAAAATATGTATATCTACGTTTTATTGTTTTAAGAATTTAAAAAAAAGTTATCTTGTTTATTTTGTGCTATTATACCATAATAAGACGTAAAGGTAAAGCAAGAAAAGGCTGATAATGTCAAAACATTGCAAGTAAAACATTACGGGGAAAAGTGGGAAGGAGATGATGAGTTGTTGTACTATAAAAAAATTTTTGCACCTGGTCCCAGATTTAGAAGAAACTCCAGATTTATGTGGTCCAGTTCAGAATTTTATAGTTAAATTTAATAACCATTCAAGGAATAAAAATACAATTATTTTTTTGTTTATTTTTCTAAATCTCCTTAAACGTTTACAACAAAATGAGCAATCTCCAGCAATTCATATCAGTCAGCAATCTCCATTTTATAATTATAGATTTCACCTATACTATGCATCCTGGAGACCTTGTAGTTGGCTACTAGACTAACAACAACAATATTTCAAAATAATATATAAAAAAAATTACAAATCTAGAAATTAAAATACCAAAATCATATATCTCAATTTACTCAGTTTTAGTCTGACGGGAGATTGTTGACTTTGCTCTGACAGGCCTCAATTATACATACTTTTATATTGATGTTTGTTGATGATTTTTTATATTGATGTTTGATTTCTACATATTTTCTCCAGAAAAGTTTTGATAAAAGTTATACATTTCTGACCCCACTCTTCTATTTTTTAAAAAGTCAGAACAACATTGTAAACCATATTTCTTTTTTAGCGGGCAATTCCGCCGGCAACGATGACGAATTCTTTATAAGCGGATCGGCGCGCCCCTTCGACATGATCAGCAGCCTAAGTTCTCAGTTTTTCCCCGGCAGCAACAGCCATTGGGCGCCGGAAAACATGACCCCAGACAGCGGCGTCGAAGACATAACCCCTGGTAGTCTGATAGACGACTACCCATCGGTGGCGTCGCGGAAATTTAATGCGGTACCGTCGCTTAAAACGCTTGCGGCCGAAGTGTCGAACAAATCGAAAAGGCAAAATGTTAATAACGTGTTGGGTGGTCTGCGACACACGAGGAATAAATTGAAGTTGGATTTGCCACCGAGCCCGAGCGCTTTCACGATCAATAAAACTTTTACGGTGGAGTCTGATATTGAACCGGTGGTACTGAGGGAAAAGCCAACGTTTACAACGTTCGGTAAAAGTCGGTTTTTGGTTCAGCAAGTCGACACTCCAGATGGCGCTATGGATAACAAAAATGTTTCGTTTGAAGCATTGCCTTATAAACCACTTAAAACTTTCGAAGTTGAAGAGAAAAACAAGGAAAACCTAAACGAGCCACTGACAACAATAAAAAGCCAAATTATCAAGGAAGATTTCGAATCTGACAAGTTAAAAACCAAAATCGAAAAAGTAAAAGGGGAGGCCAGTCTGTTGGATAGTGCAGATGAAGACAGTGGCATAGAGTCAAGTACCTTAGAAAGAAAACTAAATAATGTTTTGTAGAAAATCATCACATTTACCTTAATTAAGTAATATAGTTTGATATATTACAAATTAACAAAGTTAAACGTAGAATTGGATCCAAAAAAACATAAAATTGTTAGGAATTAACACAAACTTATCATGCAAGTATAATGCACATCATATTTAACGCAATATTAATTTTACTCTACCATATGCAATATTCTCAACTTAACAGAAGTTATTTATTTAATCATTTTAATTCCTCATTTTAATAAAATGCAAATTTAGCAAATAACTGTTTATTTTCTCAAACATTTTCATATTTTTGCGTTTATTAATTTCACTAGTTAAAAATTCACATTTTTAAATTCCTGTTAAAGGGTACTTAATTTTTTAAATAATAACGAACGTAATTAAAAAATCTCTTACCATTTTAAACAGACAAAAGTAAAAATACTTACATTAGTTGTGTTGTATGAAAGTAGTGTCAAAGTTCTGAAAGTAAATGTTGTGTTTATTCGTTTTATTGTTAAAATATCATTTTGGGTAAATTACAATGGTCAACAGCCATTTTGCCTCAGGGTGGCTAACAAATTTTCTAGGGTAATTTTGGTGCGCTTATTCCAAATATAACTATAATTACTTAAACAATAATAAAATTACTATATTTAATTGAATATAGTAACGTACCCTTAAAAACCAATTACTTACTATGTTTTAACAAAGAAAACAATATTTCTATTTAAATACCTTGCGTGATCACTTTCAGTGTACATGCAAATTTTTTATTAAAATTAGATTAGAATAAATTTAACTGAATGAAATTAACACTACTATTGTCCTTATCACTTGGTATTTATTTATATTATATGTTCATAAGAACCTGGTTTATCCAAAACAATTATTTCACGGTACCATAATTCCAACTATATATTCATATAAACCTGGAATAGTCCAAACAATGCTTTGTAATGATACAAGAATAAAACACATAGGAAAAACACCTATCAAGGGTTTTCTTTAAACAAAATTGTTTTTACAAATGTTACTTAACATTCCGCTCGCCACTCCAGAAATGAATGTTTCAACAACAATAATTGTTAGGTAATCTGTACCTATTTATAATCCACTTTAATTGTACATTAACGAATATTTCCTTAATCTCCTCAAAATTAATATTTTATCTTCAAAAGATTTCTCTCACTAAGTTAGAAATAAATATGGCTTAATAATTGTTTACACCCCAAAACCATAGAAAAATTAAAATAGAACATTTAGTACTCAAGATACTCTTGTATAGGTTATATGTGGTTTAAAATATTTTTAATTTTCACAGGTAGTTTGTTAAAGTCAATTATTTATTTTATTTTGTTTAAAATAGGTTTTTTTAAGTACTTACTTTATGAATGTGGATAATTTATTTTTGTTAGTTAAATTATCTACATGACCAATGATCCTTGGTTAAAGTATTTGATTAAAAAAATATAAATAAATATACAAGGTGTCCCTAAACTTAGTGGCATAAATTTGGGAGCAGATTAAGCAAGTCAAAATAAGACGAAAATCTAAATAAATATTTTTCCTAATTAGGTATGTTTAAAAGATACAGGGTGATAAAGTTTACTTATCATATCAGTTTTTTTAATATAACTTCCACTATGGTAGACTTGGAAACGTGATATTTTGCGAACAGTCACTTACTACCAAAACACATATTCACACATAATTACAATTGTTTGAGTGAACACAGTGTCGTAGAAACAGGGGTTGCTTAATCTTATTGTCCCATACAAACTTTGAGGTTAGGTTTTTATACCATTTGATGCAATTTTTCGATTACTCAGTTCGGCTACTATTAAAAAGGTGTACCTCTCAAACTTCGATAAAATTAACCGTTCTCGAGATATTCGAGATTACAATAATTTTTATATCGCATTAAAGGACTAAAAGTTATATGATAAAAAAAAATTTAATTGACAAAACTACATTTTTTTTAATGTGACGGTCAGCGCAAAAAGTCCCGAGGCTCATGGAATGCCCTTTTTAGTTTTTTCAATTAAAAAATAAAATTTGTTATCATATACCTTTTAATCCTTTGAAATAATGCGATAATACAATTATTGTAATCTCAAATATCTCGGAAACGGTTTATTTTATCGAAGTTTGAGAGGTACACCTTTTTAATGGTAGCCGAACTGTTTAATCGATAAATTGCATCAAATGTTACAAAAACCTAACCTCAAAGTTTGTATGGGACAATAAGCTTAAAGCAACCCCCATTTCTACGACACTGTGTTCACTCAAACAATTTTAATTATGTGTGAATATGTGTTTTGGTAGTAAGTGACTGTTTGCAAAATATCAAGTTTCCAAGTCTACCATAGTAGAAGTTATATTAAAAAAACTGATATGATAAGTAACACTTTATCACCCTGTAACTTTTAAACATATGTAATTAGGAAAAATATTTATTTAGATTTTCGTCTTATTTTGACTTGCTTAATCTGCTCCTAGATTTATGCCACTAAGTTTAGGGACACCTTGTATATAAAATATTATATTCGAATGTTGGCTCCCCTGTTGCAAAATTTGTCGACCAGTGTTACCCTTCAATTTTGTGATATATTATTTTAATTGAAACAAATTATGCGAATTTATTTTTGAAATTAATTTATAGTTAAATGTATTTTATTAATTTGGTTGAAATTGTTAATTTACTATAAGGTTAACATATTAATTTTAATGTATGTTAGTGTTCTAAATTTAAAATGTACAAACTGAAACTTAACGTCCAATTTATTGTTGGCTGGTGAATTAACCCGTAACTGTGCGTATTTTATATTAATAACTCACATTTTTGTAGATAGATAGATATTACCAGGATTTTTATTGCCGGATTTTATTAAGTTTTAATAGAGGGTACTGCATTAATTTTCACTTTTTACTATTTCATATTATAATTTTTAAATAAGGTAACTGTTTGAAACTTAAATGGTGGTAATACTTTTTGAGTCCACTATAAATGTTGTGGCTATATGTCCGTATCGGACCTAATAATGTGATTGGTTATTAAATATATCTTGTATTAGTATAGTTGAACTATTGTAATATATTATTAATAAACCTTTTATTGATTTAAATTATATATTTCCTTTTTTCCATATTATCACAAGACCTTGTAAGTCACTAGTGGCCAAAAGAGATTCGTCGTAGTTGAAGCTAACGCCAAGAACGGCAGCTGCGTGACCTTGGAGGGTGTTAACCACTGATTTACTTCCGGTTTTTTCGATATCCAGAAAGTAAATGCTGCCGTCTTCACTTCCAGTTACTGTAAAAATAAATCAAAAATTCTATAGGAATAGAAAAAAAAATCAAAACATTGTTTGTTTTTGTTTTAATCACTGCGCACAAGTAAAAACCCGCCAAAAGTGCAAAACATTAAGTCAGTAATAAACCCAATATGGATCTTATTTACTAATATGAATGAAAATATGAACTGTAAAAATGTGAATGATTTGTATAAAGCACTCAAAACAATGTTTTTTTAACTTGTCAATACTTTTCAAGCCTGTAAATAGGAATATTCCTCATCAAATAAAGCAAACAAATCTCACGCCCTTGTGCGCAAAATTCGCAGTCGCTGCGAATTTTTCGAGGCGGTAAATTTTGCGACGACGAAATTTGCGTAGATCCCACCTTTAAAATTTTTAACTTGAAAATTACTTTCTATAAATTGTGTTTTTATTAACCTTTTAGTAACCTTTAAATAATTTTCTGGATTTTTTATGCGCATTGAAAAAATTGAAAAATTATCAAATCAAAACAGAAAATATAATAATACACTGCGCGTCAAAATTAACGTATAAGTAAAAAAGTTCTAACTCTAAAACGCCTTTACCAATCTTTATGAAATTTTGTATAAAAATACTTCAACTTATATCTCAGTTTACGTGTTCGAGGGTTTTTCGAGAAAATATGTTTAAAGCCCTTTTATTAAATAAAAATAAATAAAATAAAAAAACGTTCGGAAAATATCTTTTAGGGATTTTTTTTAAGTAAACAAAAAATATGCTGTTAAAGAACGTATTTTTCTTAGTATATTTTGTACAAATCGAACGAACAGTAACAAAGATACAGCGCTTCAAAGTCGATAAAAATTACCCCTTTTTGATTATTTTGCTGGTAATTTTTGACGACTTTGAAGTGCTGTATTTTCGTTAATGTTCGTTTGATTTGTACTACATTTTCAGGGTATACTAACAAAAATACGGTCTTTCACAGCATATTTTTTATTTACTTAAAAAAAAATTTCCCTATAAAAGTTTATTTTTGAGCGTTTTTTATTGTTAAATAAAAGGGCTTTAAGGATATTTTTTCGAAAAACCCTTCATCACGTAAACTGAGATATAAGTTAAAGTATTGTTATCCAAAATTTTATAAAGATTGGTAAAGGCGTTTTAGAGTTGAATTTTTTTTATTTGTTATGCGTTAATTTTGACGGGAAGTGTATAATGATAAATGAATGAAAATTATATTAATATGATTTTGCATTTTTTTTTAAATACCTACATTGATTTTTTTGGGGATTTACCGAAACGCGAAGGATATTCGCTGATGAATTACATTGCCGCGCCAATTCGCCAGTGTCGTAAAATGCATTTTTTTAACAAAATAATTTGTAAACAATATTTGAAATATTAATATTAATATAGCAAGCCCACCAATACATTTTTTTGCAGTAGTATAATTATATTTTATAACCGTTTTTCATCAAAATTTCCGGGGAAAAATGGGTATTTATTATACAAGGGAGCTAAAATCTAACATTTTTACCTGTGTATAATACACAATTTTTTCTGGGAAAAAACCCAATGTAATATTAAAAAACATATTATTAAAGTCAGAAAATCAATTGATGTCGAATTTTAGGTTTTAAATTGGTAGGCTATTGTACATTTATCAAGAAAAACACAAGAAAAATTTACTTTTTTTTCAGGAAAAAGTAATTCATAAAAAAACTTTTTTGGGCTCTCAATTTTTCTGGAAATTCTTAATCTATAGGTATAGGAAATGATTAACCAATTGGCATTCTTTACAGCACTGGACTGCTATAAAAAATGTGGTGCTGGTTTATCACAAATGTTGATTGCTTTGTAAAAATAGACATACCAACACATGCACCCTGCCTAAAGGACATAATTGGGCAAAAAGTAGATTTGACCATATGTCTCAATTGTCTGTTTTGGAATTGTCTCTTTATCTGAAGTGCCCCTTCAGAATCAGTAATACTGAAAATAAAATTGTATTTAAATATACTAAAAAATCCTGTAATAAAACGTTGGTACCTAAACAGTAATAAACTGTTATTTGTTGCATTAACAAGTAACATGGGATTTCTAGCTTCCCTGCTTATCCAAGCCCTGTAACTTAAACTAGTAATAGAACATGGACTTCCAAGTATTACTTTTTTAGTTTTGCACAGGCCTCCATTGAGCTCACAAAACACAGAATAAATTTCACCCTATAATATAAGCTGCATAATATAATTTAATATTAAGATTTAGTAATGCAAACCTTATCATTTCCAGCCCACATTATTTTGCCATTATTATCTGAAGTTAAACAAAGGAGGTTTCCTCCTATTTTACACACATTTTTCATGAATCTTCCAGTGGATACATTTGCTATTCTTAACTCTCCTCTGCTGTTTCCAGTCTAACATGCAGTTAAAATTAGAAAATGTTTTTATTTAAAAAGAAGTTTACTTACCAATAATAAGTTATTATTACTGGGTTGAAATATGCAACAAAGTATTTGTGCTTTATTTGGGTCATTTATTATTCTTAGACATGTGTAATCACTTACATTCCACACTCTAATTGTAGAATCCATAGATGAACTTACAATTAAGTCATTATTAACAGACCAGTCAATTCCTATAATAAATAATTTTATTAAAGTAATTTTTAAATTATTTTTTGAATCACCTGTTATTGGTCTACTGTGTCCTTTCAAAATTGCAGAAACTGTTGGAGGCTCACTAGTAACATCACAAATGGACAAATTTCCATCTATAGAACAGCAACACAATCTTGACTTGTCATTATTAGCAAATTTAATCATTGTTACAGGTTGAGTGTGCTGAAATATATTCATTAATGTTTATTCAATTAAATAGGTAATTATATATAACCTGATCAAATATATGATGAACACCTACAAAGGCATAATTGTCTGCAATTGAGTTACCACCAACCATTGCTCTAGAAGCTTCAGCTTCTTTAGTTGGAACTACACTTCCGTTTGACCTTGATTGTGGAAATTGAATACTTGCCTAAAAGATTCTTTATAATATATTTCATTGTTAAAATATGTTTGCATTACTCTACTAAGAGTGTCAGAAGCATTGGAAGAAGGTGGATTTCCATATCTCTGTTGCAAAAGAAATGTACGTAATTTCAAATACTGCTTACAGTCATCTGGTGATAATCCAGATTCTCTTAATAGCTGACTTCGTCTTCGTATATATAATGTACCTAAATAACAATAAGGTTTTACGAGGAGCATAACAAAAATAATTTTTCTTACGAAAACTTGGACTTTGCGGGGCTCTATGTGCATTAAAGCGAGCATCCAACGCGAAAATTTGCTGTTGGACGGCACTAGTCATTTTAAAAGGTGGACAGGAATCAACAAATGTGTTTAAGTTACAACCATTCTTTAAATGTAAAATTTTATTTACAAAACATCTGTCAGCTGTTTTATGTGCAACTGACAAATAATTTGACAGATTTGTCAGAAGACAATGTTGCCAACAATATATTGAGGCAACGTCACCAAAAGTCTAAATAAAAAATCCCCTATCTTTGTTTTTTGTTAATAATTTAGGTTCTCAATTTATAGATGCCTCAATTTTGATCGTGCGGTACAAACCATATATGTGCCTCTAATCAGATTTTTCAGGAGATCGAAAAAACTTTCTAAATTATTTTGCAATATAAAGCGTGGTTCTATATCATAGACATAATAGTATTATTTCTATCTTCCATGTCCTTTTGGGCCCCGCATTTTCATGTTTCGATCGAATCTATAAATGTCACTACTATTTTCGTATTGTGCATCTTTTACGGGAGGAAGGAAGGCAATCTATAAATAAGGCTTTAGGCGGTGAAATTTTATGGGAGGCTTAAAATATTATTTTATTTTTAAATTGGTGTTTCAAAGTAGTAAAAACATGTTCGTTCACGTAGCAGCGGATCGACGGGCAAAAATAAAGTAAAAATTGAGATATGCATTTGTTGTACATGCATTTATATCACACATAAGCGCACCATACATACATTTAGATGGACACGCGTGCTCTGTACTTGGTGCGGGCTACGTGCGCGCACAAATAAAACTCTATTGCTATTTGGGTCAAATAAGAACAAGCAAATTACTATAATTATTTTATTTATTTACAATTAACATGAAATAATACAACCAAAATATTTCACTTGGTTAATACTTAAAAGTATTACTTATAAAAAGAAATAAATAACCTAGTTTTTGAAATGAGATTATTAAATATTTCTGTTGAAGAAACTATCTCCTTGAATAACTTTTATAACCATTATCATCTGTAACAAAAATAAATGGTTAAAACATACATACTTATTTAAGTTTCGCTGCGTCAATACAATACTGTTATATAAATATTAGGGCTGAGCAAATAGTGTTTTAATCAAATTGAATATGATACAGGGTGTCATCAAATAATTTGTCATCCCTTGGGAGGATAATGGTGCAAGCCAAAGTAAACATGTTTTTCATATAGCCGGTTTTGCACGGATGCTCCTCATTTACAGATTATGGACAATCAAATTATGACGTTCAAAATTCAGGGTCCACCACTGTATTCAATTCAAATTCAATTGTTTGAGTATTCAAGTATACTATAGCTTTAATAATTTAACACGCATTATTCGATTTGATTCGTCTCGAATAATTAATTCGTATATTCGCATACCCCTAAATATAAAAAAATACCCAAAAAAACCGGTACGCGCGATTGAAGTTATACTCGAGGTTATACTTCTTTGGTGAAACTAAAAAAAAACTTGTTCTGCATGCTAATAATTTATGTGTGTAGGAAAAATTGAAAAATAATTAAACAAAGTTATTAATTACAATAATTATAAATAAAGGTTTGAATAAAAACACAATTTTGATGATTTTGAATGTTTTGGAAATTATAGAAATTTTGGGAAGAATTTTGAAAATTTTAAAAACTGAAAACTGTCCGAATATTCGCACCTTTAAGTAAATAAAGACCCCTAAAAATCGTTAAGTTGAATCAGTGTGACCCATTTGTTGGCGATTCACCTCTGTAAAGTCTTTATTTATTGTTTGATTTTAACCGGATTTGTTTTAAAGTGTAGATCTTGATATACTATTTTTAGAAAATTGTACTACCTATGTCATTTTTGATAGTACATTTTTAAGAATTCATATTAGCGATTCAAAAAAAAATCTATGCACAGCACTGGATTCACCACCCCTCAAAACGACCCTATACTAAATTTTATTAAAAATTTTAAGTATGAAAGATTTTGTAGCTTCGTTAAAAATGCACAATAATTACTATGTACAAAAATATATTTTGTTTTTTAATTTAAACTAATTTAGTTTAATTTTATTTCAATGTTTTTTTCATGGATAACTTGACAGAATAAATTTTTGCAAATAGTTATTTTTAATTTGGCTACAAAATCTTTCCTACTAAAATTTTATTAATAAAATTCAGTTTAGGGTCGTTTTGAGGGTTGGTGAATCCAGTGACGTGCATAGATTTTTTTAAATCGCTAATATGAATTCTTAAAAATTTACTCTAAGAAACTGTATTTCGTAAAAATATGGGTTTTTTGCTCCAAAAATGCAGTTTATCAAGATCTACCCTTTAAACCAAATCCGGTTAAAATCGCACAATAAATAAAGATTTTACAGGGGTTAGTCGCAAACAAATTTGTCACACTGTTAATTGGTGTAACTAAAAGAAACTTGTTCCGCATGCAAATCATTTATGTTAGTACGAAAAAATGGATAATAACTTAATTTTAATGATTTTTAATGTTTCGGAAATTATAAAAATTTTGGGAATTTTGAAAATTTTTGGGAATTTTGAAATTTTTTTTAAATGTTGAATATTTTAAAATGTTTGGAAAATTTCATTAAATGATGTAGTTTTCGGCCATTTTAAGCGTGCGAAACGCATGAATTACAAAACTGATTTTATAAAAACATTGAAGATAATTTATCAAATATATATTTTGGCATCAAAATTGTTAAAAATTTTCTTCTTTTTTTAGGTTATAGATATATTAAATTATAAAAAACGCAAGAAATATTTTACAATAGTAGAGATAATTTTAATAATTGAAAGGTGTGGATGGGACAAATTATTGAAATTATCTCTACTTTTATAAAATATGTTTTGCGTTTTTTTTAATTAAATGTACCTATAAAAAAAATTAATAAAAGAAGAATATATTTGACAATTTTGATGCAAAAATAATATACAGGGTATATTCCCAGAATATGTGGGCAATCTCCCGGATTTAGATATAACACATAAAAATAATATGACAAGTTCCTTTACATTTTTTTTCCTACGGCCCCTCCTACGGAGATACCGGCCCATAACGGACGCCCCTTAAACAGTACATTTTATCTATCACGGTTAATTTTATAGACGATTTCAGAAAAAAAATATATAATCATCGAAAATTGTGTTTTTGGGTTTGTCCGACTCCCAAGTAACAGGAAACATGAAAATTAAAATCCTTCATGTAGGGCAATTTAGATAGTGGCCCAAAAATATGTCAAAAGTTTGTAATTTTTTCTAAACACTAAAAATATTAAATTAAAAAAAACTTTTTTTAAGGATAATCTCGAGGATAATAGAGCATTTAATTTTAAGTTAAAAGCGTCTTAAAAAGTTTTTTGTAGATCCTAAAAAAAATCTTACTTACACTCACAGGCAAAATAATCGATCCACACAAATTTTCGATGAATTTCAATCGCAAATAACTTTTTTATTTGATTTCGGATTTAAACGAATATTAAACAATATTGTGGATAAATTCCCAGATAGCACCATTCGTCCAATGGACGTCCGTTTAAGATCCATTTTAAGTACATTGGACATCCTATGTACATACAGACGTCCACGAGCATACGTCCATTGGACGTCCATAGTATACATTTGTGCTATCTGGGTTAATGGAGAATCGCTTACATTTTAAAAAATTACTAAAAATAGACGAACGTTTATAATATACAGGTTTAAACAAAAAGATGTTTTTTACCATAAGTTTAAGACACTCTGTAAAGTGGCAAAACAACATTGCATTTTCCAATATTTTTTTGTTCGAAGAACTAAGGTTGCTATGGTCCACCCATAGCCTATGGAGGATGACAGTGATTGTTTTGTTGAATCATCCCATACTTGGACATTTTTTTGTAAATTAATGTGTTACTTTTGAGGTGTTTTCTTACTTTTAAAAATGGATATGTCTCCGACTGATGTTTCCAGAGCCATTGCTTTAATCCTGGATGGATGGTCTCAGTATTACCTGGATTGTACTTGATTTTGGGTCAGTTCAATGTCCCTCAAAAACCAAAATATTTTCCCTCCTTTTCCGCACTCCACTAGCGGACTAGGCGAAAAAATTCTTTAAGAGGCCTTAACCATCGACACTGTCATTTACGGCCTTCTAGGCGAGATTTACCAGCCGGGGTAAAAATTCGGCTCCACCAAACACAGGCAATGCTGTGCAGTTGTGGGATACGTGGGAGAACTAAAAGGGGGTAAAATAACCCTGGGAAATCAGTATAAGGCGTTGGCGATGGGGCCAGTCATACGTTCGTCATATTCGTATTCAACAATAAAATAATAAAAAACTTATGACACTGTTGTCGCCCATGTGCGATATATATTAGGGTGGGCCGATTTTATATTTAACTTCTAAAATTTAAAAATATTAAATTCTGCATTTAAGAAAAAGTTGTGAAATAGGAAAGTAAACATTTTTTGCAAAATATTTTTTTGATATCTATATGTTTTGAACTGCCGCAACGCCTCTAAAAATTTAAAAGTAATTTTTAAAAATTTAAAATTATTCATAAGCGGGAAAGTTGTGAAATAGGAAAGTAAACTATTTTCCTTTAATATTTTTTTCTTTTTTAATGTTTTAGTGTATAAAGTCAAACTGTAAATTTTAAATTTTGCCTTAATTGCAATTATTGGAGAGACGGCGTAAAATGGAGAATAAATATTTTTTAAGATTTTCGTGTTTGACGTAGGACAGTTGACAGTTGGCTTCACTGTTTATATAAATTATAATATTTTGACATCGTCAATTAGTTGAATAATAGAAATTTTTACAAGTAGTATCTGTTTGTGATTTTTGGGTGTTTGTGAAAAATGGCAGGTAAAACAGGATTATAAATTGAATTAAATTTGTGTTGATGATAAATTCATTTTTGTTTTTGTTTTTTTTAATAAATATTTATCATTCAAAACCCTATTTTCTCTCAGATAATTTTTTTCGTATTTATAACGATACTAAATTACATTAAGATCTTTCAAGGCCTTGCGGCAGTTTAAGAAATTAAAATTAAAAAAAAAACTCTTATAATATTTTTCTGGCCTTATAAATGCACAACTTTTCCACCATTGCACAATTTGATATTTGAAAAATATTAAAATCGGCCCACCCTAATATATATATTAGTCTTTAATGTATTAAGGTTTATACATATGGTTTTAGGAAACAAATACCTCAATTTGTTTAAGTATTTTGACGAAGTAGTTTCCAGTTGCTTTGGGAAATCTCTAAGTATAAGTTATGCCGAAAATATTCAACGTTTCGCATTAGAACTATCTAAAGTCGGAGTACGGTACACAACAAAAATGCATGCCCTAGTTCATCATGTTCCAGAGTTCATTGAAAAATATCAACGAGCACTTGCCTTTTTTCTGAACAAGCGTCAGAATAAGTGCATCACTATTTTAACGATTTCAAAAAATTTTAATTTAAGTTCAAGGAATTTGCAATTTTTTAAAGAAAAACTGTTAAGGAGTATTTGTTATTATAATAGCCAGCACATATAATTACATGTATTTATTTGGACATTAAAACCTATTAAGTTAATTGAATATGATTAATATGTATTATTTTGTGAAGTAAAAAAAAATCAGAAATTTTTTATAACAAAACTATAGCGTCTACAGAAAACTTTATAAGACGTTTTTTACTTAAAATTAAACGCTTTATTATACTCAAAGGAAGTTTTTTTAAAATTTAAAATTTTTAGTTTTTACAAAAAATTTAAAAATTTTGACATATTTTTGGGCCACTATATAGAATGCCATACATGAAGGATTTTATTTCTCATGTTTCCTGTTACTTGGAAGTCGGATAAACCCGAAAACAATAGTTTCGATGATTATATATTTTTTTTCTGAAATCGTCTATAAAATTAACCGTGCTATGTCAATCAAGATTTTTTTTACAGGGTTCCCACCAACATTGTCATTTAAAAAATCAAGACTTTCATGACCAAAAATTAACTTTTTCATGACTTGGTTCATGACTACAGTGAATAAGCCTAGCAAGCCTAGCAAGAAATTAACCTTTTTTATTGAAAAACATTTATTCGTTATAAAATAAATTCTTATAAAATAGAAATAAAGTAAAATTTATAATAAAAACCGAACATAAAAATATTTAATTAAAATAAAAATTTTTTACAAATAATTATATGGCAAAAAGCTAAAAGAGTATAAGTAGTGTTACTAAAAATAGACGTTATTTCGTTTGAATTAACCTTAATTACAAAAATGACACAATTATACAATGCAAATTGTCAATTTTTTATTTTGTTGAAGGGCTTTTTCAAATATTTTGTGTTTAGGCGTTTTAATGTGAATGTCTACAGCAGCTTTTCCCATGTTGCATGCTGCATGATTTGTTGCATATTTTACAATAAAATCTTGTAGGGTCATTGACAACTGGGGTTATGAATCATAACTTATGATATTAACAAAATTACCATTTAAATCTGCATTTTGCCAATATGGATGAAAATATGTCTTTTTCTTTGGCATGTTTGCATAAAGCCGAAGCCACAGAACATAAGCCCTGCAATCGGTTAATAAACTTTAGAAAAATAGGAGAACATTAGTTACATTACTTACCAAAATTAAACAAAAATAATTCCGTATCAGTGCAATTATGACCGTTAGTGAGACCATGGAGCCTACACAAGGAGCCCGAACTTAATAGGGAAAATTGACAAAACCTGTCCACTAAATTGCACAATTTAAGTCTTTTTTTTTCACCACCAGCGGCGCTGTTTGTCAATGCGTCCGTATGACGTGAAAATAGTATCAAAAATACATGTGAAGTAAGCAAGTAATTTTGACAATTGATTTGCAATAATGTTTTGACATACGAATCGATTTCTTATTTATGGCTGTACCTGGTAGGTAGATTCTAATAAATAGGTTTTGGTTGTGAAATATAAGTGATTCTTTATAATCTGTGAAGTGATTTTACGACTCTGGAGAAGCAAAATAAATAGGTTTTGGTTGTGAAATATAAGTGATTCTTTATAATCTGTGAAGTGATTTTAAGACTCTGGAGAGGCAAAATTAGATTTCCAGGTTAGAAATACACCGCTATTTAATAATTTAAATTTAATTTAAATAAAAATGTATGTATAAAATGAGTAAACAGCATATTTAATAATTTCCACCTTTATTTGTTTATATTGAACTTTTATTTAAGCCATCTACCTATAAAACTAAAAATAAATACCATATGGATTTAATATTCTGTTACTTTTACACGATTTAGCATCACACGACATTCTTTTATAGAAAAAAACACGTATTTATAAAAAACTGTACTATACTCTACATTAGAAAGTCCAACATGAATTCCAATGTTAAATTTGATATAAATTTATTGTAAATTAAGACCTTTATACACAAAACCAGGTACATGTGTACATTGTTTTCAAAAAGCGATAAACTGACAGTTGCATAACCTCAATTATTTCCACAATAATAAGTGGTAGGTAGTGGCGCCATCTCTGGTTATACCACTCTACTGTTTTGGACCGGTAGTACACCAGCGCCCTCTTATCTTAGGAAGATTCTTGTTTACATGAAGTTCGGGCTCCTTGTATAGGCTCCATGAGTGAGACATTGAAATTGCATTCGTTTAAAAATGACACATGAGAATGCAGTGTTGCCAGGTCAAAATATGTATATGGGGTTGCCCAGAAGACAGCTTTGCCAGGTTATATTATAAAAATAATTTGAAAATTTTTGTCTAACATACCTATAGGTAATATACCTACCTATAGGTAATAAATGTAATACCTATAGGTAATATATGTAATGTATGAAACAATAAATTGATACAAATTATTATAAATCAAGAAAAATAATTGTTTTTAATTGAAAATCAAGACATTTAAGCTATATTTAGCTTCAATTCAAGACTTTCAGGTTCAAAAGTTGTATTCATGACTTTATCAAGACTTTCAGGTTTTTCAGGATTGGTGGGAACCCTGTTTTAGATTAAGGTTTAAGCTGACTAAAAGTATTATTGTTGTGCCTTTATAGTGCAGGGTGTTACTCTGTTAGAGCTAGTCCATCCCTGGCAAACTAAATAAGCCAAATGTGATTAACAGTGCCAATTTTAAGGAAACTTTCCTTATACAAAAAATGTATAGGAACTTGTCATATTATTTTTATGTGGTATATCTAAATCCGGGAGATTGCATACATATTCTGGAACACCCTGTAATAGTTATTTGTTTTAGAAGTGTTGAAAAGCGACTTTTTCATGCGAGTTTTTAAGTTGCCCACGAGGCCGTTAGGACGAGTGTGCATTAACACAAGCTTGAAGAAAGCTTTTCTCACAAGTATAACACAATGGTTTTTCTGCGACCCTTTTATTTTTTATTATTTTTAAATACAAAACAAAATAACCTAAAAACTTTTTTGACAGCTTTCCGGTTCTTTTCCCACAGACCTGTCACTTTTCACACAGAAATGTCACTTTACATTCGTGTTTTGCCTTGCCAATGAAAAGATTCATTTTCTAAGCAACGATGCCATCATGAAAAGTTACTTTTACATAGTGGTCATAGAAAAAATAAATTACCTACAATTTTTTTATAAAAACAGTTTTGTGATTTATGTGTGCTTTTGTATGCTTAAAATGGTCGTTTTGTAAAATTTGTAAATGTTGGGAATTATAAAAATTATGGAAATTGAAGAAATCCTGTCCGTAGGTATGCTTAAAATGGCCGTTTTGTAAAATTTGGGTCTTCTGAATAGGAAGTAGTGGTAGTAAAAGTGGTGGTGGTGGTGGTGTGGTGGGGATGTCTACAACACGTGGACCAAGTGCGATGGTCGAAAGAACAAACCTGGGGCTAGCGAGGAGCGGGGGGTGGTGGAGCATATGGGAAGTACATCCCTGCGACCCCCTGGGCGGGCGGCGGCGGGGGCGGGGCGTTAAAGAACATCGCCCCGCTGGGCAACTGGTAGGCCCCCCCGTAAGGAGCAGTGGGCGGTGGAGGTGGAGGCAGACTCTGGTACTGCAGCATGGGCTGCGGCGGCAGCGGGGGCGGCGCCTGTTGCAGCTGCAGCTGCTGCTGCACCGGGTGCTGCTGCTGCACGGGCGCCATGATCGCGTTGACGGGAGGCGGCGGCGCTGCCGTCGACGAGGTGGTGGTGCACTTGCCTGAACGCTTCGGTGGCGAGCGGTCGCGATCGCGGCCCCGGTCGCGGCTCAAGCTCCTGCTGCGGCTGCGGCTCCTCCTGCGGCGGCTGCGCTCCCTCGATCGGCTGCGGTCGCGTCTGCCGTTGTTGTTTCGCCGCGGCGATCGTGAACGAGATCGCGAAATTGATCTTCGGCTCTGCTGGCCGCCGCCGTTGCGGTTTCTTCCCCAACGATTTCGACCTGCAAACAAGAAATTTTACCGGAGTTACAACAATGGCTGGCTCAAGCTAAATTTTGAAAAAGGAAGCAAAAAATAAACTTTAAAAGAAAAACCAAGACAATAGAAAGAATGTACCATTTATGTGATTTTTTCCAAAGGATTTTTGTTTAACATATTTTTCTTTTATTCACCTATTTCGATTATTTCTAGAGATGTAAAAAAAAAGTTTTTTTTCAGATGTGAAATAGTATATTACACTACATGGGCAGAAAGTGTGAGATTCCTGCGTATACTATTTTTCTTACCACCTCGGCCGAAAATACAACCCGGCCGAAAATACGGGAAAAAATTAAATGTGTATTTATGTACCTATCTCCATTTGAAGAGCTTGATAAATAAATAACAGTAGGCCGTGAATTCAGCGGTGCCAATACAGTAAAAATAAAAGGTTGTATTTTAATTAACAAATTACTACTTTATAACAAATAAAAGTACCATTAAACACTTAAAACAACATAAAAAGTAAAAAAGTAAAAACATAAATTGTTTATTTGTTGTTATAATTGCAAAATTATGGTTTAAAACTGTCATATTTTTGTGTTTCTCATGTTGGCAGTACGAAATTTGAATGTTAAGCACACGACTAAAAATTTTTTACTCCCGCTATTAGAGTGTGCGCGTATAGCTTGACCAATGCATAAAACGTAAACTTTCTGCCGTGGAATCAGGGACGAAACAACGTATTTTGAGTCGAGGTAGTAAGAAAAAAACGTTTTTTTTCAAGCGGCCATGATATACAACGTTATATGCATGTATAGAGATAGTTGAAGTACGTCATTTTCATTAGCGGCAAACAAAAAACTCAAAAAAGCCTAGGGATAGAAGTAAATCCATAGGTGACTCAATAGACGTCAAATAATAAAATTAATTTAGCATTTCATACAAAGCAATCACGATGTATTAATTATATTAATTATAATCGCACGGAATATTTAGTGATTATTTATTAAATTTTAATTGAACGAAATAAAGAACAACTAGTTTATTAGTATAATATAATGATGATAGACGAGTCGCCAATGTCGGAACTCCAAACAAATGTCAGTACGTCAAAATTAATTCAAGCGCAGCATTTTGACAGAGCAGTGTTTATTTTTAGTTTAGGCTTTGTTATCTATGGTTTAGGATATTTATCGGCATTGTAAGTAAGGGTTATAAGTTTTTTTACTTTTTATCAATAATTTGTAATGCTTTTAGCCAAAATTTTATACCACATGAGTTATAAGTAAATAAAATAATTCTATTGCTTATCCTATTTAAATTACGCCCTTGAAAAAAAAATTGTATATGTTATTTGGAGTAGAAGCTCTTTTTGTGCTTCGTACAGTTGCCTGCCTCAGCTACGCTTCGGCCGTCAATCTCTGTACTCACCACAAAAAGAGCCACTTCTACTCCTTATGACATAATCTACTATTTTTTAATATTTTGTAAAGACGTGTACTAAATTTTCTTACATTTTTGTTTTAGTATATTTGATATGAGAATACCATACCACATCTACTTTTTGCACTCCAAAACAAAAAAAAATAGTATACAAAAAGTATCGGGTGTCACACGGCTTTTATAAATATAAAAGAAATATTTTATGAACATAAACAACATTGTTAAAAATAAAAATGCAATGAACTGTAAATATTTTCAAAATTTTTGTGAAGTTAAGGAAACGTTAATAAAAAATAAGGTAATGTATCTAAAACATTTACAAAAATATTGTAAAAATGAAAAGTGGGACATTTTAGAGAAATTGAAAATGACTAATTTTTCTAAAATATTTAGTTCATTTAGCAAAAATATTTACTCAATATTTTAAATATATTTTTGTGTTATGTGAGTTTTGTTACTTTTTGAAGTGAAATTTTTTGCTGATGGGTACATCAAAACATGGCGTTACGAAAGATGCAAGTGAAACCGCGCGCGCACAATTTTATTTCTACGTCGTATTACTTTAGCTGCGTTCTTTTTTACTGAGATCTCAACTCACTTCACGGCCATTTCAGGCGCGCGAAACGCACGAATTACAAAACTTTTTTTTATAAAATAAATTGTAGATAGTTTATTAAATAATATTTTGGCATCAAAATTGTCAAAAATATTCTTCTCTTATTAGGCTATACATTAAACAAAAAACACGCAAGAAATATTTTACAAAACTAGAGACTTTCAACTCAAAGTATCTAGTTACCCGAGGAATTAAGTTATTTTGTTTAAAGTATCTTAGAAAAGTAACTAGATACTTTCCCAGCTCTGGGAGGGGGTGAGGCAAAAAAAACATAAGAAGTTTGTATTCCTTTAGCCTTCGTGACCACTTCCTGCCGCATTCAAAAAGCGCCAAATTAATTTTATGTGTATACATAAAATTAATTCTATAATTCCTATTATATTAAGTCATAATTTTAATTGAAACTTACAAATACATTGCATTAATTTTATGTGTACACAAAATTAATTGTAAAATAAAAATGATTGTCGTGTTATAAATAAGAGATTGGAACTTAAAAAATGATAAAATAAAATAGTTTAAAAATGTTGTTTAAAAAAAAATTGTTTAACAATGTTTTTGTTCTTACAATAATTCAAACATAAATTTCAAAGTAAAAAAATAAAGAACCTCATACGGAATAAAAATGAACCAAATTTAAATGTCGAAAATATTAATTCAACTAACAAAATAATATGTAAAATGTTTAAAAATATTCGTCAAGTGTAAAATATTTAAATATTACAAAAAAATGCGTATCAAATTAAAATGTGTCATAAAAAATAAATATTATTATGCCTGGACATAATAATAATTTGCTATTTTTACTATCTGTACATTACATTTGAGGAGCATCCGTGCAAAACCGGCTATATCCACTTTAATAAAATGTTGGGAAAATGGCAAAATCTCTCGGTTTCCTGGCCTTTACAGATAAAAGAAAAAGCAAACTTGAGTTTTGTGGGCTTTGTGGTACTTGATTTATAAGACATACTTTCGTTTTCAAAAACTTTATATTAAGGCCAAAATTTCAAAAAATGTTTTGTATATAGCCGGTTTTGGTCAAAAACCGAATAAAATGTGAAAAAAAACCTTTATTATTCAAAAATATTAACAAAATAAATTTAGTGCAAACATGAAAAAACAGAACAAATTTTAGTAGTAGCATGCTCATCATCATTATTATTTATTGGATATAGCCGGGTTTGCTATAAAAACGTGGATTTGGCCGGTTTTGCTCCTAAAGCTACCTTTTAAATGTGATTTTAACATGGATATAGTCGGATTTAAACAGAATTATCTTGGTTGTCGATGGAAATGAACCCAAAGATGCGAAATCAGAAAAAAACCCAAAAACTGAATAAAATGGATTCAGCCGGTTTTCCACGGATGCTCCTCATTTATGCTTGGAATAATCTTATTTAATTATTATGTCAGACATGATAAAATTTATGAAAAATAATATATTCCCTAATTTTAAAAACCCACTTAAATTTTCTTTTGAATTTAAAACATTTACGATTAAAAAGTGAAATGGCGTGCCATAAAAAAAACAAGAAAGTATAAAATATAATATTGCTTTGATTGTTTCTCACCTCTTCCGGAGTTTCCGTTGGAGCTCCATCCCCTGTCGGCCATCTCCTGCAACTTGGGATTGATAACTTGCTTGGCCTCCTTGAGTACGGCCACCAGATCGGCGGCTTTGTTGTGGTTGCTCGGCGTGAAGAAGGTGTACGCGGTGCCGGTGCGCTGCGAGCGCCCGGTGCGACCGATCCGGTGCACGTAGTCCTCCGAATTCGACGGGTAATCGAAATTGATTACGAACTTTACGTCTTCCACGTCTGTAAAATTACCACGTTAGTTTGTCTCTTATTAGTTTAAGGTAAATTCTCATATAACTTGTTTCGATGCTATATCCACTTATTTTTGTGAAAACTAATTCTCGCTCAAGGTTTTTTTTAGTGTAATGAGCATGTAGCATTTTAAGGTAATGGGAACTTAAATTATGACAACCCTAATCTATTAATTTTTTCCTAAAATGCAGGCTTTATGTTGCAAATGTCACGTAAGTTACCGGCCACCAACTGCAATATCCTAACATTGATGAATATTTTAACAAAATGGCTGTTGAAACAACTAATGTTAGTGCTTGATTAACTAAAAATAGACTTAAGATTGACGAAAAATTATTTTATCCGAAATCGGCAGTAAAGTAGAACTTTACTGCCGATTTATTTTAATTTACGATTGTTGACTACTTTACTGCCGATTTCGGATAAAATAATTTTTTGTCAATCTTAAGTCTATTTTTAGTTAATCAAGCACTAACATTAGTTGTTTGAACGGCCATTTTGTTGAAATATTCATCGATGTTAGGATATTGCAGTTGGTGACCGGTAACTTACGTGACATTTGCAACATAAAGCCTGCATTTTAGGAAAAAATTAATAGATTAGGGTTGTCATAATTTAAGTTCCCATTACCTTGAAATGCTACATGCTTATTACACTAAAATAAACCTTGAGCGAGAATTAGTTTTCACAAAAATAAGTGGATACAGCATCGGAACAAGTTATATGAAAATTGACCTTAACGAGTCGTCGTCGTTGCCGTTTTTATCGAAATGAAAGTGGCGCAGTCGATTTAGACATTTTACAAACCAATATATCAAAAAATATACAATATTGATACGTTTATGTATATTTTTTATTAAAAACAAATAAATTGACTGAGCAATACCTACCACAATAAAACAATGGTTACAAAGTATGTACAAGGTTTTGACAACAATAATGTAGAATTATTATAAACTAATTTATATCTCATAAAACAGGATTCTGAAGTATTGGGTTATTTTAAGCTTTTTGTGCTGTTGATATTATTTCTTTTACGTTTATGTACTCTCCAAACCACTCGTTATTTTACAGCATGTTAGTTTATAGTGATGACGTTAAAATTTCAACTCAAAATAAAAACTTCAAAAAATGTTAAAATCATAGCCGGTAGTCGAAAAACTTACACATTTCTTATAAGGTTGATTACATTTCATACAAAATGTTTTGTTTTTTTGTAAATAAATAAAAAATATTAAAACATTTTGTTTTGGGCTTCATTAATACTTACTTACACTACACACAATGTACAATATTTTAGAACATACAAATCCGAACAAATAAACAGCTTTCAAATTAAAACATGTCTCCTCAAAAATACACATTAATGGTTAGAATTAAAAAAAAATCGATTTTAGCAACTCTAAACTACCCTACAATAACTGTAGGACCTTTTTACCATTCAGACAGCTATGAAACTTTTTTCAAAACTACGTTTTAAGGTAGTTACGTTTGTTTTCATACGCCATTTTTTTATTTTGTATCTAACGAGCTTGCTCATGAGATTTTCTTAAAAAATAAACTATAATATTAATTTTTAAGCTATCAAAATCACCCTATTTGGTTTCTTGAGTTTGGCAACGAATTTTTGAAATAATCCATGGGAAATAACACTTCTGCACAAGTGTTATTTTTCATAGGATCATGTTGATGGCTTAGACATTGATTATTACAGTATATTTATTATGGAAACCTCAAAAAACAATTTTTAGCACTTTTTAAAATTGCCATTTTAAATTTTATGAGGCCAACTTAAGAAACACAAAACAAAAATTAAGTTGATTGTTCCAGATTTAATATTTTTAAACTAGGTACTATTTGCTAGGTGCTTAATTACATAGTATTATTTGGTAAAAAAAAATGTTAGAGACAAATTTTTCGACCAAAAAATATTAAAAAACCGTATTAAGTTTATAAGGAAAAACATTTTTTATTTATGGATTTTTGATGAAGTCATTGTTATTGACATAAAAATAATTGAATTTCATCTACAGGATTTTTCAAAAATTATGAAGTCATGAAATTTATTCATCTTTTAAATTTTGTCATTTGAATTATAAACGAAGTCTGAATACAAAAATTACGACAAAAATTATATAGTTGAGTTTTCTTTGTTTTTTTCTAGGATCGAGTTATTTATATTATTATGTTTAATTTTTCAAAGAAAAATTAATTAATGTTTTGATTGTCAAAAAAATAGCATTAAGCAGTAAAGTTTGGGATTTGAACTACAGGATGTTGAAAGTTAGAAAAACAAAATCTATTCAAGACATGGAAAATACAAAGAAAAATCAACTATATATACAGGGTGATTCACCTAACTAACTCATTAGAATTTAATGGAAAACAGAAAAAGATATCGATTAGAAATTTGTATAGCAATTATAAGCCAATGTAAACTATTTTTTTAAATTATTTTTAATGCGTTATCACTTCCAGTTAAACCGGAAATAATATCAACTTTGATTTTTCATATGGAACCATATAAATATTATTGCATTTTAAAATTCTACGTAAAATTCTAGAAATACTAAAATTTGATTATTTTTTTTATTTTTAACAGTTTTTGAGATATTTAACTTTTTCAAAAATTTTGACAGATGGATTGTCTTACTAATATGTCTGTATTACCACTAATTGTAATGTTAAAAAGTTAATTTTTGGTGTACCTGTTAACTAAGGAGCACTCTATCGAAAGCCATTTTTTTGTCACTTTAAATACCAATAACTTTCTTATTTCAAACGAAACTACCATACAATGTTCACATCATTCGACACAAAATATTGTTTTCTATTGAAATGCTGTACAACCCTGTATAAAATTTCCAAATAATGGCTTTGAAAGAGTGCTCCTTAGTTAACAGGTTCACGAAAAATTAACTTTTTAACATTACAATTGGTGGTAATACAGACATATTAGTAAGACAATCCAACTGTCAAAATTTAAAAAAATATATCTCAAAAATTGTTTAAAATAAAAAATAATCAAATTTAGTGTTCCAAGAATTTTACGTAGAATTAAAAAATGCAATAATATTTATATATGTACCAACTGTCAAAGTCTTAATTTCAAGACAACTTAATAAATTGAGAAGACAGTATATTTTGTGGAAAATCTCGAAAAATTAGTATTATACAGGGCCATATTAATATTTACATTTTCTTAAAGTGGATAAAATTATCAAACATTTGAAGTATGTATTTTTTAAAATAAGTTAAAAATAACAAAGCTATACTGCCCTGTTAAGGATAGAGGTCGTATCTACAATATTTTGTGGTAAAGGACAGAAGAAAATTTTAATTTTTAAAAACAATAAAGAATAAAGTTTTTGCTTTACTACCACAAACTGCCGTTCGAAGACAAAACTTCATATCTGCAATATTTAGTAGTTAAGCAAAAAAGCCATTTTTTATCGTTTTTTAAAATTAAAATTTTCTTCTGTCCTTTACTACAAAATATTGCACATACGACCTTTATCCTTAACACGGCAGTATATTATGTCTATAATAGACATATTGCCCCATTAATATTTTTTCGAGATCATTGACAAAACATAAGTTTGTGTAAATTTTAGTGCTTTTAAAATTAAGACCCTTTGATTGTCAAGGTATATATAAACTTAACTTTACAATTCTTATACAAAAACTTTATACAAACTTAGCGTGGATTAAGCCGGAGCCAATGTATTTAAGACGGATAGTAATCGATGAGATCTCCTAGATCTTCCACCAGGCTCTCTCGTCCCCCACCGTTTGGTCGGGGTAGGGAGTAGGTAGAAAATATTTAGAACGAGGCAAAAATCCAAAAAATAACATTTTTTAATTTAATTTATAAACATGAAAAGAAGTAATAAACCCAGGGATGTTTGCAAATGATGGGAAATTTTGCTGTGTTGATATAAACGGCTCCAGGTACTATTATACAGGGTGTCCGGGAAAAGGAGGTCAATAAGTTAACCATATATTCCTTGAGTTAAAACAATAAGACTTTCATAATACCATTTTTCAATTTAGAGCTTCATGTTCGATATACAGGGCGACAAAGTTTAAAATTTAAAACTGATTTTTTTTAATAATTCGAGTAATTGATAAGATACTAAGTTTAAATTCGGTACACTACTTCAACATAAATAGTTACATTTTTTGAGACCAACAAAACAAAAAACAATTGTCAAATATTCAAAATAGGGGGGTTCAGTACTCACTGACTCCCCCTATTTTTTAGTACGTGCGCCAATGACTTCCAAACGGTATTTTTTCAGGTAATCATTTATTGTTAAAAAAAATTTGTCTCTTATAAAATTTTGATAAAATGATTTGTTTTAGAGATAATTTGTAAAGTATGGGTCAGTCCATATCAAATCAACCAAAGGTTCTTCCCCCACCATCTCCGATTTTGAGCATTTTTGGTAAATTTGTTTACCTCACTAAAAAACTCAAAAATCCCATATATGAATTTTTTTCGATAGGTGGTTTTTGTTTTATTGATTTTTGAAAATCAAAAAATTCCGATAAATTTGGGTCTTGCAAGTACTTACAAAAATAGCGATATCTCGTAAACTATTAAAAGTAGAAAGGTGAGTGATGGCTTATTTTAAAGCCCTATTAAAGAACTTTTTTATGATATATCACATGACCTACATTTTTTCAAAAAAAATTTTTTTTTGAAAATTTGATATGGACTGACCCATACTTTACAAATTATCTCTAAAACAAATCATTTTATCAAAATTTTATAAGAGACAAAACATTTTCAACAATAAATGATTACCTGAAAAAATTCCGTTTGGAAGTCATTGGCGCACGTACTAAAAAATAGGGGGAGTCAGTGAGTACTGGACCCCCCTATTTTGATTATTTGACAATTGTTTTTTGTTTTGTTGGTCTCAAAAAATGTAACTATTTATGTTGAAGTAGTGTACCGAATTTAAACTTAGTATCTTATCAATTACTTGAATTATTAAAAAAAATCAGTTTTTAATTTCAAACTTTGTCGCCCTGTATATCGAACATGAAGCTCTAAATTGAAAAATGGTATTATGAAAGTCTTATTGTTTTAACTCAAGGAATATATGGTTAACGGATTGACCTCCTTTTCCCGGACACCCTGTATAACACTGTGCAACACAAAAAATGAACTGGGATCAAATCTGAAAAAATCGAATCTAGGCAACCCCCAAAACAAATCCTTTAAGGGGTTTTACCAGTTTAGCTCGAATAATGGAGATATACATATATATATGTACAGGGTGAATCTTTTAACTTGAGACAGCTCAATATCTCGAGAAATACGCATTTCACGGAAAAATGTCTTTAATAAAAGGTTAATGTGACTAAAGGGGACATTTTTTGGTGCTACCGCTAGCCACCCCCTACCCCTCCTTAAGGGTGAAACGGGGGGTAACTTTGGAAAGTCAAATGGAATGACCCGATTTTTTTCACAGAGTTTGGTAGAACATAAAAAAATAAATAAATTTTATTTAAAACTTTTTTCAATTTATCAACAGATGGCGCTGTAATTCAAAATTTAAGAAAAATGAGTTTCCTTGTAAAATGTATTATTTGAAACGTTTGAAAAACAAAAATTAACATTAACAACAATAGTCGGCTATGAAAACAATTTATAACAATTGTTCGAAATGTCGTCATTCCATTTCAACACATTTTTGAATGCGGCTAATGAATTCTGGCACACAACGCGCCAACATATTGGGCGGTATCGCCGCACAGGCGTTCCTGATCCGCCCCACCATGTCCTCCCAAGTTGTAGGAATTGTAGCGTAAACTTTTTCTTTCAAGTAACCCCACTGGAAGAAGTCTGGGGGCGTAAGATCAGGTGATCGAGCAGGCCAAATTACTGGACCACGTCTACCGATCCACCGCGGTGCACCGGCCATTGAACTCCCGATCCAACACCTCTCGAGCAATTGTCGAATAATGTGCAGGACCACCATCTTGCTGGTACCACATGTTTTGGAGCCGTGCTAGTGGTACATCCTCCAAAAGGTCCGTCAGATCGTTTTCTAGAAAATTCCGGTACTTTTCGACATTTAATGCACCGTCAATAAAGAAGGGTCCGATTAATCGTTCGCTTAAGGTACCGCACCAAACGTTTACCGACCAGGGACGCTGGTGCTCCACTTGGTGTCGAAATGGAAGGACGACATTTCGAACATTTGTTATAAATTGTTTTCAGAGCCGACTATTGTTGATTTAATGTTAATTTTTGTTTTTCAAACGTTTCAAATAATACATTTTACAAGGAAACCCCTTTTTCTTAAATTTTGAATTACAGCGCCATCTGTTGATAAATTGAAAAAAACTTTCAAATAAAAGTTATTCATTTTTTTATGTACTACCAAACTCTGTGAAAAAAATCGGGTCATTCCATTTGACTTTCCAAAGTTACCCCCCGTTTCACCCTTAAGGAGGGGTAGGGGGTGGCTAGCGGTAGCACCAAATAATGTCCCCTTTGGTCACATTAACCTTTTATTTAAGACATTTTTCCGTGAAATGCGTATTTCTCGAGATATTGAGCTGTCTCAAGTTAAAAGAAACACCCTGTATATCTCCATTATTCGAGCTAAACTAGCAAAACCCCTTTAAAGATTAGTTTTGGGGGTTGCATAGATTCGATTTTTCCACATTTCATCCCAGTTCAAATTGTAAGGTCAAAATTTGTCGCACAGTGTAATTAAGGGCTCAGTTCAGTAATTTTAATATTTTTTACCTAATTTAAAAAATATTTATAATAATTTTACTCATTTTAATTCCAATGAAAAATAATGTAAATTTTGAAATTAAGTGTTTATTAAACAATGTATTCAACAAGTTTTAATTTGAAAGTAAATTTGTTGGATAGCATAGTGTTGAATTAAAATTGCCTAGCTATAGTTTAAAGAAAAAATGTAGTTATAAAAAAAAACACAAACACATATCCTACCTATTTAATAGTATGCATGTATGAAATAAAGTTAAGCTGGTTTCTTAGTCTGAAAGGTTCGTGTTTTTTATGATTAGGTTATATTTTGCGTACCAAAATTAGTGAGTGCATCGTCTGTCATACGGGCTCGACAGAAGGCTTGGCAGTAAGAGTAAGTAACCCTTTACCAACCAAAGTAGCCAGCCAGTGGCGAGCACCTTGCGAGTCCACAAACGGGCGGGCGCCCTTGTGATCGAGAGTCGCGGCGCCAGAGGGCCCCTTGAGGGGCGGCGGCGGCGACTCCGGCGTATAGGGCGGGCTGCGTGCTGTCGGGGAGAGCGGCCGCCTTCGGCCAGGTTTTAGCCAGCAGTCCTAGACCACAGGGCTCCAACATGGCCGCCGACCTTGGCCTCAGCGCACGCACACACCACCTTGACAGAGGGCATTGGTCGTGTTTCATGACTCGATTGAGAGAGGCACAGCCACAATGACACATCGCATACGTCATGTCATCGTTTTTATTAATAACACGCTTGTGCCTCTGGAAAAGAGAGTAGTGCCCATTTATTTTTCATGTTGCTGGCTCTTAGCCCCATGCACACTGGTCAACAGGCTAATACCACTGACGCTACTAACTTACTCCCGATCATTTTGAAAATCAAACAAAATCAAATAAATCAAAAATTAACAATGAAAAACAACTGGGTTATTAGCCTGCCAATCATGTTCAAAATTCAAAATTAAACAATATTTACATTAAAATATTAAAATAAAAACAAGTTAATATTTGTTTTTTTTCTATTGCCACATACCTAAACCTCTTGCGGCAACGTCAGTTGCCACCAAAATTGGAGCCTTGCCTGATCTAAAATCTAAAAGAAAATAATAATAATATCGTGTCTTTAACAATGAAATTAGTTTTTAAAAAATTACCTTGTAAAACCCAATCTCTATCCTGTTGTGATTTGTCACCATGGATGCAAACAGCTGGCCATCTACAAAAATACATTAAATAGTCAAAAAAATGTCTTGCTTATTGTTCTATGCAAGGTCTAGGGCAGTGGCAGCTTGTGGTCAGTCAAAGTAAGGAGGCTAAACAGCAAGTGATGTAATTTTTTTAAGACGCGTTTGCCACTAAAGTTATCCCACGTGTTTTAATTTCTTTTTCCAAAACACCGCAAAATGTTAAAATAGTATCTAGATTAAAAGAGTTTCCATAGATGTCTTCGAAATTTAATATAAGATTTTGTGAGACATTAGACACATTTAAAAATAATATCAGATTGTTTACAGCACAGATTTCAAGAATAGTATATTCTGTAACAAGTTTGGAATACAGCATATACTTTTTTCTACTCCTATTACGGAATTTGACCCTTCTAATATCACTTTTATCTATGGAATGACATATATTCCGTAAAGTGTTACAGAATGAAATATTCTATCATCTGATGAAAGAATAAACACTCGTGGCGACATCTCTGTTTTTAATATCTAACAAATTTTAGACCGATCCAACCTCACTTTCTTCCAATTAAATTATTTTTCTATGGTATTTTTTGGAAACGTAGAAAAAGAATAGTCTGAAACACGTTTGGAATTGCATATTCCGCTCTCGTGAAACCGTCAAACTCGCCTTCGGCTCGTGTGACAAACTCTTCACTCGAGCGGAATATGCTGTATTCCAAACTTGTTACAGAATATACTATTTAGTCGGCCGCGGTCGTGCGAACTTTTTTAGGAATGGATTTTAAATAACTACGGAATCTTTAGACAAGTACCCTCCTCAGTTCAGTTTTTTCATTTATTACGAAAATATACCATTGCAATAATAATTAATATTGTAAATTAATTACAATTTCACTAATTAATCACTAAATGGTCATTAAGTTGAAATTTAATAGGTACATATTTAAATAAAATAATTGAAGTAAATTGATTAACATTTTTGAAAAGGCTTGCCTTCCCTGACGGGCCGCCACTCGTCTAGACTTAAAAAAACTAAGACTATAGTCCAGTCAAACCGTCGTGAAAAAGGGTCTGACCTGTCTGAGTTTTATTCATAAATCAATAGGAATTTCAGAACAAAAAAGTCAAAATGCCATAAACCTTAATAATGCAACATAATTACAAAATATGAGACAGTGCAATACCAACATATTTGCTTTAAATAATGAAATAAAATCTTTCTAAAAATTATAGACGAATACGAAATATACTTATTAAAAGCCATTGGATTTGCCATGCTGAGGTTGCAAAAGGTCGTTCTACTTTCTTCAAACTTGATTATCAAAACTTCAAACTAGATTATCTCATTTCAATGTTTTTTGAGTTACGGTAGTCTTGAACACTAAGTGCGATATGTTATATTATAGGTTATGTACATGACTTACAGTGACCTATAAGTTTACATTTTCTCTGCTGATTTCAAGCCAAACGCGATATGTCTTCCTATGTAATTTCAATGTATTTTCATTATTGTACGGCGGTGTATAATAATTCAGGGATCCCACGGCTAAATTACAAATTTTATTTAGGAATTTAGGAGGTTTTTTGGTAATTTTAGCAAAAATAAAGTATGCAAATGATTTTATGTAATTAAATAAAAACAACTCTACACTGTCCATAAAAAAATATAAAAAAATAATTGTTTTTAACAAAAATATAAATAAATATTACTTCTTTTGTACAAATTGACACATTGACTAGTTTTTTAGACAAATCGCTCGACGATTTTTTTAAATAAAATTAAAAGTAAGGTAAAATTACTACTTTTTTATATACCTGAAGTATATACACAAGTAGAACTTTCAACACACTTTTAATTTTATTTAAAAAAAAACGCGTCGATAGATCAAACGATGTTATATTTAGTTTTGAAAAATAAATGTTAACTGTTTAGTTAATAACTAACAATAATTGTAATGTGGATTCTGCTACTCAAAAATCTCATAATAGAAAAAATATAAAGTTTGCATAATACAGCAAAACATTCTTTAGATTGTTTACTATTTTGGCTATCATTTAAAAGAAAAATACTTTTGTTTGATATATAACACGGTAAAAACAAACCAAATATGGCCAAAAATGTCAATTTTTTTAGAAGTCTAAAAGCTATTACATGGATTTTGTTTTTAGGTGTATTTTGTTGTTTTTTAAGAAAAAAATAGGTTGTGATATATCATTTTAAACAGAATTTAATAAACTAGAACCTAAAAATATATTTTTTTTAATTACTTTTTAAAAAAGAATTTTTTTAGCACGACAACTACCTTAATTAAACGCATATTTTAGTTAAGCCAAATTTTAGGAATTTTATGAGTTTTAGGTGTGGGAGCCCTGATAATAAAGGCTTTTGAGTGTTATAATATGAACATTATTATATGCTTAAAAAAAGTTTGATCTTTAAAACTAAATTAGAATTAAACTGCATACTATACTTTAATAATAAAGAGTACTTGGTATTTTATAAACAAAATTTTAACAAAAATTAAATTGTTCAATGTATTGGAAAAAATATAAAGGACTTACCCATCCCTTTTCATTTTCCTCGTAATATCATCCACCCTCTTCTTAGTCTCAATGAATATAATTGTCTTATTTTCTTTCTCAGACATAATCTCTTTTAACAAGGTGCTCAACTTGGTTTCCTTCTCGTATTCTTGGCAAACGTCGATAATCTGTAAAATATTGTGATTCGCCGAGAGCGACAGAGATCCTACGTTGATCTGAACGTAATCTTTTAAAAACTCTTGCGCCAACGCTTGCACCTCTTTGGGCCACGTTGCCGACCACATCAAAGTTTGTCGATCCGGACGAATTTGTTCGATAACTTTGCGGATTTGCGGCTCGAAACCCATGTCTAACATCCTGTCAGCCTCATCTAACACTAGGTAAGTGCAACGTCGCAAGTTTGTTCTGCCGCTTTCCAGGAAATCTATCAAGCGCCCCGGGGTGGCTATTATGATTTCCACGCCGTCGCTGAGGTCGTTTGCTTGGGGGCCCTTTGGGGCTCCGCCGAAAACACAAGTGTTCCTGAGTCTGGAGCTGTGGCCGAAATCTGCGACTACCTAAAAAAATGTATGCTGGGTTGGAAAAAGTCATGACTTTTATTAAAAAAATCCGACTTTTTGAATAAATTCAGACCTTTTTGAAAATTTGTAAAATTGTGCAAACCACCGCAAACATTTGCGGTGAGCATAAAATTTTGAAAACAACCGAATTTTATGAAAAAATTACCATATACAGTATTGGCCATAATTATTGCAACAACTGTAAAAAAACCTAACTTAAAAACACATTTATTAATTTTTATGAAATTTTGGATAGAAATACTTCAACTTATATGGGTGAATTTATTGATATGTCCCCCAAAAAATGATGATCTTATATTTTTGGTTGTTTCACTGTTCTAGTCTAGAATGGGGTTTTTCGGAAGCCACTAGGTCTAGTAATAACATAACATAAGTGGTTTTGAATATTAAAGCTTCACGGAAGATAGCTTCAAGGAGGTTAGGATTTTGTATGTTTTTTTTAAACATCCCTTTGTATATTTGAAATAAGTTATTGTATCTTTTGACAACTTAATATTCTTTAAAAATACAATTGTACATACATAAAATATTTATAAAAAAAAACTACTTACTGAGATATTACACTTCACGGTGGATAGGTTTTTAAATAGCAAATTAATGAAATTAAACTTTTGAATTATAAACACAACATTCTCATCTGCATATAAATTCTAACTGACCTTCAGGAATCACATGCATCTATAATGTCGTAAACAGAGGTTTTTGCTTATTTAAAATGATTAAAGCGCCATCCGTTGCATAAAATTTAAAGCAAAAACAGATTCACGGAGGAAAGAATCAATTTTTGTAACACCTACATAAATGGTTATAAAAATTATTTTTTTTAATTTTTAATAATATTTTATATTTGATTCGATTGCTTTGGATGTGTTTAATTTACTTAGTGAACTGATATTTTTAGTATGCTTTTTCTCACTTTACATGGTCAGGGTTTTTTCAAGAAAATATTTTTAAAGCCCTTAAATTTAATAATGACTATTTCCCTCGTCTTAATTTCCACCAATCACAAACGCGCAATTTTGAATTACAAATGGTTTCTAGGTGAAAAAACTGTGTGACAGCACCTGTCAGCAGTTTTTTCGAGTTTACCCGCGGCAAAACTTGACAGCTGTTGTCACCAAAAATTGCAATTTATATTTTAATTGTTAACTATTACTCATGAAATAGTCTTGTCAAATACCATTCGGGCATCTAATTTTTCCTGTGAAAAAAATCGAAAAAACACAATGCTAAGTAATATTTTTTAACAAAATGCATTCGTGCAGGTGCAAAAATCCTCCTCTTCGACTCGGATTTTTGTTGCCACCAGCACTCATGCTTCTTGTTAAAATATTACTTTGCAACGTGTTTTTTCGATTTTTTTAGGAAAAATTAGATGCCCTTATGATATTACTTACGAAAAAACGTTCGAATTATAAATTTTTCTTTAAGTAAATAAAAAATATGCTGTTAAAGACCGTATTTTTGTTAGTATACCCTAAAAATTTTGTACAAATCAAACGAACAGTAACGAATATACAGCGATTCAAAGTCGTTAAAAAATGACCACTTTTCAGCAAAATAATCAAAAAGGGGCCATTTTACCGATTTTGAAGCGCTGTATCTTTGTTACTGTTCGTTTGATTTGTACAAAAATTTTACGGTATACTAACAAAAATGCGGTCTTTAACAGCATATTTGTAATTTACTTAAAAATAATTCACCTAAAAGTTATTTTTCGAACGTTTGTTAATTATTAAATAAAAGAGCTTTAAAAAATGTTCCCGATAAACCCTCGAACACGTAAACTGAGACATACGTTGAAGTATTTTAAACCAACATTTCAAAAAGATTAATAAAGGCGATTTAGAGTTAGATTTATTATGGTCAATACTGGTAGTTTATAGTATTGCCCCTTTGTGAACGACAGGTTTTGCAAAAGGGTCCAAAAATTGGGTTTTCCGGTCGAAAAAAATAGAAATTTTCGTCCAAATATTTAGGAACAACACTTTCAAATTTCAGATCGATCAATCGAATATTGGTTTTCGAGAAATTGTACTCACGGCAACCGGATTTTTAAAAAATACGATAAAAAAATTATATTAGGTAGGCCGCTATAAGTTGAGGTACCTTTAGTTATAATGCTCCGATCTTGATGAAATTTTGAGGAAATATTCCACACTAAATCGGGCAGTTAAAAAAAATATTTTTGAATTTCTTAATTTTTTAAAATTTTTTCGTGCCCTTTAAAAAAATCTTTTTTGAGGTATTTTTGATCACACATTTAAAAGATATAAAAAAAATTTTTGCCGATATTGGGACCAACTTTTCACAAACTATTATCCATTTAACAACTCTTAAGCCCGGATTTTTGGTATTCAAAATTATTAATAGAGAAAATAAAATTTTTCAAATTTTCAAAATCAAAAAAAAAAGTTGTTATAAAGATCCCATGATCAAAAGTTTTAAATTAAAAATCCAAAAAAATATTTTGAAAACATTTTTTTTTTAAAAATTCATAAAAATGGGAAAATTAAAAAAAAAAATTTTGAAATAATGTTGTCCGAATTATTTAACTATAAAATAACTACTTATATATTTCTTGAGGCAAGATTTCTCAATTTTTAAAATTTTGAAAACTAAGTGAGATACCATTTTGGTAAGCCAGTCAGATCGCGTCATTTTTATTGTTTTTTTTATTAGTTTACTTTACTAAATTTTCCAAAAATAGTATTTAATTGTAACAAAAGCCTTCAGATTGAATGTTAATCAAAATTCTATAAATTAAAGGGGCAAAGCATCATTTTTTATTATGATGTAATTAAAAGTTTAAATTATAACATGACTTAAATAATTATAATTATAATTTATGAATTAAATCAAATTTAAGTTAAATTTGATTTAATTCACGAATTAAAATACTAAATTAATTTATGCCGACCCTGAATGAATATATATTTATTAGAAGTTCTTTCCTTTTTAATAAAAAAAATAAATAATATTTTACGGTGATTAAGTAAATGTTGATTTTTGAAAATTACCTGTTGTATTTGTTGTGCTAGCTCTCTGGTAGGGGCCAAAACCAAAGCAATAGGGCCATCCCCTCTCTGCAATCTGGACTGGTTATTTATATGCACTATCGCCGGTAAAATGTAAGACAAAGTCTTTCCCGATCCAGTAGAAGCAATCCCCACCATATCTCTTCCGGACAAAGCTATAGGCCAACCCTGACTTTGTATGGGCGTCGGATTTTTGAACCCCATCTTCCTAACCTCTGACATTACATAATCAGGATAACCAGCCTCCTCGAAGTTCAAAACTGGCTCTGGAATTGACTTTCCTTTCAGGGTAATTTCTTTGCTTTTTCGCCATTCATCGATTTCATATAGTGGACGGTTTATTACCCCAGGGTGGGGAACGTAGAAATCTTTTTTGAATGGCTCCAATCTGCTCATGTCCCACCTGGGTTTTCGTAAATTTGCCCCAGCTGCGTTTCGGCGTCCCCCGCCCCCTCTGCCATAGCTTCCGCGATCTCGGCTTCTCGACCGCCTTCGATCCCTGCTTCTAGAACTGGCATTTTTTAATTAATTATTATCGACAATAAAAATTATTTTTAGAATTGTAATTATGCTACTTAGTATTATAAAGATCCTATTAAGTATATTAATTTGAGTTCATTTTTTTATCTGGACTCGTGTTTTTTTGTTAGGTTGGTGGCTTATGCCAGTTTGACTTAGTATTTTTATTATTTAAAGAATTTAATTAAATACTTTGACATTGTCAAATTGACAATAATATTTATTATTGATAATTTACTTGTCAATTATAAATAAAAAGATAATTATGCCAAAAATAGGAACGAATTCGAATGTAAAAGACCTTTTGAGGGCAAAACTTCATTATAATGAAATGATGCCAAATGCCACAATGGAAGAAAAAGTATATCGCCTTATGGACATTTTTGGAGTAAAAAAGTAACGAATTTAGTTTTATGAATATTACATCACACATTATTTTCACTTTATTCACCATTGGACAACATTTACGTTCACAAAAAATTTAATTTCTTTTATATAAATTATTTTCAAAGCGAAGATTATTATACGCCAGGAATACTTTCTTTTCTGGGCTGTAAAGCAACCTATATTTAACTACTTTTTTATATGATTTTACTCATCCAAGCACCACCAAAGCCAAATTAATTGCATTTTTAACTACGAATTTAGACAACTCAACTTGACAACTGCACAATGTAACCTAAAATAGTTTATACATAACCACAATTAGATTTATAACTAGTTTGTTTTAATCAATGCGACAGTGCTGCCAGATGAACGGATTTATCCGTTTTTTACGGATTTTCCAGGTCTAGAGAAATTGGAAACGGATTTTGAACGGATTTTCATCAAATACGGATTTTTACGGATTTTTAAGATAGCTTCATACTAATACTAAAAAAACATCATTTTTGCCCCGTTTTTTGATCATCTTTGTCACGCTTCTATTCCTCTTCCGTTTTACTACGTTAGACAGAAAAAGAAAGCGGATTGAAAAAGGATGTGTTCTTAATATAGGGTTCTTAAACGCCGAATATATGCGAAACATATGCTTTTTCATTGAGTGTGACAAAGAGAACGATAGTTTCATATCATTTGTTAAGGTTTTATAACACGTTGTTATTGCTGCCAATATATATACAGTGTGTCCGTAAAGTCCCGGAACATGTGATTATTTTGAAAACGGTAATTTTTTTTAAAAAACGCTGAATCACGCCAACTTTGATATTTTTCTAGCAATATTTTAGCATATGTAGTTGATCCAAATTCTGCCGCGTGGCGGCGCCACAATCAAAGTCAGTTTTTTTTAAATTGCAACCCTTTATTTTTGTTGCATTTTTGGATAGCTACCGTTGTCCTGATTACATTGATGTGCCACATCTGGGGGGTTACATAAGAAAATTTTTGAGAAAATCGGGTTTTTGCTGCCGAATGAGACTTACACAATCTATGCGTTGCTTAATGTTTTTTGGAAAGCCAATCAGAGCAGTTGCTCAAAGTGTCCACCGTAAACTATTTGAAAATGGAACAGCCTGTCTACAAACGAGCGTTGTACGTTTGCCAGTACCGCTGGAGTGATCATCTGGATCTCGGCTTGAATGCGGTGTCTTAGGTCGTCCAAATTTTAAGGCCTGTTTACATAGACGCGGTTTTTAAGAGGTCCCCATAAAAAGAAGTCTAAAGGGTTCAAATCGGGCGATCGCGCTGGCCACTCAATTTGACCCCTTTGACCTATCCAGCGATTGGGAAAGACCTGATTTAAATAATCCCTTACTAGCAATGCATAGTGCCCCGTAACAGCGAATAAGTTCGTCAAAACCAAAATCTTAATCAGCGGCAAAAACCTACTTTTCTCAAAAATTTTCTTATGTAACCCTCCACATGTAGCATATCAATGTACTCAGGACGACGGTAGCTATCCAAAAATGCAACAAAAATTAAGGGTTGTAATTTAAAAAAACCTTACTTCGATTGGGGCGCCGCCACGCGGCAGATTTTGGAACAGCTACATATGCTAAAATATTGCTAGAAAAATACCAAAGTGTTTCAGCGTTTTTTTTAAAAAAATACCGTTTTCAAAATAATCACATGTTCCGGGACTTTACGGACACACTGTATATATATAAGCGGCGCAATGCCACCAATAGTAACGACTAACCACTAACCGTGATCTCAAAGTCAATGTTTATTATATATCCGAATCTGTATATAAAATACTTTATTTTGTGAAAAATGGAAAGTGACGAGAATTATATCACTGACGAAGAGGTTCAAACTTCTGAAACTCCCCCGAAAAATTCTGAGATGTTTCGGATTTTCTTTGACGAAAGGTATGTTTTGTCACGAAAATCCCCCTTATAGAAGAAATTTTTCGAAATTTAGACAAAAACGGATTTTTACGGATTTTTCGAGGCTTCCCCCCACCCTTTCCACGAATATATACGGATTATCCGACCATCTGCTCTGGCATTGAATGCGACCAAGTTGACAACTGTATTTACCAACCAAAACCCTAAATTTGCAACATTGACGCAGTCCAGATAAAAAAAATGAACTTTATACCTACAAATATTTCATCCAATTTTATGAAATCTTGTTTGTTGCTTTTTTAATCTAATTATATTATTATATTCCATTGATTGTTTTTTAAAAACTTTTGTGAACATTTGAAAAAACTAATAAATGCAAACAAATTCAAAATCTTGTATTTCAAAAACAAATTGATTATTATATAGGGTTCATTTTAAGTTGACATTTTTTAACAACCTGTAGAAATCAAATAGCCAAATACATATTTTAATTAACATTTTCATCAAAACTAAAAAATTAGAGAAACAGCCTTTTAAAGTTTGATTAAACTTGAAGTCCAGTCCTGGCTGGTATTTCCAAAAAACATAACCATAAAACAAAAATGACAAATTTAACAATGCAATGCTCTCCACAGTAATGGCGCGCCTACAGAAATTATTTGAATTTGTCCTCGTTGTGGTCAACACAAAGATGTGTGTGGCTCTTCTTTTTTGGCTACAGCCATGCTGGTAGTAGTGATAAGGGAACGTACCCATACTACATGACTCATTTTTTACCCCCCTCCCCCCCATAGGTGACCACCTGTAGTATAAGCCAGGTCTAATTAACATACCATTTACATTTCCTGTCAACACAACAGAAAAACGATCTTGAAAATTAGTTTTTTGTACAGCTCTAGGCTTCTCTATAGCTCAAACATACATATACATGTATTACAGACATGTTTAGCCCATAAACGTAAACAGTATTAAAATCTTTTTAGAGAATTTATAACTGATCTAATTTTAATAAGGCTTACTTCTTTAAGGTAAAGGACATAGGTAAAAGTAGGAAGTTCAAAATAGAGTTGGGTCTGATTTAGTTTTTGGAAAGTTTGAAACAATATTCTTTAAAATGTTTATAAAATAATCATTTATGTTATTAGGTGATATATTAGGCAGGTTATTGTTATTATTTTGAGGGACATTTTTTTTTGAGTCTATATTCTACATTGTTTTTACCGGATTAGCATTTGAGATCGTTCCTTTTTGGTGGTCTTTTTGGATTTTAGTGGAAATGATTTAAGGGAGCAATATATCAAAATATATATTTATAGAAGCAATACATCAAAATACTGTTTGCATTATTAATGATTTTAAGGAAGCAAAATCGCATTGCTACATGTTTTGATAGAAATTATGTTTGCCTATATTCAATATTGGTAAGTAAATTTAAGTAACATTATTTATTTTAGTCCTTAAAGTTTTAAATTGCAAGATTTGACTTAAATGCCAGAACAGGCCTTTAAATTTAATTTAACTTGGTCTACTTGGTTTCAACATGCTGTTAAAAAAACGTTTACTTAACTTACCCTGTATATCTTTTTATGACATGAACTACCCTGTATAACTACATAAAGAGTCCATTATATTTTATAATTAAAATTTTGTTTTAAACATAAATTGTTTAACTACTTTAGTAGTAGAAGTACCTAGCTACCTCCTAATAGGTTGCAAAGTATTTTTAAGATCGTGGATCTAGTAAAAGTTTTTAAGAAAATACCTACAACTTATCTGCATTTTTAATGTACAAATTAAATGCTGGCTAAATCCACCTTATTTTATATTTTTAGTTATCACCTTGATTTCTTTTATTTCAACAAACTCAAAATCCAAATACAACAAAATACTAAAACACTTACCGCCGGTTGGATCTCCCACGCATTTTAAACGACTTTATTTGTCAAAATCTAGATTCACAAAACTAACAATCCCTTAAATGTAAAAAAGACCACAATGTGTGGATTGTGAATAAGATTGGGTTTTTAATTTTTAAGCATCACAACACAAAATATGGCGGATGTCAATAAACTTGCATTTCGCTAATGCGCATGCTATTTACACAATTTGTAGCACGTGACTGTCCAGGGGCGCACTCAGGGTTGCTAGATATTTTTGACAGTAGGTGCCAACATTATAAATAAAAATAGCCCAAAAGTAGCCGCATTGGCTATGTTCTGTGATTGGCACTAAGGTCCGACCGAACCTGATTTTTTATGGCGGGTTTACGAGTCACTCGCGTGCGTTTGAGGTTTGCGTGCGTTTCCTGGGCCTTTGCGTCAACGCGTTCTTCCTGACGCGACCCCATTTACGAGTTTCAAAGGCGCGCGTTTGCTCACCTTCGAAAGTCAGCTGGTTCCTCAGTGCGTATGTTTTGATTTCGTCAGATGTCTCATACTTTGGGAAAATGGTCCTATTTTTAATTTGTCGAACCGCAATATTAATGAGTTTAGCTCGTCTGCTAATTATGTTTGACACAACACTTCTCCCACGCATGCTACGCGGCTGATGCCATTGGCTCGCCATGTCACGTGATATCGGCTTCAACGCGCGCGATCTTTTTACGGCGTAAAGTTTTTTCCCCGGACGCGAGTGACTCGTAAACCCGCCATTATGGCGGGTTTACGAGTCACTCGCGTGCGTTTGAGGTTTGCGTGCGTTTCCTGGGCCTTTGCGTCAACGCGTTTTTCCTGACGCGACCCCATTTACGAGTTTCAAAGGCGCGCGTTTGCTCACCTTCGAAAGTCAGCTGGTTCCTCAGTGCGTATGTTTTGATTTCGTCAGATGTCTCATACTTTGGGAAAATGGTCCTATTTTTAATTTGTCGAACCGCAATATTAATGAGTTTAGCTCGTCTGCTAATTATGTTTGACACAACACTTCTCCCACGCATGCTACGCGGCTGATGCCATTGGCTCGCCATGTCACGTGATATCGGCTTCAACGCGCGCGATCTTTTTACGGCGTAAAGTTTTTTCCCCGCACGCGAGTGACTCGTAAACCCGCCATTATGGCGGGTTTACGAGTCACTCGCGTGCGTTTGAGGTTTGCGTGCGTTTCCTGGGCCTTCGCGTCAACGCGTTCTTCCTGACGCGACCCCATTTACGAGTTTCAAAGGCGCGCGTTTGCTCACCTTCGAACGTCAGCTGGTTCCTCAGTGCGTGTGTTTTGATTTCGTCTCGTGTCTCATACTTTGGGAAAATGGACCCATTTTTAATTCTTCGAACCGCAATATTAATGAATTTAGCTCGTCTGCTAATTATGTTTGACACAACACTTCTCCCACGCAGGCTACGCGGCTGATGCCATTGGCTGGCCATGTCACGTGATATCGGCTTCAACGCGCGCGATCTTTTTACGGCGTAAAGTTTTTTCCCCGGATAAAAACCAAGACGCGTCAAACCGGCTGAGATTTGGCGCACGCGTCCTTTTAACGCACGCGAGGTCACTTATAAACGATCCCATTGCCCACCATGAGTTAAATCTGTTGCGCGCGTTGGCTAGCTCGCGTAAACGCGACCTCCAAACGCACGCGAGTGACTCGTAAACCCGCCATTAGTCTTTGTTATCTATAGATAACAAGACCATATATGGTCTTGATAGCAGGGGGGTGAAACTCATATAGGAATATGCGCAACAAGCGCCTCCCGAGCAACGTTGCCATATTTTCTTTTTGTGGCTTAAGTCATCTTTTTTAATAATTTTTTTAATTGTCAGTTTTGACATCTGTCAACAATAGAAAGAATATTGATAACAGTAAAGATCTATTTCTAAGCTTTTAAGTATTTTTTGAGTTTTTTCATCGGTATTGGTTTCCCTTGAAGTTACAGTAAGTATATACAATAAATCAGTTGCTTTTATAATGTTTTTTTGGAGATTGACATACCTATTAAATAATTAATATGTAGGTATGTAATTTATTACGATTAGTTTTTTTTGCAAAAACCAATACTACTTAATAATATTGGGACATTTGCTTTAATAGGGACTATTGTTTGAAAGTAATTTCCAGCGTACTGATGTCCCTGGTGGAAGAAGTTATTGAAATTTTTATTATTGTTAAAAAATGTAATGCATTAATGGACATCAAAATTTTTTTAATACATGTATGTTTTTTAGGGACAAAACCGATGCAGGAGGGAAGTTTTATACCTTCTTTCACTTCTGAACCCATTCAAAATACAGATGCATGCACTGTTTGTATATTCTTTAATTTATTTTATTGTTAAAATTAGTGTATTATAACCATTTACTTTTTAAAATAAATAAATCTTTGCTACTATTTTATTTTATTGGTCAAATTTAAATAAATTAATATTATAATTATTAATATATACAAAATAGATAAAGCCGGCCCTGTAGTATAAAAGTTAATACAATATTTGGAGTACGGCCCTAATTGGCAGGCGTTTATGACGTTTGTGTTGCTTAAGTTTAACAGAGTGGTCGCCCTTCTTATATTCTTTTTCTATGCTTGATAGAGAAACAAGTGTTAATGGTTTTCATGGTCTCGGCCGATATGTTAATGACAATAATTTTGTCTAATTGAAATCAGATAACAAAATTTGTTAAACAAATATCGATAGCAGTGCTGCCAATGCGGCTTCAGGGTTATGCCGTGCATTTAAAAACACGGCTTTTTCGTTAAAATATTACGACGGTGGTCTAGTGGTTAGTGCTGATTACAAGCCGGAGGTCGTGGGTTCGAATCCCACCAGGGGTATGGCTGTTTATTTGTGTTGTCCTATTGTGTAATAGTCCTTCGGAGGGGACTTTAAGCCCGCGGTCCGTTCCTACCCCTAACCCGCACAAGCCATTCAGTTGGCTTATGGGACTTCTTAAGAAGCTGGGCTGGTTGGAACTAAAAGAGCACTTTTGTATATAAACTTTTGTATATATTTCACCATTTCTTTCTAAAAATATTTAAATATTTAATAAAAATGCTTCAAAAATAACTAATTTTTAAATAAAAACACTATTTAGTTTTACTGAAGTGTACGACCAAGACCAGGGGTGCTATCCTCGAGCGCTCGACTTTTATAAACGTATACGACACTGCATTCGAGACGTGTATTTCGTATTCTTGACCGCTCACAATGGGTACGTATGCGCACCAATTGCGAGTGGTTTACTGCGAGCGGAATTAGGCATTCGTTTTCAAATGTCGCATACTTTTTCGATCGTTTTCTAGGATATAAATATTATTTTTTGTTTATGCTATATATAGTTAACGATTTATACGATAAACTTTTCGTTAGACTTTTTCGTCTCTCAAAAGAATTGGCAATGTTTCTTATAAATCTTTTGGAAAATGACTTATCTCGTGCTCATCAAGCCACAGATTTAGATGTACAAACAATTTACTCCTATTCCCTCTGGGCGTCCTTGTACGTAAAATTATTTGAAAATTTTCCACTTTGCAATGCTTCATTTTTTTAAATTAATTTAATTGACCATATGCAAGGAATGCGGTCGCTGTTGCCAATGGTAAATAAATAAAATTCCCTATTGGGAACATTCAATTATATTACGTTGGCTACACTGAAATTTTAAATTTCCCGCACAAACTGACATACATTCCAGTAAAGAAAAAGATAAAGAAGGTAGTTCCAATGTTGTATAATAAGTTAAGGTGGGAATTTCAAATGTGGGAATTATTATTATTTATTATTATTAAAAAAAAAGATAGAAATTACTTTAGTTTGTGCGGGAAATTCAAATTTTCAATGTAGCCAACGTAATATAATTGAATGTTCCCAATAGGGACTTTTATTTTTTTACCATTGGCAACATCGACCGCATTCCTTGCATATGGTCAATTAAAGTTTTCTTTTGCTTCTCAGTGGTATATTTTTTTTTAATGTCCATCATGTTACTGAACCTAACTTTTTCTGCTTAGACAATTGGCAACTCTGAATGAAGCCACGGGGATTCCCCGCTTTATATTATTTTAATTGTAAATTAAGGGCCGGTTTATCAATGTACGGTTAAAGTTGCAGTTAGTTATCTCCATGGATACCATTGTTCTCACAACCATGGAGCCTACACAAGGAGCCCGAACTTAATAGGGAAAATTGACAAAACCTGTCCACTAAATTGCACAATTTAAGTCTTTTTTTTTCACCACCAGCGGCGCTGCTTGTTAATGCGTCCGAATGACGTGAAAATAGTATCGAAAATACATGTGAAGTAAGCAAGTAAGTTTTGACAATTGATTTGCAATAATGTTTTGACGTACGAATCGTTTTGTTATTTATGGCTGTACCTGGTAGGTAGATGCTAATGAAAAGGTTTTGGTTGTGAAATATAAGTGATTCTTTATAATCTGTGAAGTGAACCAGGTACATGGGTACATTGTTTTCAGAAAGTGATAAACTGACAGTTGCATAACCTCAATTATTTGCACAATAATAAGTGGTAGGTAGTGGCGCCATCTCTGGTTATACCCCTCTACTGTTTTGGACCGGTAGTACACCAGCGCCCTCTTATCTTAGGAAGATTCTTGTTTACATGAAGTTCGGGCTCCTTGTGTAGGCTCCATGCTCACAACGATCGATATGGAATTTAACTGTCAGATAGACTAACTGGAACTTAACCAGAGATTGATAAACCGGCCCTTAGTCACACAATAAGGACTTATAAATAAAAATATATGTTTTATGTAGTTAATTTTGTTTTATTCTCATGAATGAATTTCAAATTTGACACGGCCATAGTTCGTAAAAACAATTTTCGATCATGGGCGCGGTTTTTAATTTCGACTGGTTGGCAACACTGATCGATAGATTTTTTAGATTTTAATCACATCAGTGTTGCCAACTCGTGGGAAATTTCCCGATTCGTGGGAAATTTTAAGTGCCAAAGGGAAAAGGGAAATTTTAACATAAAATGTGCCATTTATAATAAATGGCACTACGATTTTCGTATTGTTCATCTTTTACGGGAGGAAGGAAGGAAGGAAGATAATCTATAAATCAGGGATTGTAGGCAAGTTATGTCAATTCATACTCATTATGATAAATAACAGTTATTTATCAGTTACTTTAATAAACGTTCGAAAACAAAAAGTGTCAAATAAAAAAAATAATCCTAAATCCAAAATTCTGGGCGCACTGAAGAAATTTGTAAGTGTTTAGTAGAGAAGAGTTTAACCCATTTAAAACGATCATACTCAGGACTTAAAGAAAATCAAGATAAAACTTTCGTAGATTGGACTTTTTGCAAATAAAGCACTTTTGAAAAACTTTAAGGGGTTTTATTTATTTTATAACAATAATAATAATAATAAAGACCCTGCTCCAGAAAATCAAAATTCGTACAACTTTGGATTAATTTGAATAGATGGCGTTCGTAGCTGTGCTTCAGATTAAATGAAAAAACATAACCACAAATGTATTTATTAAATTATTTTAGCGAGAAATTAGTTTAAATAGTAAAGTTCTCAATTGTTTAAATTAGTTAACTACACGTTCAAATAGTAAATTTCTCAAGGTAAGTTTAACAGATTTGAGCGACTGTGAAAACAATTCCGTGTCGTTTTACAGTGTTTAGTGAATTGGAGTTAAAAGGTTCATAAGGATTGATAATCGCTTATAAAGAATTTTAGGTGGAACGAAGTTCACCGGGACATCTATAGATGACCCTGTGAACTATAGTTTGATATAGAAATTTCGGCGCGAATGGCTTAAAAATACAGATTATCAAGCATGGTTGCGGCCAGTAGAAGATAATTATAAAGCTAAATGTGTTCTTTATAGCAAGGAGTTTGTTTTAAAAAATTTAAAATCACAATTAATAATAATTAATTAATTATGATAATTAGTAATTATAATTTGTAATTCCTAATTATCATTACATATTTAATAATACATTTTTTTATTTTATTTAAAATTTTACAAAATCAAATCTTTACAAAAAATATGCTTGTTTTGCTGACGTCATATGTAAAATCGCGAAAGTACGGTCCTGTTTTGAAAAGTACGGTAATCTTTTAGCCGGTTTTGTTATTAATTACAGTTGGCAAGCCTGGCTCTGCCATTTTATATGGACGTCACTCGTTGAGCTATATTTAAATCGGCAAAGTCTTCTTTGGATGTAACGTGGGTTTTAATTATCTACACAGAGTGATAAACTAGTGCTAAATCACTGTGGCTAACTTGTGGTTTTTGCGTTGTTGTTTGTTGTTGTATGGTTGTTAACTTACTTTGGTTTTTTGTTAAACTTTACTTTTCTATTGTTTAAACAAAATTTTGAGTTGCGTTAACTTGTTTTGTTTGTGTTGTGCCATTTACATTTATTAAAATGCGGTGTGCCATATTAGGATGCAATTCGGACAACCAGTCCAAGAAAAACCCCTTGAATAAAAACATTAAATTCCATCGATTCCCTAAAAACATTGATTTGTGCAAACAGTGGTTACATGCCACCAAAAAAAAAGACAATATTAACGTTAAGACCGCTGCTGTTTGCTCGAAACATTTTTTGGACTGTGATTATAAGATAAATTTAAAACACCGACTCTTAAACTACAGTCCTAAATGTTATCGTGGACTGAAAGACGATGCTGTGCCTAAATTACTTCAAACTCAAGTTTCTTCTGTGCCATCAACAAGTGAGGAAAAGACTCAACTTGCAGAACATAAGACTCAACTTAATAATATCCTTCTAGTGTCAAGGGACAAGTAAGTTTTTTTAAACATTTATTAATATGCTATTTTTAAAGGCAGTATGCCATGTGTATTTTTAATTAAATTTATCAATGAATAGAGTGAAAGAAGAACCACCAAAAATTGCTGATAATGGAGGTGGTGGTAGTATTATTAGCCCTAAATGTTATCGTGGACTGAAAGACAATCCTATGCCTAATTTACTGCAAACTCAAGTTTCTTCTGTGCCATCAACAAGTGGGCATAATTGTATCCTTCTAGGTAAAAAAAGGCAAAAGGCCCAACTCACAGAACATAAGGCTCAAATTATTAAGAATGCCCTTCTAGCATCAAAAGACACGTAAGTTTTTTAAAAACATTTATTAATCTGATATTTTTAATTAAATTTATCAATGAATAGAGTGAAAGAAGAACCACCAAAAATTGCTGATAATGAAGGTGGTGGTAATAGTATTAGCCCTAAATGTTATCATGAACTGAAAGACGATGCTGTGCCTAGTTTAGTGCAAACTCAAGTTTCTTCTGTGCCATCAACAAGTGGGCATAATCCTAAAATTTTAGGTAAAAAAAGGCAAAAGGCCCAACTCACAGAACATAAGGCTCAAATTATTAAGACTACCCTTCTAGCATCAAAAGACACGTAAGTTTTTTAAAAACATTTATTAATCTGATATTTTTAATTAAATTTATCAATGAATAGGGTTAAAAAAGAACCTCCACAAATTGCTGATGATGGAGGTGGTGGTAGTATTATTAGCCCTAAATGTTATAGTGGACTGAAAGACAATGCTATGCCTAATTTACTGCAAACTCAAGTTTCTTCTGTGCCATCAACAAGTGGGCATAATTGTAACCTTGTAGGTAAAAAAAGGCAAAAGGCCCAACTCACAGAACATAAGGCTCAAATTATTAAGAATACCCTTCTAGCATCAAAAGACACGTAAGTTTTTTAAAAACATTTATTAATCTGATATTTTAAATTAAATTTATCAATGAATAGGGTGAAAAAAGAACCTCCACAAATTGCTGATAATGGGGGTGGTGATAATAATTTGATGGAGGCCTGTAGCTCTTCTGATAAAGGGTGATATTAAAACTCTTTTGTTATGCTTATTTCTATCTGATTGTTTTCAGGGTTCAAACTAACCAGGTAAATCTAGATTATGAAGATCTACAACAAAAGCTGGAAAACCAGACAAAGGAAATTAAAGAACTAAAGAATCAGTTGGATGGAGTCAAAAAATTTTTCAGTAAAAATCAAATAAATAAACTCAATAATCAGAAAAGAATAAAATGGTCAGTGAATGAGATATCAAGTGCCATTACAATGTATTTTGCGGGTCCTAGGGCATACAGGCTTAGCTTAAAGAAGGGTTATCCTTATCCAGCGGTGTCAACTCTGAAGGAATGGCTAAGGAAGAAACAGATAGAACAGGGTATTCTAAAAAACGCCTTGACAATTGCTGAATTTGCCGATATGTCTGAACATGATCGGGTGTGCACCATTATGTTTGAGAAAATGAAAATTCGAAAGGAATACCTTTACGACCAACCAAACGATTATGAAATGCAGTCCTATGATTTTGTCCAGGTTGCTATGATTTCCGGTGTATTTAAAGCATGGAAGCAGCCTATTTTTTTTTATTTTGACTGCACAATGACGTCGTCTTTATTAATGGAAATCATTAACTTTGTGGAGGATTCCGGTAAATATTCAACTGCTATCAAATAATAAATAATTAATGTAAATTACTTAAGGTTTTCATGTCGTTGCGATGGTGTCAGATTTGAGTGGTGCAAATAGGGGATTACATGACGACTTACACATATCCGAGTCAAAACCCTATTTTCAGAATCCCTCTACAAAAGAAAAAATTTTCGTGATGGCGGACGTTCCGCATCTGCTAAAATTAATTCGGAATAATTTTGTGGATCACGGATTTTTAATTGACGGAAAGGTGATCAAAAAAAAAATCGTAGAACAAGCAATAAATTCTGGGAATGTAAAAATCACACAAAACATGACATTACAAGAGTTAAATTGTGCTGGACCCCAAAGGCAAAAAGTTAAATTTGCAGAGAAACTCTTTTCGCATACTTTATCATGTGCCCTATCCAGATTTGGGACACTCGGATTTTTGACGGAGGAGAATTGGGCAGAGTGCGTCGACTTTTTTAAATTGGTAGGGTTCTTCATAAAATTAAGTGCATCTTAACGCTTTTATAATAATTATTACGCTTTGACTAGATTCACGCTAACCAGTGGCGGCTCGTCAGGGTAGGCCTCTGAGGCCGCGCCTCACCCTTAAAATGAAGGAACGAACGACTTTTTGTATTTATATTTTTGCCTATTACAAGTGTATTTTTACAACAGTTCTACCCAATAAAAAGTAAAAAACCAATCAATAATATTAAGCGTAAATAAAAATCCAGGCGCAAAGCGCGTCGAGTCGCTTGTTGTATGTATCTTGGCTTGGACAGAGGCGAAATTTTCACAGCCTCGGAAGCTCCCATTTACGTCTTGAAAGCGAAAATGACTCACCAACAAAAATATCGCCGTAAGTTCGCGAATAAACACCGTACATGAGGCGAAATCAAGTTAGCTTGGTTTGTTCTGATTGGTCGTTCGTTTATGGTGGGATGCCAGCGGAGACACGATACACACACAACGGTATGCCAACGCGCACGTTCGCGCCATCTCTCTCGCACTATGTGACGTCACGTTGGAATCAAAATTTCAAATCTTTAATGCTTAATGTATGCGGTAAACCTGTTATGGTGTTTTATTTGGAACCAAAGAATATTTTAGTGATTTTGTAATATAGTGGCATTTGTAAATCTAATATTTAATAAAAAGATCTTTTTTATATACATGGTTATTAAATTTATACATGCATGGTTATTGAATCCTTATTAAATCCAAAATTCTTTTGCCGCTCAAGGATAATAAATTAAACAATGTTTTGTAAAATAACATCTATTTAATATAATTATTTGAATTATTAAATTATTCGATTCAATAATATTACTTCTAATATATTATGGTTATAATATATATAGTTGAATCAGTGAGATTAAGAACAGTACAAGTCCAAAATTTTTATTTTGACAAATCATTTTCTAAAATCAATTTAAAAGTTTAAAATGCATTTTTGAGAGAAGATATAAATTATTTTATAAAATTTGATTACTATACTTTATAAAGTAGTTGAAATATTCTCCCAAAAATTCATTTTGAACTATAAAACTGATTTTATAAAATAATTTATCCAAATTTTAACTTTTGGACTTGTACTGTTCTTAATCTCACCGATTCAGTTATAACTACTATAGTAGTTTCTTTTTTGACCAAATTATGTTTAGGTAAAATTCTACTTACCTAATATAAAAATCTGGATTTGGATAATTTCTATTGTAGATACAGAAAAAATCCAAACTAAAATAACACAAAAAATAATGTACTCAAAAAATTTTTCGGACCTGTGGTCTGACTATATTTATCATATGTTTTTGGGGTCGCTGAATCTGGTCAAAAAAACAAAATTGCATAATTAATAAGTAACTTTATTTAGGCATAGGTACATAATATCAAACTATAAGTATATAAAAATATAAAATAAAACTTATTTTGGTATAAAAATGCAAGATAACTGTTTATTTTTTGGCATTGGTAAATTTTTAAATTTTTTTGTTAATTTTTTTTTTGACAATGTCATCATGTCTTTATTTTTTGGAAATCCAAAGTATTTTATATCTGTTCCTTTAGTATTTCGATTGGTATTTTTGCACGTAGCCACGGCACAACCCGGCATTATGGTTTTATAATAGTCCTGAACAGTGGCTAAACACAAAATAAAGTCAAAAAACACAATAGTCCTGAACACTGGCTAAACACAAAATAATAAAAAACATAAAATAAAGTCAAAACCGACAAGAAAAGCAGTAAAATCACACTAAATACGTGGGAAATCAATCAAATTACACTACCAAGAAACAATTCTGATTCCAGCATGACGTAATGCGCAGAGAGTGTTCAATTTGAGCCAACAAGTAATCATACCGTTGTGTGTGTATCGTGAGCGGAGATAAAGAAGGTTGCCAGTCTTATCTTAGCGCTTGTAGAGCACGTTATTGTTTTGATTCAGATTAAATTATTTAAAACTTTTGGCTGATCTTTTATAGTTTTTGTCTCGATTAGTAAAATTTCTTATTTAATTATTGTAGGGAACACACTAAGGTAGATTTAGCAGTTTTTATTAAGCAAATTTTATATTTTGAAATAATAGATTGCATAATTCTTCAATTAGAGACGCGGTTTGAAAATTTAGAATTACTTTTAAATCTCACTGCAGACCAACAATTTTACGACCAAATAATAGATAAATTTCAATTTTCAATCTTAAAAGATAGACGTTTTATTTTTATTTTTTGATTAATTTATTTATTTTTAACTTTTTTAAGACTATTTTTTAAGTTTAAGATTAAAACTAGTCTTTGATGTGATATTTTGTTTGTTTTGTTTTTTAGAGTTTATTTTTTGGTTTAGTAGTGCTATCGGCTCCATTTTAAAAAAGGTCAACGCGTCGGAGAATAATACCTCCCGGGTGACGTGGAAATTTATTCGTATTTAGACAAAATTAACCTTATGTAGCCTCACCCTCCTGTACACCCACGAGCCGCCACTGACGCTAACGTGCCGCAATTCGAAATGTTAAAGGCACGTTAGTTACGTCATAATAATAATCCGTTTTTGTTCCCCGAGCGTTATAAAATTGATGTCAAGCTAGATAGCTCAGATGGTAGGGCGGTCGCTTAGCATGCCAGAGGTACCGGGTTCGATACTCAAAAGTCGAACTTTTTTAAATTTTTTATTTCATAAATTTGTTAAAAAGTGTTGGGTTGGGTTGGTTGGTTTGTTTTAGTTTTATCGTAACATAAAATCTACTAGAAGTTGTCGAACTTTTTTTATTTCATAAATTTGTTCCTTTGTTAAAAAGTGTTGGGTTGGGTTGGTTGTTTGTTTTAGTTTTATCGTAACATAAAATCTTAAAATTATGACGTAACTAACGTGCCTTTAACATTTCGAATCGCGGCACGTTAGCGTGCCTCTAGTCACAGCTAGGGAATGCAATCTTGCAGGAAAATGTACAATCTTGGCATAGCAAATCTTAAGATTTAAGAGGTGTAATCTCGGTATTTTGCGAGATCTCGCAGATTTAAGATTAATAAAAAAAGAAATTAGTATAATTATTTTTATTACAACTTTGTTAGGTTATATCGTAAAGGCAAAATAATGAAATAAAACATAAAATATAGTATATTACACTACAAGGGCAGAAAGTGTGAGATTCCTGCACTGCGCGCCATGATGCCCGAGGCGAAGCCGAGGGCATCATGGCGCGCAGTTCAGGACTCTGACACTTTCTGCCCGTGTAGTGTATACTATTTTTCTTACTACCCTGCAGAAAATACGGGAAAAAATTAAATGTATATAAAAAAATTTGTGTCAAAATTAAAATCTGACGTTTAATTTAATTCTGACGTTTACATTCAAAATCAATCAAACTGTAGCGTTGTCATGGTAATTCAGCGGTGCCAATACAGTAAAAATAAAAGGTTGTATTTTAATTAACAAATTACTACTTTATAACAAATAAAAGTACCATTAAACACTTAAAACAACATAAAAAGTAAAAAAGTAAAAACATAAATTGTTTATTTGTTGTTATAATTGCAAAATTATGGTTTAAAACTGTCATATTTTTGTGTTTCTCATGTTGGCAGTACGAAATTTAAATGTTAAGCACGCGACTAAAAAATTTTTACTCCCGCTATTATGGCGGGTTTACGAGTCACTCGCGTGCGTTTGGAGGTCGCGTTTACGCGAGCTAGCCAACGCGCGCAACGGTTTTAACTCATGGTGGGCAATGGGATCGTTTATAAGTGAACTCGCGTGCGTTAAAAGGACGCGTGCGCCAAATCTCAGCCAGTTTGACGCGTCTTGGTTTTTATCCGGGGAAAAAACTTTACGCCGTAAAAAGATCGCGCGCGTTGAAGTCGATATCACGTGACATGGCCAGCCAATGGCATCAGCCGCGTAGCCTGCGTGGGAGAAGTGTTGTGTCAAACATAATTAGCAGACGAGCTAAATTCATTAATATTGCGGTTCGAAGAATTAAAAATGGGTCCATTTTCCCAAAGTATGAGACACGAGACGAAATCAAAACACACGCACTGAGGAACCAGCTGACGTTCGAAGGTGAGCAAACGCGCGCCTTCGAAACTCGTAAATGGGGTCGCGTCAGGAAGAACGCGTTGACGCGAAGGCCCAGGAAACGCACGCAAACCTCAAACGCACGCGAGTGACTCGTAAACCCGCCATTAGAGTGTGCGCGTATAGCTTGACCAATGCAAGAAATTTCTTGCATTGGTCAAGCTATACGCGCACACTCTTAACGTAAACTTTCTGCCGTGAAATCGGGGACGAAACAACGTATTTTGAGTCGAGGTAGTAAGAAAAATAATTTATTGAAGACTATTCCACTCATTACTTTATGGACCAATCAGATTTCAGAAAACGAGTGTTTTTTTCAGTGTTGCAGGTACCTATTTACGTAAAAAACACTCGTTTATACGACCAACCAATTGGTTGCTATGCGAAAAATAATTGTCAATGTTGACGTTTGTAATTTTAAAATAAAAATGTCAAAAAATATCGGCAGTTAATTTTAATTAAAAAAAAAATATTCGTGAAATAGTCTTGCCGAATACCACTCGTAATAAAGTTTTCCCTGAAAAAGTTTTTGATTTTTATTTACTCAAGATTTTTCCTTGGAAATTTCGCTCGTGGCATTAATTTAAAAATTAATCCCACTTGCAAAGTTTCCAAGAAAAAACATTCGTATAAAAGTCAAAAATTTTATCGGTAAAATTTTACCACTAGCTAGTGTATAATATTATGTACGAATAATCATCAAGCTATTGAAGGAAAAAGCATTAACAAGACTAAAATTATTTATTGAAAAAACTATACATTATTTTAAAAAAAGACAAAACACACATGGAATGCGCTGCGTCCTAATCTCGCAAATCTTGCGAGATCGCGCATGATTTTCGTGCAAGACTAATCTTGCAGAATTAGTGCGAGATCTTGGTATTTCGAGATCTTGGTATACCAAGATTGCATTCCCTAGTCACAGCGTAATTATTATTGTTTACAGGTTAATGAATGGTTCAATATTCTTAATGTTAGCACGCCAATAAGTGACCCACATGGAAGAGCTTTTGGATTAGCTCTGGACATTCAAATGCCAATTTTGGATAAAATGTCCCAAGTCATTTCCCAGATGAAGGTAATCGGCCGCTCAAGCCAATTACCGTTTCAAAAAGGTAAAATATTAAATATTAAACATTTCCTTTTAATGTTTTTAGCTAATTCAGGTATTCTCATCTCCAACTCTGCATTAAAAATGTTGCATGTCGAGCTGAAACGTCGGTTTGGTGTTGATTACATTTTAACCAGACGCTTAAACCTAGATGTTCTAGAAAATTTCTTTGGCGTGATACGCGCGAAAGGAGGACTCCACGACCATCCTACCCCATTGGAATTTAAACACAGATTGAGGTCGTATATCCTTGGTAGGAATGAAGAAGCCTATTCAGACTTCTGAAATGTTGAAGTTGACGACACCCCAGATATTCCTCTGACTGAGTCAACTGCATTTAAACATAAACCGTCATCAGTCAATTAGGAGGACAATTTCGAAAGATTAAATGAATTGACCTATGATTGGTTAGGTTGCTATTAATTATTAATTATTGATAGTTATTATTGACTTTTTTATTTTATTAAATATAAAAATGGTATTAAATATTTTTTGTTACAAAATTTTATTTTATTTTTCGTACGACAGTATCACTTGTACCCGTCATACGTATATCTCTATCGCCCCACATACGAGACAGAATAAACGGTGCATTTTAAATCCAGAATACCTAAAAGGTTATTATCCTGATGTGCATAAACACCTCACTGAGCAGGACTAAAGTGCAAAGGATGGGTCCTAGCAGCGTACTAACAAACCAAACCCCATTCATGAACCCCAATTGAATTACTAAATCCCTGGTTGGGAACTTAGTTTTGGTCAGTCCAATGTCCCCCAAAAACCCAAATGTTCTAAATCGGGCGTATGGCCCGGCCCGGCGACAAAATTCCGGAAGGGTCCTAATCATCGAAACTGTTATTCATGACCTAAGAGAGTGATTTACCAGCCGGGGTAAAAATTCGGATCTATCAAACACGTAGTGCTGTGCAATTGCGGGATACGTATGAGAACTGAAAGTTGGTAAAAATAACTCTGGGAGATCAGTGTAAGGTGATGCCGATGGGGCCAGCCATACGTTCTTATACTCATACTCAATTTTTTAATTTACGGGAGATTTAATGTAAATTTTATATTTTTTATAATTTTAATTTATTGGTATTTTGTACTGTATTTATTTAAATAAAAATTAAAAATATCTACAAACTTAAGATTAGTGGAACCATTTGACATACAATTTTTCTAGGTAAAAAACTTCCTCGCCCTTTTAAAAAAAATATTTTGAATTTAAAATATATCTATACAAATTTTTCGGAGAATTCTACTATAAATATATATAATGTATTTTTTTATAATAAAAACATACATTTAAATAGAATTAAATGTTTTTCCAAAGCATCTAGCATCTATATTATTAACACTATATTGTAATAAATATTTTTCTTTAAAACTTTTGGTACTATTACTAAAAGTTAAATTTTATTTTAATGTTTTTTTCATGGATAACTTGACAGAATAAGATTTTGTATTTATTATTGTGCATTTTTCTCCTTAAAATTTAGTATAGGGTCGTTTTGAGGGGTGGTGAATCCAGATTTTGTTTGAAAAAACGCTAATATGAATTCTTAAAAATTGACTCTTAAGAACTGACATAGTAGGCCTTGTATTTTGCAAAAATATGTCGTTGTTTGCTCCAAAAATACAGTTTATTAAGATCTACACTTTAAAACAAATCCGGTTAAAATCGCACAATAAATAAAGATTTTACATGAGTGAGTCGCAAATAAATGGGTCACACTGTATATACTATAGTATCAAATATTTTTCCAAGCCCTCTAGTTCTGATATTTTTCTATATTCTTTGATAATATTGCTATTATTTGTGTTTCCGCGCGGCTACTGGTACGTAATGCGTGGCACGAACGAAAACTCGTCCACGGCAGCATCCAGACCTTAGTTTTACTCAATCACGAATACTAGTCGCACAGAACAGTCTTCGTGTACTAAAATTAGCCAATAATTGTACCTTAAAATAACAAGGTTCTAAGTGCAGCTGCACTGTTAAGCGAAAGTGACTTATCTACAATATTAAATATTGCAAATAAGGCATTTTTGCTTAACATGGCAACTATACGTAGAACCTTGTCATTTTAAGGTACCCGAATTATAAATTTAGGGTCCCTAGAATTTGCCAACTAAACCCACCAATTTTTGACGTCAAATTCCGAATATGGAAGTTTTACTAAAATCAATGACATACAATAATACAATAATTTTATTAATGAAAAATCAAAATTATAAATTTACCAATAAAATTTAAATAATAAATAGGATTGTAATAAATAAATGGACCAAATTGCTGTTTAATGACTAGATATTTACAAATAAATAACAATTAATAATATGAAGGATAAGGATGGTAGGGTGTTGGCGTGGGGGAATTAACATGTGGCCTTGCTGGAATAGGTGTGGGATGATAAGGGCCTTGAGACACGGAATAACCAGAAAACCCCGGCACAGGAGACACAGTATCGTTTGACGCTGATGGTTGTAAAATTCTACTTTCACCCAGCAACCTTGATTGCTCTAAAAGCCTGGGTTGATCTGTCAAAATTCTGGACTCGTCTGAAAGCAACCTGTTGCTTTCGGTATTAATAAGGTGGTTCGATGAAAGTTGTTCGTTGCTGGAAAGAATCCGGTTTGTGGTGTGGTCGGACAGAATCCTGGGACCGGAATCGCTTAATAATCGAGTCGAGGATAATTCCGAGGGTAGAATGCGGCCCTGGTCGATTAGTCGGTGAGGATTTGGTTCGCCTAACAGACCTCTGGTGTGCAGTGGGTGACTGCGCAAGCTCAGATCCACGCTGTGTCTACCTGGAGGAGTTAAATCTAGCGAAACAACTCTTAGGATGTCCGCGTGGGTGTACGAAGGAGGGGGTGGGCTATAATTTAGTCTTAAATCGACTCTATCCACCTCGGGATATAAGTGATGATACCGATTTATGTTGGAGTAGTTATGGAAACTTCTTGCCGACATGTCTAATCCTTGCAGTTCGGTGGAGTTCAACAATAGCGGCTCAAAATTTCTCTCCGTTCTAAACTCGTTGTCTATGTTATCGTAGGATTTGTTTCTAAGTTCCATGCTGTCTATTAAATCGTAATTTTTGCTTCTAAAGTCTACCTCCGAGGGTGTGCTCTCATAAGTACTATTTCTTTGCCTAAGTATTTCGCTGTCTATACCCTCGTATTGCTTAAGCCTCATCTCCAAATCCAGGTCGAATTTGCCTCTAATATCGCTGGGTAACTCATCGGTATATTTAGATCTATCGTGGTTATCCGAATTTTTAACGTTTTCCTCCAATTCTTGCATGTTATTTGCGAGTTCGTGTTGGGTCATATTCTCGACGTCATCTGAATCTAAAGCGTTATATATTTTGGAGACGTTATCGATATTTTGCATTTGTATTTTTCTGCTTATTTCGGTGTCAAACTTCATCCTCAGCTCCTTTCTTAGGTAATCTTGGGATTCAAATTTGTACGGCGACTTATAGATGGATAAGTCCAACTGCAACCCGTTTTTGGAATTGTGTATGCTCAAATTTTGAGCGGCCATTCCGTTGCTATCGTCCGAAGAAAGATGCTCATTTGTTACAGTGTGGCCAAAATCGTACCTAGGTGGACTGGAAGCAGGCGATATTTTCCCGTGATTGTAATTATGCGGGGATAGAGTATTGATGTAGTTTCTGACGAAACTAGACCGCTCATGCGCACTTGGACTGCTTGCAGGGCTAAAATCCTCCTGCTGAAAGTTCGAGTAATCTATTCCGATATTTTGACTTTGTCTTAGTTCGTCATTTAACTCGTCTGTGACCGATATGTGATCGTTAACTGATGGGGATATTAGATTTATGTCGCGGGAGTCGTTAATGCACATATTAGTGTTGTATTCGTTGAGATTCTCGTGCGGCGCAAGTGTGTACAAATTGTTTACCAAAGAGTCTGCGCAGTTGGGACTGGTGCCGACATCTATGTCGATGTTCGGCTCGCTGCACACCGAGTCCAAGGCCGCCTCTACCAGTAAACTGGCGTTCGACGCCTCCTGACTTCTGCCGTAATCGTTCAAAGTGCTTAATTTCTTTCTATCGTAAAAATCGTCGTGCAACGAGATATTGTTAACGTCATCTCTGGTCTTGTGGTCCAAATGGTACAAGTCCGATTTCGATAGTTGAATTGGTTCGTCGGCAATCCACTTCTTGGAGCCTTTGGTTAATACTTTTAGGTTTGAAGTTGGTGGGGGGATGTTATATGTCTCCAAGTGTGGAGGAGAGCACGATTCGGGTTGTGATTGGTCGTCCATGACCAATGGTGACTGCAAAGCAGGTGGATCATCAATACTTTTGATGTCAAGACCTGGAAAAACATGTTTAGGTTGTGTTTGATTGATTTGCTGAGATTCTTACTGTCTTCGTCAATGTCCACGTCACTATTTTTCTGTTCTTCCTCTGAATTTTTATTGTATTCTGCCTCCTGTTGCTGTTGTTTTCTAGATCCACTATAAGCTTCAAATGAGTAGTCTATACTGCGTTCGATTTTGGGCATGTTTTCTTCAGTGTAGTTGTGCACTTTTTTGTAATGGAATTGCAGGCATTGTTTTGTTGTAAATGCGGCATTACAATTACCTGTGGAACATCTAAAAATATATTAAAAAATATTTATAATTATTAATGTTTATGGATATCTTACTTAAAAGGTTTGATACCACTATGTGTTAACATATGAATTTTTAAATTTGATTTATTCTGGAAATGTTTTCCACATTTACTGCATGAACAAGTTCCATCAAGTTGCTTTTGATGGACTTCTTTCAAATGTCTTTGCACAGCTACTGGAGATCCAAGTATTTTCATACATATTTTGCATTGAAATTCCTTTAGCACAACAGAAAAATCTAAAAAAATATCTTTAAAACGCACCTAATTATTAACTTCATCGCAATTGTTCTTACCACTATGCATACGTTTTATATGCACTTTTAATTTTTGAGGTTGGCAAAATTTTCTCCCGCAAAAATCGCATAAAGGTCTGGATCTATGTGGGTTTGCTGAACAACCATATGTTCTATGCATTTCTAAATAATTAAGTCTCAAGAAATACTACAAACAAGCGGTTTTAGTTTTGTAAATACAAAAAATAATAATTCTACCTTTTTACAAAATTGACATTGATATGCTCCTTGCCCATTGTGCAATTCAGCTGCATGTTTCATTATATTTTCTTTCCCCAAAACAGCTTCTCCACATATTTTGCAATGATATTTCCGAATTGTTAAACTAAATCTAATATCATGAAAAACTGAACAATGAGTTCTGTAATAAATTGGGTGACTAAATGTCATGTTACATCCCCCACAAGCTAAAAAAACATACATTTTGGACTGATAAACATCTCCAAGACTTGGTAACAATAGCGTATACAAATTCAATTCTTAACAGCTAGCTCATAGCAAACAATGTATTTTTTCACATTAAATATATATTTTTTGTAAAGGAGAGAAAGAGTTTGTTACATGCATGTTGGGATTGAAACGTATACCCACAATTCTTCATTAAATATTAATTTTAATTCTGTTTTAATTCCTTTTACCGAAAATTCTTGATTTATTTTTCATTACAATTTGCCAGTGGTCCAGACCTTAACAATCTGATAATCTGATAATTCGGACCCCCAATAAAACTAATTGGTGACCCCTGGTATACATCATTCAGTCATCTGCTCACCACAGATCACCAAAGAAATTATTATTAAACAACCATCAGAAAGTTTAAGTGTCTATTAATTGTTTATATTTAAGTTTAGGGTAGTTTTTTCTACACGCGTGCGCAGAGTTGTACTTTCACGCACGCAAATGCGTTAATACAGGAATACGATAATTAAATCATGAAGCCTTTAATAGTATTGTTAATTAAAAACAAAAAAAAATATTGCCAAAATAATTTAATATAAAAATGTACCTATAAGTAACAACTTTCCGCACGCTTTTAAAAAAAAAGTTAAAGTTAAAAAGGAAATAATTATTTACTCAACTATAGCTATAGTGCGAAAAGTTTTCCACACGAGTTAAACGAACAAAAAAGTCACTTTCCGCGCGTGTACAATACAATATTTTTTTCTACAAGCAAGGAAATATAGCAATTTTTCATTTGTAGACAAAATATTTTTTATAGTACATTTTTTTCCGTACTGTTGAGCTTGCGGAAAAGCGCAACTTTCCGCACGCTTGTAGAAAAAGAAAATGAGAGATTTCTTTGTTTGTAGAAAAAATATTTTTCCCAATACATGTGCAAAAAATGTAATTTTTGTGAATATTTCAGAAACCCTATGTTTAATTATTTTTCTGTTTTCACCATTTTAATAAAAAAATTCACCTATTTGCTAATTTAAGCGACTTTGAAGCTCCAATAATAAGAGCTAGCAATGGTGAACAGATATATGAGTACATAAGATACAAAACTCGGTTTTTGCAAATTTTTAAAAATATATATTTTATCATATTTATGTTCATAACTGCACTGCCCACAGCATACCTAAATACCTAAACCAGATGCATAAGTTAATATTTGTAGAATAAAATACATTTATAAACTTACTGCAGATGCAATACTGGGTATTTGGTAATCACGTCGCTAGTATTCGCATTAAGTGACGACATAACAATCACCTGATTAATTGTTATTTTTTCTTATTTGCACTTTTCACTTGGTCTTTGAACGAGGAAGATGCAAAACTATATTTTTAAATCTTTTGATTTAAATTATTTACTAAACTACTAATTTTAAAGGATTTTTTTTTACTTTTTTAAATAAGAAATGATGCAAAAGCACGTCTATACAATTTTTGCATTTTTTTTTCAAAAATGACCTTATGAGCGGTTTTTCGTGTTTTTCTTAAAATCACTTATCCTGCAAATACAGAGTTGTGCATCTAATGTACTCATATCTGCTTACCAAAGTTATAACTTTGGACACAGTGTATAAAAATAATTACTATTCCAGGGGGGTGTAGGGTTTTAAAATTTCCGGAAAAATTGAGCTGGCAGAAAAAAACTGTTTTTTTCCGGAAAAACGGAAACATTGGAAAATTTTCAGAAAAACTGACTTTTGCATTTTATTTAAAGGGTAATACGAAAAAATGCAAACGTCAATTTTTCTGAAAATTTTCAAATTTTTACGGATGATATCCGTACACTGAAGAAAAAAGTGAATTTTCGACGCTGATTATAATCATAATATTATGATTATAACAATTATTCCTTTTATTTTAATTTAGTAAGAATACGTATTCCAACGGGTCGTAAGAAAACATATTCGGTGCTGTATTATCATAACTTCCCTGCTTAAAATACCCCATAGAGACCTATACAAAATAATCTATCGGGCGCTACCGGATTCAATATGAGCATTTGTCCATGGTTTTTTCCGGATACGGAAATGTATGGGAAATTATAATACCTATAGGTATTATAATTTCCCATACATTTCCGTATCCGGAAAAATATATATATATAGGCACACCATAACTTTTACATTTTCCCTATTGAGACTGATAGAAAATAACTCAATGAAGGATATCCTATATATACCTATAGGTATATCCCTATAGAGATACCATAAAACATTTGACAAAATTTTACTAAAACCTATGGGGTCCTATGGGGGAAAAACAAATTTCTACATTTATGTGTATTTTCCCCATTGAAACCAATAGCAAATAAATCAAGGGTGGCCAAGGGTACACCCTATAGAAACACCATACATTCCGATACAAATATCTATCAGTTTGAACAGGGTCTCTATGGGGTATTTTAAGCAGGGTTTTATTTGACACTTCGATTTATAAAATTATAATTTTGTAATTTAACTTTATAAATCATACATTATTTTGTAATTAGATATTTTTAATGGGCTCCTTTTTGCAAAAAAATACCCAACCAACAGTTTATTTAACGTTTACGATTTTCTCCAATTAATTTAATTTAATTCCAAACATTATTTTTTTTAAGAATATTTTTCTTAAATTAAAATAATGTTAAGTTGGCCAATGTTTCCAAGGCCTGGGAAAAAAACGGAAAAAACAGTTTTTTCTCCAATTTTTCCGGTTTTTTTTCGACACTTTAAAACCCTAGGGGGGTGTTTCTTTAAATTTGCAACTTTGTATAAAATGATGACCTATAGTGTGCTGAATTTCAAGAAACACCCCCAGAGATTTTAGAAAAAAAGTAGCCTCTTTTTAGTAGGTACTCTTATAATACTTACATGTTTTTTCTAGCTTCTTTTTGCTATTATTACTATTATCCTGCCAATAAAGCAGCTCATCTCCTACTTTCAAATCATTAACAGTAATGAAATACAACTTATCCTCCTTAAAAATCACAGAAACATTTTTCTCCTCCCTGCTTGGAGCAGGCCTTATAAATCTAATCCAATTGGAGCCTTCTAAATCTTCAGTATTAAAATAAGTGGGCTTAGTATTTGCTTCAGTATCTGAAGCACTCATTTCCCATATAAATCTCATGCTGCTGTCTTCTGAAATGTCTACTTCCTTTATTAGATTTCCAATAAGTGGCCCCATTTGAGTAAAAGATGATATTTGGTATCTGATAAAAACCCCAAGACCATGGTCTGTGTTTGTATCATCCAAATATAAGCAATCTGGAAGTGATAATTTGGAAAAACTATTTTCTATTTTCATATCTTCATTTGGATGTTCTCCATCTTTTTCGGTTTTAATGTTGGGTGTTGTAGGGTCATCATAGAGTTGTTTATATTTACTTTGCCATTCATTTTGAGAAAGTGAATCGCTAATAATGTATTTTGGGTAAATTAAAGGGCAAGTCTCTTCTTCATGGTGTGTTTTACAGTGAATGCAAGTTTGTAATTTACTATCAGAGCTTTTACTATTTACGTTTGGTTCAACTGACTTGATGGGTATTTCTGGTTCTTTCTTTTTACATTCCTTTTTAATTTGCTTTTCAATTATTGGTCTAATATCATTATTTCTTTCTAAATTTTCATATTTTATGGAATTTGGTTCAGAGTTTAAATTCAAGGGATTATTGTCCATTTCAGTATTAATATTAACATGAGATATTCCATTGTTTTTCTCTTTTTCGTTTATCTTGCTAGCATCATTTACTATTTCCATTTTGCTCTTTTTTGATTTTTTCTTGGGTGATTTGTTATGCCTTTTAATTGTGGGTGGTTCAACGCCATTTCTAAAAAAACATTAAGTACATTTTGATGTTATAATAATTGATGCAATATTTTGTAAAAATAAAAGCACATTATAAATATATTTTTTCCTATAGGAGATGACATTTGATACCAAATACGGGTACAAAATAAGGGTTTAATAAAAAATGTAAGAAAATATTAGTATACTTAATTATAATTACTTAAGTTTACTATTAATACACTGCGCGTCAAAATTAACGCATAACAAGTAAAAAAAATCCAACTCTAAAACGCCTTTATCAATCTTTATAAAATTTTGAATAAAAATATTTAAAGTAGGTACCTATTTTTCGAGAAAATATCCTTAAAGCCCTTTAATTTAATAATAAAAAACGCTCGAAAAAAAACTTTTACCTACACGAATTTAATTTAGGCACGAGCTAGCTTGCGAGCGAGTGCTTAAATTAATATTAACTCATATGAGTATATAGAAAAGTTTATAAACGAGGTGCATACTATACTTTTTCTACGACAAATACTTATTATTATCTTAAAATGATTTAAACATAGATAAGGGATAAGTTGGGTGGGTGGGGGCAAAGATATGCAAATACTTATTATTATCTTAAAATGATTTAAACATAGATAAGGGATAAGTTGGGTGGGTGGGGGCAAAGATATGGGGTGTATTATCTTTGGGTGGGGGGATTTAAATCAAAAATTTGTATTATATCTATGAAACAACAGGGGAAACTGTCAAATGTCACATTTTTACATTTTATAAACACAATTATAAAGGTTATAAATCGAAATATATCTTGAAAATGGACAGTTTTTCAGTGAAAGTAAAGGAAATGTTTTATGAAGACTTTACAGTAGAGTCCGTGCCCGAATTTAAGTTATACCTATATAACTTAAATTCGGGCACTATAGTTTACTGCCGGCGAAATTAAAAGGTCAGTACAATGTTCATAAAAACTTTTTAAATATTGGCGTTGAGAAACTATTTAATATTTTTGTATTTTTGTATTGAGATAATAAAATAATTTTCACATTTAGTAATATTTTACAAGAAAGGCACTTTATTTTAACGATTGTATGACATTTGACAACTGTCAATCAACTTAAAACTAACTTCAGCCCGTGACTAATAACCTGTGGCTAACTTCAGCCCGTGACTAAAGCGCCATAAAGCCACAACTTGTCAATGTGTATTTAAAAGGTCACTTATTAGTGTCATGGAAACTACAATAAAGGGCGTTTTAAAGGTGGGAGTAGAAAAAAATATTTTTTTGAAAAACCCTCGAACAAGTAAACTGGGATATAAGTTGAAGTACCTATTTTTATACAAAATTTCATAAAGATTGGTAAAGGCGTTTTAGAGTTAAAATGCGTTAATTTTGACGGGCAGTGTAGTAAACTTAAGTTTGTTTTTACTTGTAATTATTGTGTACATTTTATCAAAAGTTTGGTATGACTTTTAAACCAATAAAATCAATGAAAATTAAAAAAAAACAAAAATTGTTATCATAGGTAATAAATCATTGAAATTTAAATTCTCCCACGTGTTGTTTATTGATCTGTCAACTTGCCCCGCCCACAAACATGTCCGCTGTGTATTATTTTCGTTATTTTTGTTTTTACATTGTTAAAACAAAAGAAAACACGTCAAAATCGTAAGAAACCTACTTGCTTAGATGTTCTTGTGCTAAATCCAATAATTTCGTGACAAAGTGCTGGTTAGTTTTGCAGGAAAAAGCGTCTTTAAGCGAAGTCCAACGTTTGGCGTTTAAAGGTCCTACAACAACGTCCAAGAACGAATTGTCCTGCGGATTTACTTCACTGTTATTCACTAATACACCCTTGTTTACTTGTATGCCGTTACCGTTTGTTTCTGGCCTTTTGGACATTATTTTATTTAAACATAAAGAGGATAGGTTCGCTAACGTTCTATCCTCTTTAAGGTGGTTATAAACGATGACGTCGTAGAGCGCCAATTTAAAAATTTCGTTGTTTTTCGTATATTTTAAATACATGATGTTTTAATTATCCCTTGCCAAAATTTGCTCAAAAAGGGCAAAATTCGTTTGTTTTTAGATTTTCAGGCACCTACCTACTTTGTCAGATTTACAAAAAGAAACTTTTTTTATTTTTTTTTTTTAACTTTAACAATATTAAATTATTAATACCTTTTAAGAACCAATTGGTTAACCTTATAGAATTTCATATATAGGAATGCAAAATAATAAAAATTTATATAAAAAAAATTACCGCCATCTCTTGATTCTAATCGTAATGAATTTACAGGTTCCTCCCTTTGTGCACTTAACCTCACTTTTGCTTTTAAAAAAACGTGAGAAAACTGTACAATTTGTTTATAAATATGGCAAAATTGGGTGCTTATTATGGATTGTGCCCCTTAATTGATAACAAAAGTTTGCTAGGGGTTGCAGACGATGCTGAAAGAGGTTCAGTTATTGTTACTTTAGGAAAAAACATTTCAATAAAATTTAAAGTAAGTACAAAAATGTTTTAATTTAACTTATTTTTTTTTTCGTTTATATATATGATTGCGTGTTGTGTAATATACTAAATATAATAACATAGAAAAACATATTTTTATAATTTTAACTCCCAAACATACTACGTTGCCTAATTTTTAATCTTTTTAAATAGCTCTCAGACCAAAAGCAATTAAATAGTTGGAGGACAAGGGAAAAGTTTACTTCCCAAATATTATATGACAAAAATCAGCAACAATATGTTGCAGTATTTAATCAATTATATTTACGATTTTGGAGTGGTTCTGAAGATAATTTGGACAAATTAAAAAAGCTTAAGGTAGGTAATTTACCTTTTAATATTTTTATTTTTGATTATAAATATTGTTGTTTTAGTTTAATACCATGATTCAAACAATTTTAACCCACAAAGACAATACCTATATTTTATTTAAAAATGGAGCAATTCACCTCTTGAATGAAAGTTTAGAAAAAAGAAAAACTTTTAACCCAGAGGCTGTTATAGAGGAAAACGACAAAATTGAAGATGTTTTACAAGCTTCATTGGATGATATTCATTACATTGGCCTTTTAGTAAATGGGAATGACAAAAAATATTTTCTTTGGACAAGATGTGGCACTCTGAAAAACAAATATTGCAAAATAAACCTTAAACGAAAGGGTTGTAAACTATTAGGCTATACTTTTCATGTGGATAAAATCAATGTTTACCTATTAACAACATGTAAGTCTTATTTTTAATATTTTTTATCATTACTTATAGAAATATGTTTAGGGTCCGACAGAAGAATGTTTTCCTGCAAACTTGAAGAAACAGATGTGGACAGTAATAATCCAGGGGACATATTTACTGTGGTAGAATCCATATCTTGTACCCAACCAATATGTATGACATCGCTAAATGAAGATTATATAGCAATGTATGGCCCAAATTGCAATGAAGAGGGTGCTTTATTAATAATTTACAACACTCAATTTAAAGTTACACAGTCAAAACAAAACTTTAAAATGTTTAAAGCAGATGCAAAGTTGTATTGCATTGAGAAAAACTTGTTTTTGACTGTGGGGCAGAATTTGGCTGTTATACCATTTAATCTGGATACTGAGCAGTTGGCTGCTTTAGTTGGAAGTCATAAGGCCATTGAAAATCGTTTGGATGAAGATATTTCTATTGTGCATGAGTTGGAGGTCACTAAGTGGAGTTCTAAAAAAGTACTGACGAATCCAATTCCTAAAGAACTTGACTTGGAAGAGTTAAAGCAACAAGGATTGCCTGAAAGTATTATACTGGATCATATTGTGCCTATTATAATTGAAAAAAAAGATGTGAAGATGTTGAAAAATATTATTAAGAATTTTATAGACATTCCTGAGAAATATTTAGCCAAATTACTAAGATTTACTTTGAATGCTGATAAAAAATTATTTAAGGATTCAAGTCTTAATTCAAACTTGCCTGCAGAGTTTCCAAAGGATTTGGGTCCATTTGAAAGGACAGATATTATTGATAAAATTTTGGACAAATCATTCAGCGAAATTCTATTAATTCCACACATTAGAAATGAGTTAAGCCTTGATGATATAACCAAAATATTCACCTATTTTTGCTACACATGTTCATTGGAAGGCATGCGTTTTAAAATGAACGAAAATACAATAACTGACAAAACTTTTCTAAGTTGGGTGGAAGTGTTGTTTGACTCAAGCTATCAAAAGTTGGTATTCTCAAAGGATCCAGCTTTGGTGGAATTAGTGAAGAAAATGGAGAGCATTGTTATGGACCAAATTAATGCGTTGGAGGAGATAAACCAAATAACGCCATACTTAAATGAACTAAGAAATGGTAGGACTTACTTGAAGGGTCTGGAGAATGCGCCGAATAAATATGTTATTGAGCAGATCAATTTGTTTGCTAATGTTGATAGTTTATCATAAAAATATTTTGTAATTGTAAAAGTTGTTTTTATTTTTAATTAGGTATATACAGCTAGCGCTAGTTTTTTGATTATTGGAAACAACTTTATTCAATGGGTTTAATCACTAGTTATTAACAATTCATGTGTTAAGATTTGGTTCATAACCGACCGCTACACCTCTGTAATCCTATTCAGAGATAAATTATATAAATTTCTACCCAGTTAAGGTGGATCGGTCGCGGCGTAATAACCTCCACGCTAGCGAACTAGCGCTAGTAACTAGCGGCTAGTTGATAATTTTCTTTTGAAAATTTTATTTTTTTTTATACAAAACGGGTTTAGTGACCTAGATAAAACGTGTGGTCGCTCGGGTATCCGAAAACCAAAATGGTCAAAAACTGGTTCAGTGACCTCGATTTACCATAAAACGAGTGGTATCTGAAAACCAAAGTTTTTCCAAGTCCCTTCAGGTCAAAAATTTTGCTAAAATCGAATTCAAAGGCCTCGGTTTACTATAAAACTCAGGTATCTGGAAACCAAAATTTTCCCAAGGCTCTTAAGAAAATTTGGATCAATAATTGCGTCAAATTTTTTCCAAGGCCCTTCAGGTAAAAAATAGGATTCAGAGACCTCTATTTACCATAAAACGAGAGGTAACTCAGGTATACGGAAACTAAACCTCACGACCTCGATTTACTACTAAAACAAATATTTACAAATGTTGATTAGAAAATTTAAATATTTTGAAAATTTAGAAAAATTTGGTTTTAAATATTCGCATCATTTTTGAATTTTTTTAAAATAAACAATGCAAAATGACTGAAAGTGTCCTGGGAATTTGAAAATTAACATATGCATATCAACATGGCAAAAATATATATTTTAAAAATCTGATTCTGGAATTTTTTGTAAATTTGGCAACGTCGCAATTGAAAAATTACAATTAAAAAAATTTAATTTCTTAGAATTTTTCAGACAGGATTTTTTAAAAATAAATGGTGCAAAACGACTTTCTGAAGATTTTGTAAAATTCTGCGTTTATGGGAACTTTTGTAAATTTGGCAACGTCGCAGAAAAAACCCAGCTTGAGAATTTTTGAAAATTTAGCAACACCAAAAGAAAAATTGTAAGACCGGGGAAAATTTTAGTATTTATGAATATGCATATTTAATGCCGCTGCAATTTTTTTCCCTAGCTGGCGATCCCAAAAATTTAAATTAATTCGATGAAAAAATTGACTGATGGCCCATTTTTAATACCAACACAATTTCGCGAAAAAATGTCAACTTCGTAAGTGAAGACAAAAAAAATGTTTTTCTATTCCCACCTTTAAAACGCCCTTTATCGTACATGTTTCCATGACACTAAGTGATCTTTTAAATACATGTGCACATTGACAAGTTGTGGCTTACGGCGCTTTAGTCACGGGCTGAAGTTAGTTGACAGTTGTCAAATGTCATACAATCGTTAAAATAAAGTGCCTTTCTTGTAAAATAATACTAAATGTAAAAATTATTTTATTATCTCAATACAAAAATATTAAATAGTTTCTTAACGCCAATATTTGAAACGTTTATATGAACATTGTACTGAACTTTTAATTTCGCCGGCAGTAAACTATAACTTAAATTCGGGCACGAACTCCACTCTAAAGTTCTCATAAAACATTTCCTTTACTTTCACTGTGAAAAACTGTCAATTTTCAAGATACATTTCGATTTATAACCTTTATAATTGTGTTTATAAAATGTAAAAATGTGAATCTGAATGTGACATTTGACAGTTTCCCCTGTTGTTTCATAGGTGGCGCTCTATAGAAATTTTTGATTTAAATCATTTTAAGATAATATTGGTCGTAGAAAAAGTATAGTATGCTCCTCGTTTATAAACTTTTCTTTACACTCATTAACTTAAGCACTCGCTCACAAGCTCGCTCGTGCCTAAATTAAATTCGTGTATAAAATGGCGTTTACCAAACTTGATACATAATATACTATTACAAACAGAATTTTTCCACAAAATTCGATTGGCATACGGGTTCCCTGTACAACCCCTTAAGTTTCGAAAAAAGAAAATCTGATTTTATAAAGGTTAGTTTATAGGAATTTTGCATATTTTAAGAAAATAGGTACAGGGTGATCCCCTATAATGTCGCCCCCTTTAACTTTTTTATTTTAAGTGTCCCAAAAAATTTAAAAGTGTGGTTAAGTAGGTACTAAAAAATACTTTTTTTCTACGTATAAAGAAAATTGATCAGTATACAGGGAAAAACAAAAAGTTTTGTATTTTTACGTATTAACATTATAACATTTTTTTATATTTGAATAAAAAAAATTCTCTTGCCACTTCTGGGGGCCCCCTGGTACTCAGGGCCCCGGTCTCTGAAACCAGTAGGATCGGTGGTAGTTACTGATTCCTTATGTAATATAGTACATACAAATAAACTAATAAAAACTCATATATTCTTTTATAATCTTATTATTAAAGGTTAAATCACAATACAAAAAAATAAAATAACTTAAAATGCATATCTAGTTCTAATGTCTTCCAGCTTCTTAGAAACTTCAGCTGGAGTTCTATCCAGATCTGCTGCAATACTTTTTTGTTTTGAAGGTTCCAGGGAATTGTATTGTTCACATAAATCACCATCAATAACATTCTAAAATAAAGAAAAAAATTAGTGCTCTTCATAAAATAAGAAAACGTTTTTCTTTCAAAGTTAATATAAAATCAGAATTTAATAATAATAATCATACTAATTCATAAGTCTAGCATGTGAAAGTAAGCATCACGTAATTATGTTTTTATTACTTAATAATAATATTAAAGAGTATATTTTACCTTGACTGGGTAATAATAGCTCCTAAAGCTCAAATGGTCTCTACCACATAGCGGCGAATTTTCGCTGCGCATGTGCATTTCCAAATGTTGAAAGAAATCGTGATCCTCGTGCGAAGTAAAGGGCACCAAAACGCCAACTGTACCAGAGAGCGTGGTATAAATAAGAGACTCCCAACCGCCAGGAATGAGGGTGGCTTTCTGCAACCAAGTCACAGTTTCTCCCACGTGGAATGTCGCGATGGTGTCGGTTTTTTGCGAGGCCCCATTCAGCAATCCCCTGTCCCACAACGCCTTATGGCCCGTGGGGTCTTCCTCGACGTCGTCGCTGACGTTGGGGGGTAATCGAAGAATCGATATGTTGCCGAATTTATCCGCTGTTGCCACCGTGTCGTAGTCCAAGACGCTCTTGCAAGTGATCCATCTGGGATGGGTGTCATCGGCGAATATTATGAGTTGATTTTCTGCGCGTTTGTAACGTACCATGAATACCGATTCTTGGACGTCAGACACGAAGATTCTTTTGCCCATTGCTTGAATGTTCACTATGGAATTGGGGATATGCTGAAAAAAATATCGAATTTTATTATCCGGTTTTTTTCAAGTTGTATAATTTGCATTTGGAGAAGTATTCAAGTCAGTACTGCAGGATTTCATCAACATATCAGATGAAATTGTTTGTCATCATGAAAAATATACTTGTGGTTAACAATAGAACATTATTTTATAAGAAGCCAAGCTTAGCTTTTTTCCGTATAAAATATACTATTTTTTTTAAACGCCGAATACATTAAATATTCAATTTTCCGTAAAAATATGAACTCTTAAACACAGTAAAAAAAATAAGTTGGTGTGAATATTAGCATAATTAAAACTTACTTTTGAATTTGGAGGTGACATTTGTAAGTAGTTTCTTAAGAGTTTATTGAGTTTTTTCTCCCTCGAAAATATCGGACGGCGCTTTATCTGCCACATATAATTTAATGCCAACTAAATCGACAACACTTTATGCAGCAGCTTTTAAAAAATGTCTAAATTGGTGCAAAAAAAGCGTAAAAAAATATCTTAGAATTTCTTAGAATTCACCACCCTCAGAAAAATCAAATCTTAGACAATGTGGTCACAATGATAAAATTAGTAGGTACTTAATATCAAATATGGAGTGGATAGCAGCAAATTTATGAAACTATGGATATGTTAAAGAAGCACAATTAAGACCACTTCACAATAAATGAATTTAAGCAATTTATGTCCAATGCTCCTGATAAAAAATACTTGGAAATGAAGATAAACATGAAGATAAACATGTTATAAAATGCATAAATATAGATAAATTTTAACAACCTACTTATTTTATTGGTTGGTATATCTGGGCATGTGACAAAATGGTAAATATGAAGGTGGACGATATAGAAGACAGGATCTTTATTTTATAATAAAGTACCCGACACAAAAACTCGAAAGAAGCCACGATTTTCCATCGTTGGATAAAAAAATGCAAAATGTCAATGTTTTAACTTTTTTTTATTAGGTTGGCTACAATTAACGCGTTTCTCATTCAATTTTAAAATTTGACGAGACATTAAAAACTGTCTAAATATTTTCCGATTGCGCTTCAGAAAATGAAACTTAATTCAAGCAGCCTATAGTCTTTCGACAGAAAAAAAATCGCAACATTCACCAAGCTTTTCATAAAATTAAAAAAAAAATGGGCAAAAGATTAATTTAACAGATGAACAAACCTCAAATTCTGAGACCCTTTTGTATCTCACAGCAAAAGTAACTAGGTTACCAAAAAATCGATATGAGGTTGTGAGCCTAAAGATGTGATTCAATTTAAGAAATTACCAAATTGGAAGTACATTGCTTAATAATATCTGCTACACTTCTTATCTAATAAGAACCATGGGCGGATTTAGATGGGCATTATGGGCTGCAGCCCAGGCACCCCTACGCGATGCAAATATTTTTTTTAAATATAAATCAGACTGATTAAAAAATTAACTATTTAATAGTTGCATAGAGGTAAAATATTTAATATGCAACAAACGATGCATACGGACGAAATGTCAATATTACAAAAAAACGTCAAATATAAAATGACGGTGACCCATCAATAATATTGAACGGTGCGCGCCAGCCTTAAGATATTAGCAACTGGCACACACAAAAATTACGAAGTGAATGGTTTATTTTCAATATTTCGCAAAAAAAAACGTTTTAAAACAGGGAAATTGTTAGTTACTTTACAATTCAAAGTTTCAGATTTGGCCGCGACTATATGCAGCAAATGGGTCCATAAATCCACGACAACATTCCGATGAAAATTCTTCCATATTTTAAGCGCGGGAGTAAATTCTACTTTGACTTGAGTTTCTTAAATTTTACAGGTGAGACAATAAACAAATGTTCATCTATTTATTGTCCACAAATAATAAATAAAATTTTTCTTAAATTTTAAAGGGGGACAATAAATAAATTTTCATCTTTTTATTGTACAAAAATAATAAATAAAATTTTGCTATAAACGGGGCTTTTCATTAATTAATTTAAAAGCACTTTTGCTAAATAAATTTTAGCATTCTGTGAAATGTCACAAGTGTCATTTTATTGACGTTTGAAAATAGTATATTAAAGAACTAATGTTTTGTAATGTACGAGTGCGACAAAAGGTCTTTATGCTATATTATCTATTTCGCAAAAATTCTATAAAAAAAATTTATATACCTTAACTATGGTTTCGCGTAAAAATCGAACAAATTTTGGACATTTGTTTGCAAGTGATGCCAGAATTGAATATATTTTTTTAACCTTGTTTCTACATCTAAATGGTGCATTTTTTTCAAAAAAAATTTTTTATCCATTGACCGCCGTGGGTTTTAGGCCTTAAGTCACTCTACTGTGTTAAAAATAGATAAATTTCGATATTTTGTAATAACATTTTTATTTAAAAACGTATAGATTTGAAATTAAGATAAAATGTAGACCTTATTAGTGGCAATAAATCCACGTATAATTTTTTTTAGATTTTACCATACAGGGGGCGCTGGGGACAATTTAATTTAAAATTTTACCATTTTTTAAGGGTTAAAAAGTCGAAGAAGCAACGTTGTTTTATAATTTTGAGTATATCACGTTAAAGTACTGATAATTAACTATTATTTGAGATATAAACTTTTATATGCAAATTATGTTTCTACGAGATACACCATTTTTAAGTTAGGCCTTCAAAGGGCATAATACTAACGTGTTTTACAAAGTATATATTCTTTTATCTAGTTTTATAAGATTATGTATTGTATATTACATATTATATATTACATATAATATATTATATATAACATATATGTAATTGTATACAATTCTTATATATTTATTTTAAAAAGTCGCCATAGATGGAGCTAAAATTACTTTTATTTATAAATTTTAAATTTTTTCAAGTTTACTAATTTTGATCATAGTATGCATCATAGACTTTTCTCTATGGTAACCTACAATTGTAGCATGAAATATAATTTGATAGTTCAGTTTATAAGTGGCAAATGACTGATTGCGTTTCAATTTATAAGTGTAATATAAATTTAAAACATTATTTTTTTTTAAATAAATAAACTAAATAATAATTATAGACAGTGTCAGCAAGTTAGACACAATAACCTACTTATAGCTACTTTAATTTATTTTTTTGCTGCACAACCAAGCTTCAATTTATTTTTTACTCGAAAGCAAGCTTTAATTTTCATTCCAAACTGATGAAAGTAATATTTACCCAATAAATTAATTAGAATAAAGTCTTTATTTTTTTATGTTGCAATTGGCTTTTTAGATATATGTATATTTTTTATTAAGTTGGTTTTTTGCTTTTTTGTAATTGGTTATTTTGCAATTATTATACAATTTGATATAGACTATACAATTATTAATAGTTTTCAAGATATAATTATTTTTTTTCGTTAAAATTTTGCTAAATGCACGTTATTCAAAAATAGCATCTAATTTTTTTGTTATTATGTTTGCTGACATTGGGTTGGAATTTTTGGAATATTAAAACATTGTTTTAAAGGTTTTTTAACAAATAGCTTAAGAAAAAACACTTGAAATTAGGCAAAGTTCATACAATAATAACGTTTTTATTATGTAAAACCCTGTATGTTTAAAAAAAAATAAAAAATCTTTCGATTGGTATTATAATAACTGTTTCCCAAAGTTAAAATTTCAGAGACATTTAACAATTTCTAATATTTTTAATACTATTTTGTATCAACAAACCTGTGAAATTATACATGTGGGTTAATGTGATAGTATTCATGGTTACCACCGAATCCATTGTTTAAAATTAATTAAAATATTTGATTGAAAAATTAGTAACTCGAGAAATATTGACTTTAGGTATAGGATATTGTATAGCCATTTTATTCAGAATTTTATGTAGAAATAAAAAATGTAAAAATATATGAGGTTTACTGTTTACAATAACAAAGTTAAAGACATTTTCGGTAAAACAGGAAGTACTATTTTGTTCAAAATAATTTAGAAAAATAGACTTAAATGGATTATAAACTCTTTTAAAATTTAAAATATATATTTTCAGGGCTCCCACGGCTAAATTACACTTTTTTTTTAGGAATTCAGGAGGTTTTTTGGATAATTTTAGGAGAATTTTAGGAGAAATAAAGTATGCAAATGAATTTTTGTAATTAAATAAAAAAAACTACATTGTACTTAAAAAAATAGGAAAAAAATAAATAAGTCTTTTTACAAAACTATAAAAAAATATCTCTTTGATCCCCTATAATGTCCCCCCTTTTAACTATTTTATTTTAAGTGTCTCAAAAAAATTTAAAAGTGTGGTTATGTAGGTACTGAAAAATACTTTTTTTATGTAAAAAAAAATTGGAAAATTGATCAGTATACAGGAAAAAACAAAAAGTTTATTTTTTCTCAATGGATCACCCTATATATGAATTTATTTTTCGATTCCTTGTAAAATTTTAAGCATAATTCTTATAATATACCATAAACCTAAATACAAGCGTTTCTGAAATATTTAAATTATTTTTTAGATAATAAGTTAAAATATTTTGTCTTTCTCTGTCTAAATACGGCATTTTTACTTACTTACTTACTATTTTAATAAAATAAATAATAAAAATTTAAAATCAAATACAAATCTGTAATATTTAAATTTTTTAAATAAAATTTTAAATTTGTCGATAAATTATAGTAGATAATAAATTGCACCACTTTAATTTGAATAATCTTAAATAGGGGGGCCTGGAGGCGGGTGAGGCACCAGGAAAAACTAACTTTTTTTCGCAAACTTCAATTTAAATTCTGTTTGCGCAAAACTTATTTATTTAATGTCATTATAAACTATTATAAATTTGGTTTGGGTCCCATGTCTTATAACTGAGATATTGGTATACCCAAAATCCACCAGCCGCCACTGAAATAATGGCATTAATGCACAAAACATAGGCGGTAATTTACTGTTTTAAGTTCAGCCACGACACGATATTTGACAAAAGTTCGTGTTCGGCTACAATCGGAACCGCTTCCACCAATCAGGCATCGCATTCCTAAAGAACGAAAGTACCTTTTTTACATGTTTATAGTTTTGAGCGCCTCTTATTTTTGACAGTCATCACTTGTTAATAATTACTATCTTACTTAAAAATTCAGTTTCATTAATAATATTAAATTTAAGTAATTAAACAGTCAGGTTGGCCTATTTATATTAAATTTTTAGGAGTTTTAGGAGATTGCCGGCCATTTTAGGAGAATTTTAGGAGTTTTCAAGACTTAAGCAAAATTTTATGAATTTTATGAGTTTTAGGAGGTGTGGGAGCCCTGTATTTTTTCCCGTTCCCTAGAAACTTATAATGGACCATGAATGTGGAACACCCTGTATATAATATAATTACGTATATTAGTGGCACACTAAAGTCTAAATCGAATAATTTACGCAATTAAAATTTTAAATCGATGACTTTCGCGATTCCCCAGAAACTTCTAACGGACTACTTACGTGAAACACCCTGTATATTAAACGTCATTTATGTGTTATGCTATACTTAATTATTAATAAAAGATACTACAATATTAGTATAAAAATGACAAAATGTACCAAACTAAACATTTATGAATACTGCTACTGCTAATTAAAAACTGATCCTGGCCACAGAAACATCATTTGCATAAAAAAGTTAATATATCAAATAATAGTCAAATATCAATACTTTAACGTGTTATACTCAAATTTATAAAACAATGTTGCTTCTTCGATTATTTACCCTTTAAAAATTGTTAAATTTTAAATTAAATTATCACCAGCGCCCCTTGTACGTTACAATCTAAACAAAATTTTTAAATGGAAGAATTGTCATTAGTAAGATCTACATTTTGTCCAAATTTCAAATCGATACGTTTTGAAATAAAAAAGTTATTTAAAAAAATAAAATTTCTTCATTTTTAACACAATGAAGAAAAAAATAAATATAAAAACAAAGTTGTCAATGGAGGAGATTTTTTTTTTGAAAGAAGTACTGCATTTACATGTAGAAATATGGTAAAAAAGTTTCAATCGATTTCTTGAACCCTTGCAAATCGACCGTTCGATCCTTTCGCGAAACCGTAGTTAAATTTAATTTGGTAGAATTTTACTTTAGATAGTTGGTATCATTGGTTTGACAGTTAATGTCAAAATAGATTTGCCATGCCATCCTTAATTTACAATAGGCGGCTATTAATGTTAAAGAAGAAAAAAAGGATTTTCTTTGGTGTTAAACCAAATTTATTGCCAGAAAATTCTCATAAGTACTAGAAAAATCATAAAAATATTATAACCAATATGCAAAATATTATGCTGTTTAAAGTATAGCCAACCTATAAAATCAAAATTTTGGGTGGAATAAAGTATCTCATTACAGCACCAAAAGGGGTGTTATAATGAAGTCATTATAAACGCAAAATAGATAAAAAAAACTAATGAACTTGATATTTACCTTATTCTCACATTTTCTCAACAATTTCTTCTTGCCCATATCATAGAGCCTCAACATTCTTCCCACGCCAGCCAATAATCTTCCGTTGTAGGAACAAAGTGCCATTGGAACTTCATCCACTGGAGTTCTATGGACCAACTTCAACTCTCTACCCATAACGTCGATTTTGTACGTATCCAAAAAGCCGGTGGAGCAAATCCTGGGATTCAACGCGAAATCTTTGGCGATGCCGACGATCAAAAACCACTGATGTTCGGGTTGACCGTGGAACTTGACCAGAGCGATCGCCATCGCGGCCTCGTTTTGCTCCAAACTGATCAAGTTGTGGGTGATGCCTTGAACCGGGTCCATGATTCGCAGGGTCGAGGCCCACATGCCGTGGCCGGCTTTCGGGGCGGAAAAAATACTTTCTGGTAAATCCTCGTTGAGAAAAGCGTCGGCCATTTCCTTGGCCAGCTCTTGCTCCTCTTCGCCGGCGGCCTCTTTCATTTCTTCCGCCATTTGCAAGCGCCTTTGTTTTTTCGTGTCCTCCGTGTAGGCGTTGTGTTCGGTTTCGATAACGACGATATTATTCGACTCGGGGTGTATAATGAATTTCCTCGGCGTGTATTTCAAGGGGAACGAAACTTGGTTGAAGACGGCGCCGAGTTTTTCCAACGCCAAAATTCTCAGAGTGTTTGTAGATATGGCAACGATGCCTTCGGGACACTGCTCCGACGAGAACCCTGAGGCGTACTCCAGACTCTCGTACGAAAGCGGCGTCAAGTAAAAACGACTTTGATAGTAGTAACTCAGCCATGACCTGCTGCTCATGGCTAACACTGCTTCGGATTGCTGCATTCTGATCCTGAACAATTTTACCGGCCTCGAACCTAAATATCTGGTTCTCGTGTCGGTTAATTCGCCCGATACGGGATCCAAAACGGTTCTCAATAAAGCACCGTTTTGCAGACCGATGTTCAAATATAAAGTACTCGTGGTGCTGGCGGCCGCCGCGTTGTCGGGATCTCGGTCCGTGCAACCCATTTCGACTATGCACAGGGATTCTGCGCACACGGGTAAAGTCTGCATCGATCTCGGCGCCAAGCAGTCGCTTGGATCGAGCGAAATAATACGCACGGTGCTGTCGGCCAGACCAACGGCCAAGAACCACGATCTTTGCTCTCCTTGAGGGACATTGGCCAAGGCCATGCACACCACGTCAGAGTTCATTCTTTTTCTCTCCTTGTATTCGTGCAACTTGCCAGTCTACAAAAGAAGAGATCAAGTTATAAACAGATGCAGAACTGCATTAACTTTGTAAAAGATTAAACGATTTTTGTTTGATATTTTATTGTTACAACTTGATTCACTCCAATACAATATTCTAATGTCATCAGAGGCGACAAGCCGTACTTCTATAGCACAATATATTTTGTCTATTAACTTTAATACCAGTTAATAAGTTAAACTATTGTGCAAAAATAATAAGTTTAACGAAAGGGGTTACATGCAATTTTTGGGAAAAAAGTCCTAGTACAATTCAATGTTCTGAGAAAATTTGAAACCCACCCAATAAACAGTTTTAAAGAGGGGTTCTTTTACCATTCATAGGTAGCTGTAAAACCTTAAATTCTCAAATTTATTGAAAAATTCCACGGGCCGCGAAATTAAAAAAAAAAACAAAACTTAATTTAATTAAGGGTTACATTCCAATTAAAGAAATATATTATTTTTAATTTGTCTTTTACGTAATACTTGAACGCTCCCTAAGAAAAAGCTTTGAAAATAAACGAAAACTGATAAGAAAAATTCAGTCCAAGATTAAATCAAAAGTGCAAATTAACCATGGACAATAAAAATATGATATTTCGCATATTCTGGGGGTTCAAATTCAAGCATAAACTTTCTTTAAGAATAAAATTTTTTGAGAAATTTAAATATTTTTTCCCTCTCGGACATACTGTATCACGGAATGGAAGAATAAAAGAACTAATACAAATTAATATGTTCTAGCTATAACATATAAAGACCAGTTTCATCCATCTCTTTAACGAGTTATTTGTTTTAAATAAACCCAACCAAAATTATTTATGTTTGTAAAAATTAATTATTTTTTATTGCTTTTAAAAGAAACATTGAACATTTCGGAAAAAACGGAAAAATTGGGAATTTTTCAGAAAAATTGACTTTTGCATTTTATTCAAAAAGTAAACCAAAAAAAAGTTAATTTCTGAAAATTTCCAAATTTTTACGGACAATATGCGCACACAGATATCGTGTGAAAAAAAAACGACGCTGCAGATTATAATCATATAAGATTCTATTTTTTTTCTACCAATGCTGTATTATATAGTTTTGTAATTGGATATTTTCAATGGACTCCTTTTTTGCAGAAAGACCCAACCAACAGTATATTTAACTTTTACTTTCTTAAATCAATTTAATTCAATTTATGTTTTTTCTGTAATGGATATTTTTTTTTAAATTAAAATAATGGTAAAATGTTGTTTGCTACTTTTTTTAAAATGAGTATATTTTCCAGAAATAAAATCAATTTTTCACACAAAAGCCAATTTTTCCAAGGCCTGGGAAAAAGCAGGTTTTTTTTTCTCCCAATTTTTCCGGATTTTCTCTGATACTTTAAAACCCTAATTGGACATAACATTTATTGTATTTTTTTAATCTTCCTTTATTAAACACAACAAAAATCTGAAAACAACCTATTTTTGATGGGAGAAAGGTAGTAAGTTACTACTAGTAACCCCTTAAAAACAATGTAACAGCAGTTATAAATTCTTGAAAAAGGCTATTTTTCTACCTCTGACGCAAGTAACCCCTTAAAACAAGAAAAAGACCCTATGGGTCAGAAAAAAGTTGCCTACCGTATCCATTTCGAAATAAACCAATTCTCCACCAGCAAGAGCAATTACAACTTGTCTTTGATTCACAGCACATTTAACAATGGTCTTTTTGCCCGCTTTCCATTCGTTTACACGCTTATCTGCGCAAATGTGTCTGATGCCTTCAGGGTAAACCTGAAAAACAACAATCAAAAATTAGGTTTCTGTAAACAATGCAGCAAAAACATATTTTATTTTTGTTAAATTGTATCGTAGATGGGAAAGCCTAATATGCCATTATATTGGGCACATCTGGTACTATGATCACGAATTTAATTTAGGATCATTTTCTTTTGCTATCATGCATTGAGTAACATGGTACAAAATGGGTAATGTCCAAAAAAACAAAGTTTTATAAAAAAATTCAGTCATCAACAGATTCAGATTTTGTGTAATGTTTTAAATTAAAGGAATCTGATGATGACTTTTGCTCCTAATTTATCTTTTATGTGTTTACCTGAACAAGAGCATCATCATTAAGAGCTGAACAAGACAGTGTTGGAGTGGTACCCAAAAACCCACTGTCTGTTACTTCCTCAACGGTTTCACCAATAGACAGTACCAGTGTGGCATTTTTGAAAGAAACGATAATGTACGCGTCAAAGTCATCTGAAACAATAATTTAAACTTCAAAGTAACAAGATAGATAAAAAAAGTAAAAATTAATTATGTATTAAAAACATCAGTATTGTTGCTATAATCAGTGTTATTCAGGTGAAACACGGACAATAGGTGTCATCATGAAAATTATCCTTTTATTAAGGTTTTGTTTTTTGGTTCAGTAACTTACCAATCTCATATGGCAACTGGTATCAGAAGGGCATCTGAAATAAAAAGCACTGGTGTTGGTAAATGTTCAACAGCCAGGCCTTATTAATATGTTTTTACACATTAACAAGTAAAAAGTAGCAAAGAAAACCTTAAACTTACCATCACTTCTTCGTTTCACGGTCCATACTGCGTTCGGGTTACCGGGCAGCTCCGAAACGGCCATCTCCGATACTTCCAAACCGTGTCTAAGCACTCTCAAGGAAGACCTGGGGCCCCTACCGCAGAGCATGTACAGTTGCGGGGTGTCTTCCCCAGCCAAATCGGCCACGCGCGACGAAAGAATCGGCGATAGGGATTCCATTTCGTCGACGAGCACTAGATTTCTAAGCGGGCGCGGGGCGAAAAAGAAAGTGTCGCCCTCTTCCAGCGGCATCGCTGAACTAAACTCTAGTTCGTCGTCGTCGTCTCCAAGATGAGCGATTTGGTAGAGATAGCTAAAAGTACATTATTTTTAGTATTTTTTTCATTGATAAATACCACATTGATAGATGAGGTTATGTGCAGTCAGAATGTTAGAAAAAAAGTACAATATTTCAAGAGTATTCAGTGAAATTTTCAAATTGTACACACCCTACAATAACAGTTCATAGGCACATTGTAGTAATGAGGCCTTTGGCAAATTTTTAAACAGTGTCCTTTGTTTATTTTTGTTGTCACACATGAAAATACTTAACAAAAATTTAAAAAAAAAAATCGGTAAAATTGTGTTAATTATTTTGTTAAAATTTTGGGCCAAGGAATGCTCAAAATAGATTTAAAAAATTGGTCAGTATAAATTACCAAGCCATTTTTTCTTTATTAAATATTTTAAAATTTTGCTATTCCTAAATGGAAAATTGCGTACATAGGCTTCTTTTGAGGTGCCCAGCAACCAATTTTTCAATATAAAGTCAAAAAATAAAAGTAGATTTTTTAATCACCCTAATGTATATTCGATGGTATTATTTTACAATAAAAAGGAATTTAGCTGCTGCTAAAATGTTAAAATTAGATTTACATATTACATTCATAAAAAAACATAACCAAATCATTTTAAGGTAGTTGTCGTGCTGTAAGCATACCATCAGGAAATTTTAAATTTTTGTATACATATTAAGGACATGACAATACAATTATCCTTAAAATTTGAAGTCGATTGACCGTCTATAACCCGAGATAAATTCAATTAAAAATTGGATAATTAACATGGATTGTATAGGCTTTCTGTAGATCTGTGCCAGTTTCTTAGTTATAAAGAAAAAACTAACTGTCAGAAGCTTTCAAAAAACTAACAGTATTTTAATGTATTTTTGCTGAGTTTAAAAAAAATAATTGAAAATTTTGACCGTCCAATTGTTTATAAATAACCGTTTAAAGTTCAACAATTTGTAAAAAGTATACATCACTAGTGTCAGATAAAAACAACTTGGCAACGCTGTACGCGAGTATAGATACTATTTCCGCAGTAAATTCAAACACTGATTCAGTCTCCATAAGCGACGTTGCCGGATTAAAACTTATGAAAATATTTAAAACTATTACGTAAAGGTATCGTCTCCAGGGTACAGTCTTGCGAATAAATTATGATTCACTTAGCTACAAGCTCATATACTTTTACGCTGCGTATAATCTAAAAATTTTTGACAATATTGTACCACGACAACTACCTTAATGAGCTTATAATATTTATAAAAGTAAAGGCGTTTAAGAGTTAAAATTGTTTTACTTATTATGCGTTAATTTTGACGCGCAGTGTATAAATATAAATGCTTGGGTACGATTTTATAAAAAATAAAAAATCGGACAGAGCACTTGGGACCCTCTCCAGCTGGGGGCCGCCCTTGCAATTGCAAAAGCAACTGTGAAACAAACGCATTTTTGTCAAGACTACATTTTTGGATATTCTGTTTACCATATTTTTTAAAATAATTAACCGCCATATTGCGAAATTTGAAAAAAATCCTCGGATCATTAACTATCAGCCTAATGTTTTTTATTGATTTTTGATAAACCACTAAGAAGTGGAAGAGAGGATAACTTGGGTCAGATTATTTTTTGAAATTTTAGTTACCTAAATTATAGTGTATTAAATAAAAAACACTATACAATTCATAAAAAAAACTTAAAATGTCTTTTTTACACCCCTGACTGCATGCAACATCTTAAGAAAACATAAAAAAATGTTGAAAGAATGGGAGACCTGAAAGTGGTATGATTCATAAACCCAGTCAGTACTATGATCTTGTCATTTATATTTGGACACTATCTGTTGTTTTCTAATATTAAGTATTAGATACAATTGGAAGGCCCCATGGTAAATGAGAAAACCCCACCACCATGGGAATGTCCATTTTAATAAAAATATTTGCCAAGTTTGGAACAATTGTGCAAGTGCAGAATCAATTAAATGCAACTGCATGTTTAATATTGGTTCTGAACTAAGCAAAAAAAAATCTGCACAAAGATATTGAGATATAATTATTTCTTAAGGTAATATAAGATTAGCCAAATATATAAAACAAACATGTTTTATTTGAATTAAAACTAAATTAACTAAGATTTACTTACTGGTTTCCAAACTCTGAGGCAACAAACAGGAACCCAGTTTTAAGCACACACATGGCTGTAGCAACTGGTACTGTATCAAAATATTTTAATTTGATTTCAGTGACCATGTCCTCATCAGTTTCCAATGTAATTTTGAAAATATCTCCTTGTTCAGTTTGTGCAAGGAAAAAGAACATCGACTTAGTTTTGTGTGTGGCTGAACATACAAAAATCATGCCTCGTTCAGGGTCATCTAAATCATTCCTTCTTCTGGGAATTGGGCAACGAATGTCATGTTGGTCACCCAAATTTTTGTATGTTAGGTAATTTTCAGAGCAAATTAAAACACCTGAAGGACCATCATCACCCCCTGGTACTGTAACCAAGAAATTGGCGTGTTCTTCCAGTGGTTCAGAGTATTTCCTTACAACATGGTTATTTGCAAGATCTAGCTCATAGAATGTTAAAGTTTGTTGTGTTTTTTGTGCTGCTTCGCCTGTTGGGTCACAATCAGCCTCTTCATAATCAATTTCAAGGCAGGCAAATATTGGATTGTCAAAACCTACATCAACACCTACCATGTGATATACGAGGGTATTGCTTTTGTGGGCTTCTAATGGTGATGAGATGGTCAACCTAGCCTGGGTATCTCTGTTCAAAATATATGCCAATTTCTGTTTCTCTATGGCTCCAATCATAACAGCCCTGCCTCTGGGATCAGTAGCTAAATACTGCCCTGGCACAATACGCCTACCCCCAGATTTACCAAAAGTTTCTTGGTGAATCTTGTCAAAATTGTTTTTGGCTGGAATATACTCCAAAATAACTATTCTGCCTGAATCTGAACCTATTACTACATAATCTTTGGTACCCCCAGTGAGTCTGAATGACATTAACGATCTAATAATCCCAAATATTTCTAGAGTGAGAAGTGTGTGAACTTTGCCTGTGTTGGGATCTGGTCTAAGTAATTCTAAACTTTTACCCCTTGATATCACAATTTCTTGCGTTTTTGTTCCAGAAAAGTTTCCATGTACGGAGTGCGTAATAGCTGTGGCCCTTTGAAGGGTCAAGTTGTATAAATGCATCTTGACTCCTTACCTATCTGAAATAAATATAACATATTGTAATTTAATTATACAGAAATTGAAAGCACGTGCTCGGATTTATAAAAAATGCATGTTTTTGATGAAGAATTTATGTATTTTCGTTTTAAAACGTTTGTAAGGTGCTAAAACCAGGCAGATGGATATTGTATTAATCCAACTCCAACGATGCGATACACCTTTTATTATTGCACCGATTCGACCTACCGGCACATAAACTGAAGCGGTAGGAGATACCATAGTGCGTTTTAATAAAAATAGCGTTAATTTAAAACTCATAACCCTATTAAAATAAAAAATTTCCGACGCCAAATAAACGTGTTCACGGTAAACTAAAGTTAAAAATATTACAATTTACGGATAAAGCAATATTCAAGGAATATATTTCTGCTTACCTTTTTCTTCGATGGTATTATTTTTTCCAAATAATTTGAGAATATTTCAAAATCGTTTTCGAGACATCACCGGCTGGTCTTCTTTTGCACATGGCCGACTGGGTTCGCTAGCGTCTGCGTCGCACGAAATCTGAAATGTGATTGGACAATTTTCGTTTCGGAGGCAAAGGAAAGGAAACGGATATTGGTCATGCGCACGGTCATCCTGCTACGGAGATTAAATTTGGCGGGAAAGCCGAAAGTTATGTGATGTTTGTGGGCGATATTGATAAAAAACTTAATTAATTATATTAAACTTTTATTAGGAATTCAAAAAAATGGTATTAGGAATAAGTGTTTCATAATTTTTTTGAGGCGTTTTTTAGCAAATATATGCGGCGTTGTAGATGTCGCAACAATCTTTTTAACAAGTGAGGTTACTGGTTAAGATACAAGTGTTTTGTAAAATGACAGTATTTTGATTTATAAACAAATTAAAATAATTATTTAGTTTTAGTGTTTAATTTATGATTCAGGTAGGATTTTGCGTACAATTTAGACTTTTTTTATGCTGTTTTATTGAAATTTTAGAAAATGTGGAAAATTAAAGATTTGCACGACCAAAAAATAACTTATATTTCAAACGAGGTTGCCACAATTGGTAGAAATATTAATGCTAATATAGTTTCATATCAAAAACATGTGTCTAGAATACATGCCAAGTTATTTAAAAAGGAAAGGAGCTTGTTTTTAAAAGACAACAATGTAAGTTTTTGTATAATTATATTAGGTAATTAATATAAAAAATAAGCATGCCTACAGTGTGTTTCACTCTTTATAAACAGGGTTTAAATTAGTTTCTTTTACTGTTTTCCAATCTTGCCTTGTTTTAGGGATTTTAAAATCATAAAATAATTATTGCACTTTTTTTATTTTTCTTCAGAGCGCCTAATTTAAATCCATTTAAATTCTTAACCAAGTCAGAATTAAAAAATTATCAGGTGGTAAGTTTTGTTTCAAACAAAACTATTTGTTCGCCTAAACTTTCATTAGGTGAAGCACAGTCTTATACAGGGTGTCTCCGAATTCCACCCTAAAATGTTAAGGGGGGATTCTTTATCCCAAAATATGAAAAAATTACCCAAAAATATGCTGTAAAAAATGCTTTATAAAGCCTTTGAAGGTGGCACTCGTAAGGAAATTAAGATCCCTTATAAAGCATTTTTGAACTCATGTTCTTTGGAACTTTTTTCATATCTAAAAAAGATTAAAAGAAAAATTATGACAAAGTTTTCTTAAAGTTATTGTACTTTTTTACTTGAATTGTTAGGATATTATATAGGTATTCTATGTTTTAGACAAGTAATGGAACATTTGTCAACAATAAAAAAATTCCTAAGGATACAGAATATTTACTAAAAGAGGGTGATATTATAAGCCTTGGTACAGGAATCACTTATAGAGTAAATGGTAACATTTCAAGAGTAGTTAAATATGAGGTTCAAAGAGAGGATGCAAATGTTTCTGAAAATATAGAAAATATAGAAAATTTTCTGAATGAGCCTAGTGAAGAAGCCGAATTATTGGTAAGTAATATTTTTAGAATATTTGAATATAGGTTTCATCACAATCCACACAACAAGGTCTGTTCTATCTCGTATTAAAAATACAAAAAAACACTGCACAGAGTTTAACGGCGGCCATTTTTGTTGTTTACAATTCTTGTGCTTTGGGATTGTGCTGTTTATACAGATTAATAATCGTTTTAAATGTCGTGTTTTTACAGAGGAACTTGTAAGCCTCAAATGAGGCCTTAAAGTGCCAAGGAAAACCATTAAACTCCCCTTTTATAAACAATAAACCTTATTCTATTAGGGCCGTCAAATGTCAATTTGAAGGTTAATTTGTGGGTTATAAATTAACCTTAAAATTGACATTTGACAGTTTTATGACAGCCCTAATAGAATAAGGTTTATTTTTTACAAAAGTGGAGTAAAATGGTTGTCCTTAGCACTTTAAGGCCTTATTTGAAGTTTACAAGTACCTCTGTAAGAAACACAACGTTTAAAACGATTATTAATCTGTATAAACAGCACAAACCTAAAGCACAAGAATTGTAAAAAACAAAAATGGCCGCCGTTAAATTCTGTGCAGTGTTGCAGTTATTTTCATAATGTAAACCAAGTTTCTAATATTAAGTCAAATAATGAAGTACCCTTAAATAACATTGTAAACAAAATTGGAAGCTTGACAAATTAGAACAAATAAAAAAGTAAATAATAATAAGAAACACAACGTTTAAAACGATTATTAATCTGTATAAACAGCACAAACCTAAAGCACAAGAATTGTAAACCACAAAAATGGCCGCCGTTAAATTCTGTGCAGTGTTGCAGTGATTTTCATAATGTAAACGAAGTTTCTAATATTAAGTCAAATAATGAAGTACCCTTAAATAACATTGTTAACAAAATTGGAAGCTTGACAAATTAGAAGGCTTTGTTATCTATGATTAGAACAAATAAAAAAGTAAATAATCAAAATAAAATTATTAAAATTTAAATTTTAGATTCCCAATGGCACAAATTCTATTAATGAGGATGATAAAATAAACAAAAATCCTTTGAATAACAATTTTAAAAAAAGTTCCAAACAATCAACCTCAGGAGAAGAATTCAAAGAAATTCCAGAAGTTGATATTACTAGTGATGAAGAAGTGGGTAAACTAGAAAAAAATGTTGTAATATTAAAATTTAAATTTCAGGTTTTTCCTTCATCAAATGACAACAAAAATCTTGAAAATAAAAAAGAAGATTTTAAAGTAAATTATTTGATTTTTTAATAATTATATATTTTTTTGATATTTAAATTTTTAGGAACCACAACTATCAAAGGCAAACCAAAACGGTTCCAAATTATTTGATGAAAGTGATATTATCATTTTATCAGATGATGATGATGATGATAATTTTTCATGTTCTCAGTTATTAAATATTGACTTAAAAAAGGAAAATGATTTAGATGACAGTTTATATCCCTACAAAGAAATAAAAGAGGAACTTTCTGCACTTGATGAAATTGAGGAAAATATATTAAATAAGGTTCCTATTGATCTGGAAGATGATTTTTCCAGCACTTGTGATTTGATTAATTGTTTGGTAAGTTTCGCAGGATTTTCTGGGCATACTTTATTAAGAATTTGTTATAAAAACTTTGTAAATATTTTATAGGAGTCTCCCAATCCCAAAGTCAACAATAAAAAGTTGGAAGAACTAGACATTTCATGTATACCATCAACATCTGCAGAGGAAATTTTTGAAAAACAAAAATATCCAAATAATGTGGATGAAACTGAAAAACAAAAAGCCGCAAAATTTCAAAAATTCAACAAACATTTACTAAATGAAACCCCATATTCAACACCCCCTGTTGTTGAAGCACATCATTTGCCAAGCAAAAGAAACAAATTAAGCACCAGTCCTAAAACTGGGGTGAAAAGAACGCATGAAGAAGAAAAGCCAGAGACACCCAAAAAGCAAAAAACCAGGAGAAGCAGAAAGTCCAAAAGCCCAGTACCAAAAAAGCTCACCAAAGAAGAGAAAAAACTACATGACCAAGTGGTAAAAGAGCGAATTAAGCAACTTGCCACACCAACAAATAATGAGCCAACAGGAGCTAGAGTTACCACCAGAAGACCTTCAGTTGGAACTGCAAAAGTAAAAGTTTCGGAGAGTCGCGGGAACTTTTTGTTAGAATCTGGACCACCTGTGCCCGCCAAAAGGGATTCAAGAGAGCGAGCAAAGCTGTCAAAAGATATCAAAATACCCTTCAAAGAGTTGAACATTGTACCTGGTGTAGTTCAAAGGCCTGTGCAAAATAATTTCAGGTCCAGGGTGGACATACAGGATGTTTTTGATATGGTTGTTAAGTGGAATGTTAGTTGGCTTAATGACAGTAATATCACTCCACCTGTAAACCCACACGCACCCGTCAAAATGTTGAGATCATTTAATTCTTTCAATGAATATAATAATATTATATCACCTTTAATGTATTTGGAAACGTGGGAATTCATATCGCAAACTTTCCACAAGGAAAACTTGTAAGTGATTTAGGGTTTTGATAACAAACAATTCTTCACTATAAACGTGCAAATTTACCAAAAAATTATCAATTGTTACTAATAACAATACATTTTATTTTGCGTTAACAGTGTGTCTCTAAAATGTATGTACAGCGTTTGATGACAGACTCCTGACATCAAAACAGTTAATTTAAGAATTAATTTAGTTATATCCGAAATTGCTTCTTTTAGCTGGCAAAGGGCCTCAAAGATTAAACAACTTTTTGTTTCCCCATAATTGGAAATAATTTTAAGAATTTTTCGCCGCCTGGTATGATTTATAAGGGTGGTCCCAGGACTGGATGCTCCGGCGAACGAGTTTTGGTTCGTGCCGCGCATGACGTCACTTGATGAGTAGTTGCCGTGCGAATACATGAATAATAGTAATATTATCAAAAAAAATAGAGAAATATCTGGACATAGTGCGTTTTTATTAAACTTAATATTAAAGAAAGTGTTTACTGTGGTTTACTGTGGTAAACTTATAGTCACTGTCCAGAAAATGTTTAGAGGAAACAGAAGCGGTCTTAACGTTAATATTGTCTTTTCTTTTTGTTGCATTTAACCACTGTTTGCACAATTCAAAGTTTTTAGGGAATCGATGAAATTTAATGTTTTTATTTAAAGGGTTTTTCTTGGACTAGTTGTCCGAATTGCATCCAAATATGCCACACCGCATTTTAATAAATGCAAATGGCACGACACAAACTAAAACACAAACAAAACAAGTTAACGCAACACAAAAACAATAATAAACAAACAGAGCAGGTTAACACAACGCAATAACAATAATTTGAACACTAAAAAGTCATTCGAACCTTACCGAACGCAAAAACAACAAGTTAAACCATCGTTTCTTAAACTCGGGTCGCGACCCAAATTTGGGTCGCGGGCCATAACGAGATGGGTCGCGGGACTTTTTGAAAAAGCGCGCCGTAATCACTGCATCCTTAATTTAAATTAAGAAAATGTAGAAAATTGATGATTTTATTTTTTATCGGGTCGCGAGCTTCTAATATTTTTAATTGTGGGTCGCCAGCCAAAAAGGTTAAGAACTGCTGAGTTAAACAAAAAAAATAGAGCAAGTTAACATCCAACAAGAATTTTAGCAGCAGATAATTAAAAAGCACGTTAAAAATTTAAAAACACTCATCAAGTTACGTATTTAAGCCCCGCCCAACATGCGCACCATCCTATCTTAAGGTGCATGTATCTTGGGGTGGTCCTTAATAGTATTGTTTTAAATTTTTTATGCTCTCGGGGGCTTATACGTTTTGAAAATTAAAAATTGAATTTTAGCTCTATATCAACTCTAAGCTTTGTGATTGAATTTGCTTATGGAAATAATATGGAAAAAACTTTCTTACACTCGCATCTTTAAAACGCCTGTTGTCGTACATGTTTCCATGACACTAAAGTGATATTTTAAATACACATTGACAAGCTGTTACTTTATGGAATTTTAGTGTTTTAGTTTCATGGGCTAAAGTTAGCTTCAATCAACAGTTTCAAATGTTATACAATTTTTAAAAGAAAGTGCCATTGTAAAATAATACTAAATGTGGAAATTATTTTATTACTTTGGTACAAAAATACAATAGTATATTATAATAAAAGTGTATAAGAAAGACTTCATCGCACTAGGGACGAAAATTACGAGCAAGTGCTTTTTTTAATGGTTATTTTAAAAATTTTGGAAATTTAAAATAAAATTTTTGAAAATATTGAGAATTTCTAAATTAACAAAATTTTCATAGTTTTGGAAATTAAAAATTCATTTTTTTTAATATTTCCAAAATTCGTATTTTTTACAAAATTAAAAAAAACAAAATATACATCTATTATAGCTATATCTTGGCTTGTCAAAATGATAATTTTATATAAGGGACATTCCACCCAATAAAATTTCTGACCCGCGTTTTTTTAATTTTGTGGAGATATTTTTATTAAAATCATTATTAAAATAATGACTCGCTGAAGATTTGAGCTCTTAATATTAATATTTAGTAAACTTTTTCGTTAATTTTTATTTTGATGTACAGTGGGTACATGTCGCTTTTTTACTTTAAGTGTCCCAAAAAATTGTGTTGTCGTGGGTACTAAAAAGTTCGCTTTTAAAACGGTATCATAATAGTATATTAAAAAACTAATGTCACAAGACGTCATTTTGTCGCATGCGGACAATTTATAAAACGAGCGAGTTTTGTAATGGACGAGTGCGACAAAATGACGTCTTATGACATGAGTTCTTTATGCTATTTTATCTCTTTTACAAAAGTTCTATAAAAAAAATTAATTTTATATATTAAATTTAATTTGGTCGAATTTTACTTTACATAGTTGGTATCACAGTCATTGGTTTGACAGTTAATGTCAAAATCGATTCGCCATGCCGTCCTTAATTTACTTATTTACAATAAGCGGATGTTAATGTTAAAGAAGAAAAAAAGGAATTTCTTTGGTGTTAAAATTTATTGCCAGAAAAGTCTCGTAAGTACTAGAAAAATCATAAAAATATTATAACCAATATGCAAAATATTATGCTGTTTAAAGTATAGCCAACCTATAAAAACAAAATTTTGGGTGGGATAAAGTACCTATCTCATTTCAGCACCGAAAGCGGAGTTATAATGAACGCAAAATAGATAAAATATTTTTACATATTGTTAAAAATTTAGAAGCCTTGGGATAAAAAATGTTTATTAATAATAAATAACTATAGTGACATTATGTCAATATGTCTTGTTAAGTAAGAAATTATTATTTTTTAGTATTTTAACTTATTATCTTAAAAATAGTTTAAATGTTTCAGAAACAGTTTTATTACAGGTATATGGTATCTTAATTATGCTTAGAATTTTACAAGGAATCGAAAAATAATCTCATATTTATCTACTGAGAAAAAATAAACTTTGTTTTTCCCTGTATACTGATCAATTTTTGATTTTTTTTATTTGTAGAAAAAAGTATTTTTCAGTAGTACCTTACTTAAAATAAAAAAGTTAAAAGGGGTTGACATTATAGGGGATCACCCTGTACATGTACATAGGTAAATAATGTTTTATAAAAATACAAACAGTACTGTTTTTTCTCTAAATTCAATTAAAGTGAAAACTGCGATTTTTCTGGCCTTGCGACAACTTTCATTTGAAATTTTTTTTTCTTTCTGTAAGCTGAGAATTTTTTACATTTTATTTTATTATTTTTTTTTTTACAAAATTTCATTTTTGAGGATCTTTTGTTACTTATAATGAAAATTGAATATTTTCATTATTTTTTTTTTATACAAAATTTCATTTTTGAGGATCTTTTGTTACTTATAATGAAAATTGAATATTTTCATTGAAAAGCTATGATTTTTTTTTACAAAAAAAACTATTGTTTCTATTTTTATAAAACGTTATTTACTTAAAAAAATAGATCGTCATAGTTCGAAAAATCAGCTAAAATCCCAAGTGAATCATTTTGATGTGGATTAAAAAAAAATCCGCGGGATGACCCATAAATTAAACTTTAAACGTTAATTAACATATGAAGGCTTTCATTTACGAATTTTATAACAAAAAAAACATAACAATAATAATAATAATTTTTTATTTGTCCAAAGATCACAAAGTGATATAGGATAAGTCAAAATAATACATAAAGTAAGTAATACACAACTATTTAAAGAAGTTCAATTTAGATGTATTTATTAAAATTGAATGAATTATATTCATCAATCGAGTAGAAGGCTTCTGTTGTCAATATAAACTTAATTTTTCTCATATAATTCTTGAAAGGCAAAACTCTTATACAAGCTGGTAATTTGTTATAAAGCTTAGCTCCCAAAGCAGACTATCTTTAAGTTGATATGGAGAGCTCAAATTTTCAGGGATTTCTTTTTATCAATTTAAAAGCGTTTAAGCCCTTGGTAGCATAATAAATAAAACCAACCCTATTAAGGACCACTTATTCGCCATTTTCGCGACATTTTAAAGAAACCGCCCAATTTTATATAATTTTTTTGTATATTGAGCAAGTAAGTTTTCAGTAAGTTGGTATTATTAAAAATTATTTTTTAGGGAAACAATTAAAGTTATTAAACTTTCTCACAGATTTATTGGACAAAGCCTGCACATAGACTGTAAATGTATGTAATTTATTTCCCCCTATTAAAAGGTTCCTAATGACTTTAAATTTAAGGCTATTTAGAGAAAAAGCAAAGGGCAGACATAATTAAAAACGATGACTATGCGTTAATAGAGTATTCATATACAGACCCAAAAACAAAGCAAAAAATTCTTCAGATCAACTTTGGCCTAATACAAAATTTGGTGTGGAAAACAATTGATAAAAATGATGGAAGTTGTTTTGATACAAGCTTGGTTGGGTTAGATTCGCCACATACCAAGTTATCTTTTACTATAATGACCAGAAATGTTGAAAGCCGATACCCAATGGCTAAAACTTTTTTGGTGAAGTCAATAGCCAACTTAAAAATTACGTTTAAAATGTTTAAAACCTTAAGGCTTTTGGAGAAGTCACCTATTTGCAGATTGGTTTTGAAACCTGCCATCGAAGATTTTACTTTTCCTTTGTATAATAATCCACTTATTTGTGAAGTAATATTTTTATTAACATTATAAACTTATATTATAACAATTTTATTTTAGGGTATGCTTAATCCACAACAAAAGCACATTGTTAAAGAAGCTACATATTTATGTTTGGGTAACACTGCCGGACTTTACTTAGTACAAGGACCACCTGGGACTGGAAAAAGTAGATTGATCGTTAATTTATTATTCCAAATTTTAATGTCTGATCCAAAAAAAAATCCCTTAGTTTTGTTAACTGCACCATCAAATAATGCAGTGGATAATCTTTTAATAAAAATACAAGAGTTTAGAAGTCAACTTACAGGTAACATATTTATCTTGAAAATTTGCTTTAGTTGTATATTATGTATTTTAAGATGAGCAACGGAAGGCGCTACGTGTGATTCGCGTAGGCCCTGAGGCAAGCATAGGAAAACAAGTATCAAAATATAAGTTGAGTTTTTTTACAAAAAAAGAGATGTTTTTAAAATCAAACGAAAATGCGCGCAATCTGGTTATGTCTGAGAAAGATCGCGACGAATATCTGAAAAAACATTACGGCCATCATTATAACTATGTGTTTAAAACAACTGAGACAGATGTGATAAATGGGTGTAACGTGATATGCACCACTTTAAATAGTTGTTTGCATAATCAAATAATGGAAGCAATGAACAGGTAATTCTAGAAGGCTTTAATTGATTTTGTAAGCAATATTGTTTATCAGGTATCAATTTCAAATTAGCCATGTAAAAATTAAAAAAACCGATACCTAATATTCATAATACTTTATTTTTTAACAAGAACTTGTGGTTGTCAGATTCCTTATAAAAACGGGACATTTTGTGTGAATTTTCCTTCATTACAAAAATGACACAATGATTCAATTCAAATTGTATATTTGACTTTAACTTAATTATTGTTAAGTGTATTAATTTTGTAATTAAATAATATAAATAAACAAATTCACACAAAAGGTCCCGGATTTTTTTGACAGAATATGGCAGCTTTAGGATTTTGGGCGAGTAGGAACGGTTCAAAGTCTGGGTTCGTATCCCAAATTTCAAAATTCTCGGCTAACTTTGATCTCTCACATTCAGTCAGTAAGCTGTAGTAATAATCCTTAGTGTCAAATTTTCTTAATTTATATTAAAAAAATACAAATGAAATTCTATAATTAGGAAATAAACAAATGAATTTTGAATTTAAAAAATAAACAAAAGAAAATGTGAGTAATCAAAGTTAACCGACGATTTTGAAATTTGGGATGCGAACTAGATTTTGATTTCAATTACAAATGAAATTCTATAATTAGGAAATAAACAAATGAATTTTAAATTTAAAAAATAAACAAAAGAAAATGTGAGTAATCAAAGTTAACCGACGATTTTGAAATTTGGGATGCGGAACTAGATTTTGATTTCAAGCACCTTTTCTAAATAACTTTTTCCAAAAAGCTACTATCTTGACAAAATAAATAAAAATCATGGTTAAGGAGGATTTTCAAATTTGGTATATAGGCCTACATGGTGATTCTAAACAACTTTTCTTTAATTTTGGTCATATCGGCAACATAAAATGCACTTTACTCTTGAGAAAAATAGTTTTTTTTTAAAAGACATCCTTGATTTCTTTAAACTTAAATTATGTTGAAATTTAGTCTTTAACTTCTCCAAGAGTTGTTTTACCTATCTGGGGACACACTGCATAAGACTATGAGGCGCCGTTTGTCCGTAAATTATGTTTGCTATACAGGGTGTCCCAGAACTCGCGCCACAGAGAAAAAGGGGGCGTGCCGATAGCAATGGAGATGCCAAATTTAAAAATAAAAAATTTCTAGGTAATAGTGTAATCGAATGAGAGCAAAAAAGCGGCAGCCAATACCGAGACATCTCGCCTATGTTAAACGTAGGAGCTTTAAAAATTGCTAGGAGACGATAGAACATTGTTGTCTTAAAAACATTTAAAAATCTTTTGGCCAACTGTATTTACTAAGTTGTCAAAAGCTTTCAAAAAATGAGGTTATTAATCTATGACTGATACTTCAGAACGCCAATGTTTTAAAGTAAAAAATCAAACCAGTTGTACTTTATTTAGCTTTTTTTGCGCCCACGCTCCCCATAAATAGTTTTCATTTCGGTATAATCATCAAGGAAAACATTATTTATAATAACTTAATTTATTACCTTAATATTAATGACAAAAGTAAAGATTGACAGCATTGTCAATATTAACTTAATTTATAACCTAATATAATATTAATGACAGGAGTAAAGATTGACAGCAGTTTTATAATGAATTGGATTCCAGTGGACCAAATATTTTACATATTTTTTATTATCAACAATGCAACCTAAGTATCCTAGCAATTTAAAGAATTCCCTGTGGTGATCTATTGGGATTGGCTATCGTTTTTTATTCTTATCTCCCTTATCCTTTGCGTTGGACAATTTGAATTTTTAAATGTGTTTCAAATTACTTTCGGTACGTTCCCTTTTTCTCTGTGGCGCGAGTTCTGGGACACCCTGTATATAAGAATATTTTTTATATATAAACTTTAAATTTCCTATATATATATAGGAACTTTTTAGTTCAGATAATGCCGCTTGAGAATGAGGGCGCTCTGTGGTATTCAACTAAAAAGCACTGTTGCCAATGCAAAGTTTTGGTCAGTGTTTCCAACATAACGGATCTTCGGCCAGATCTAGCGGAACAAAATGATAGCAAAAAGTATAGGATTTTAGTTTTTTTAAATACTTATAGGTAATATATTGGTCGGTTGCTCTATTTTTATTGAAGAAAACATTTCTCTTCTTTGGCCGTCTCTATTTCTCTAAATAAACACGGCTTCGTTTTTACTAATAGGTAAAAAAACTAAAATTTCTTACGTTCTGATTCTCTTGTCAATTTATAAAAAAAACAAAGAATCTTTTTTTTTAAACTTGGACTCTTACAAATTAAAATATATAGGTACAAATACCAATCGATATTATGATCAAGTTTCCGTTAAAAAATCCGTCAGCCGTAAGAGTATCTTTTTTCCCTCGAACTTTATTAAAATCTGCCAGATCTGGCGAAACGTTATGTTGGAAACACTGACCAAAACTTTGCATTGGCACACTCTGGCAACAGTGGATGGAACCGCAAAGCGCCCTCATTCTCAAGCGGCATTATCTGAACTAAAATGTTTCTATATAATATAGGAAATTTAAAGTTTATATATAAAAAATATTCTTATATATAGCAAAAATAATTTACGGACAAACGGCGCCTCATATAAGACTGCATACCACATGTGGTATGCAAACAAACCTACTTTTTAGCAACAGCTCATTAAGCATATTATTTTTTTTGTTGTTTTTTTATTTAGAAAAAATACATTTCAATGTGCCCTCATGGGCCACTACAGATAATAAATATAAAAATGTACATATAAGTATGTGTATACAGGGTGTCCCAGAACTCGCGCCACAGAGAAAAAGGGGGCGTGCCGATAGCAATGGAGATGCCAAATTTAAAAATAAAAAATTTCTAGGTAATAGTGTAATCGAATGAGAGCAAAAAAGCGGCAGCCAATACCGAGACATCTCGCCTAGGTTAAACGTAGGAGCTTTAAAAATTGCTAGGAGACGATAGAACATTGTTGTCTTAAAAACATTTAAAAATCTTTTGGCCAACTGTATTTACTAAGTTGTCAAAAGCTTTCAAAAAATGAGGTTATTAATCTATGACTGATACTTCAGAACGCCAATGTTTTAAAGTAAAAAATCAAACCAGTTGTACTTTATTTAGCTTTTTTTGCACCCAAGCTCCCCATAAATAGTTATCATTTCGGTATAATCATCAAGGAAAACATTATTTATAATAACTTAATTTATTACCTAATACAATATTAATGACAAAAGTAAAGATTGACAGCATTGTCAATAATAACTTAATTTATAACCTAATAGGTATAATATTAATGACAGGAGTAAAGATTGACAGCAGTTTTACAATGAATTGGATTCCAGTGGACCAAATATTTAATAATAATATATATAATACTTTTTAAGAAAATTTTAACACAAAAATATTTTTTTTACCTGGATAATTAAAAATATAAACCATTTTTAATATTTGTTTTATATTTTTTGTTTTTTCTTCTAGAAAACAAGTAAAATTTACTTGTTGTATAGTGGATGAGGCCTCCCAGTGCAGTGAGCTTGAATGTTTAGCCCCCACTCAACTCGGAATAGACAAATTCGTTTTAGTCGGAGACCCGAAACAGTTGCCAGCCCTGGTAAATAACCCGGTATGTTCATAACATAAAAAAACATTTCTCCTAATCCGAATATTATTTTGTATTTGTAGCAAGCCTCGACTTTGGGATACAGCAAATCCCTTTTTCAGCGAATTCTTGAGAACTTCCACAGAAACACGCCGGTGAGAATGTTGCGCCATCAGTACAGAATGCACGAGGAAATTTGCCGGTTTCCCAATAACAAATTCTACGATGGGAAATTGATATCGCTTCCTAATTTCGAGAACAAAATCAAGCCGGCCATTAAACCCTACTTGGTGTTTGCGATTAAAGATCAAAAAGAGAATTCTCTTAAGACTCAGTCGCTGTACGAAAACGAAAAAGAAGTCGCTTTTGTTAAGGAGTTGATTAGAGTTTTAACATCATCGCAAATTACCTCAACTTGTCCATACACCATCGGTGTTTTGACGCCATATTCTGCTCAAAAGAAAAGGATTATTCAGGCTTTAAGTGAATTTAAGTAAGAAGACAACACACTTCATTATTTTTTTGTTTTAATTACTGGGTTAAGCTTATTCTCTTAAAATATTTATTTTAAAGTTTTTGTATAGCTAAATATTTTTTGAATATTAATTGTTATTAAATGTTTATTGGCTTTGAGCATCCGGCCATTATATTAATAATTAAGGATTACACAGCCACACAAAAAAAAAGTGTCGTGATCTGGGGATGCGACATATGCTTTCCTATGGATTTTGACGCGCTGAATCCGAATCCGATGTCAAAATTTGTCCTCCAGGTCCGCGTTTCAACCTAACCTCAAAAAACGTGAAAAAAATAGTATTTTCTGTTCTGGGGATGAGGCATGTCGATTCTTATGTTTTTCGATGCATTGAATGTAAATAATCCCTCAGAATCGATCGCACACGTTGTTATTTTGACTCTAACCTCGAAAAAACGCAATGAAATGAAATATACTGAAATTGTGATATACTGCCTTGAAGGCTAGTTTTTTTTTGAAAGCCTATATCAGCGGAGTCTCATTCTTACAGTTGACGTAAACTAACTTTAACTCACCTAACCTAACCTTAAATCACCTAATTTAACCTAAACTGGCCTTATATAACCCTTATCTTCTATCGCAGATTTTACTATTCTGTAAAAAGGTAAATTTTAACACGATAAGCAATGTCTTTACAACGAAATGAATATGAAATTTACTGTTTTATTGTCTCTATTTTTGGATTTCTAGAAGAACCAGTAACCAGGGCACCAGGGCAGGCACAGAAAGAAAGTGTTTTACGATGCAGGGATTCGGAACCCCAGTATCGTAAAACACTTTCTTTCTGTGCCTGCCATGACGGCATGAACGCCGTTTACCCAGGGACTCAGCCGGTATGGATCCGTTGCCCACCGTCACCACGTGGAGGTGCCCTGGTTACAGGCACAAGCGAAAAATGCTAAAATGGTCAGCGATATCATTATGTTCACCCATTCTTCTAGAAATCCAAAAATAGAGAGAATAAAACAGTAAATTTCATATTCATTTAGTTGTAAAGACATTGCTTATCGTGTTAAAATTTACCTTTTTACAGAATAGTAAAATCTGCGATAGAAGATAAGGGTTATATAAGGCCAGTTTAGGTTAAATTAGGTGATTTAAGGTTAGGTTAGGTGAGTTAAAGTTAGTTTACGTCAACTGTAAGAATGAGACTCCGCTGATATAGGCTTTCAAAAAAAAACTAGCCTTCAAGGCAGTATATCACAATTTCAGTATATTTCATTTCATTGCGTTTTTTCGAGGTTAGAGTCAAAATAACAACGTGTGCGATCGATTCTGAGGGATTATTTACATTCAATGCATCGAAAAACATAAGAATCGACATGCCTCATCCCCAGAACAGAAAATACTAATTTTTTCACGTTTTTTGAGGTTAGGTTGAAACGCGGACCTGGAGGACAAATTTTGACATCGGATTCGGATTCAGCGCGTCAAAATCCATAGGAAAGCATATGTCGCATCCCCAGATCACGACACTTTTTTTTTGTGTGGCTGTGTTATTTTTGACCAAATTCTTTTTTGTAGATTTGCCAGTAATATCACGGTAAACGTAAACACAGTGGATAGTTTTCAAGGACAGGAACAGGACATAGTTATTATTTCATGTGTCAGACATTCGACAAACAATTTCTTGCAAAGCACAAATCGGTTTAACGTTGCGTTGACTAGAGCCAAACAGGCTTTATATGTTATAGGAACCTACAATTTGTATAAGGTGAGTACTTTACATTATTTATAAATAAAGTCTCCAAAAAGGCTTAAAAAAACATATGGTAGGGGATGTAATTTTTTCTAAAATAGATATTTTAAAAATTACATTTATTTGGGATTATATGATATACCTTGTTCGATTTTTTGCAAATATTTACGTTATTCCAAAAAAACTGGGGCAGTCCCAAGAATGTTTTATGTTTTATATCAGTTTTTTTGTGATCAGTTACGCCATTTTCAAAATATGTTTAATCAGAAAAAGCACTTTTTTGTCGGAAAAAAAATATTTTGTTATGCCATGTCTAGAATATATACTGCCCGTCAAAATTAACGCATAATAAGTAAAAAAAATTCTAACTCTAAAACGCCTTTACCAATCTTTATGAAATTTTGTATAAAAATACTTCAACTTATATCTCAGTTTACGTGTTCGAGGGTTTTTAGAGAAAATATTTTTATAGCCCTTTTATTTAATAATAAAAAACGTTCAAAAAATAACTTTTAGGGAATTTTTTTTTAACTAAATAAAAAAATGCTGTTAAAGACCGTATTTTTATTAGTATACCCTGAAAATTTTGTACAAAACAAACAGATACAGCGCTTCAAAGTAAAAATGACCCATTTTTGGTTATATTGCTGAAAAATGGTCATATTTGACGACTTTACAAAATTTTCAGGGTATACTAACAAAAATACGGTCTTTCACAAAATAGTTTTTATTTACTAAAAAAAAAATTTCCCTATAAAAGTTTTTTTTCGAGCGATTTTTATTATTAAATAAAAAGGCTTTAAGGATATTTTTTCTAAAAACCCTTGAACACGTAAACTGAAACGCCTTTACCAATCTCTATGAAATTTTGTATAAAAATACTTCAACTTATATCTCAGTTTACGTGTTCGAGGGGTTTTCGAGAAAATATTTTTATAGCCCTTTTATTTAATAATAAAAAACGTTCAAAAAATAACTTGTATGGAATTTTTTTTTAACTAAATAAAAAATGCTGTTAAAGACCGTATTTTTATTAGTATACCCTGAAAATTTTTAATAAATCTAATGGAATTAAGCACATATTAACTTATTTACATTAAAACTATGCATTTAAAAAAATCTCACGTGAGATTAAGGGAGGGGGAGGGGGTCGAGCAAAATCTCACATCTCAGGAGGGGGTCGAAAAATCGCAAAAATTGCCTCACGTAATTAATGGATGCCCCCAAAGCAATGACCGTAGTTTCTACAATTTTACAAATTTTCTCGTGATTTTTTATATAAAGACGTGAAAACATACTCTATTCGATGCTGTATAGTTTGTTTAATAGTATATTATTATACGATAGATATTGCAGGCTAATATTCACGAGGATGAGGTTTATGACTCGAGTCGCCAGGCGAGAGACCTAAATCATTCTAGTAAATATTGCGCATAATCTCGAGTGTAATACTATAATTTATCTACTCCAATAAGTAGATAATTAAATGATTTTCAAAATTAAATAAATAAAATCTGACATCTGTCAAATGCTTAACCTTACTTTTTACCCATTTTAAATATTATAGTCGCCTTCTTCCAATTTAAAACCCGATTGGTTCAAATCACAGTGAATACTGAAATCGGCCAATCACTGATGCCTAACAACGTGAATAGTGAGTTTATTATTCACGTTGTTATGGAGGAAATTTATAATGCTTTACAATATTCACGGAAAAACACCAAAATTATGCAATAGGAGTAGATAAATAAAATTATAATTACATACCAAAAAAAAGGCAACAAAATCGTTGAACTTTTCGCCTTAAAGGGTTATTTTTTTTCCATTTAGAAGCAATTATGTGCTACAAAGGCAAACAATATGTTGGGTTAAATTGCATTAAAAATATTCAAAACACAAATAACCAGAAAGACATTTTTTACCCCTTTAACCATTACTAACTGTTGATATTTTTTCCGATTTTATAATAATCATTTTAAATATTTTATAGCACAACCAGCTACTGTATGAACTAAGAGAAGATGCAAAAGTAAGAAAACTTCTAATAGATTTCCAAGGAATTTCATCAAAACTTGCGGATTATTTACGTAAATACATATTTATGTAAATGATTTTCCAATGTGAAGTTACTCACTCAGCTGACCTGTGATACTTTTAGTTCAAGATTTGTTTTAGTTACTTAATTTGTTTTCTTGTTTTAATTTTAGTTAAAGTTAAAGCTAATGTGCCAAATAGCTCTTTTTGGATTGTTCTTTCTACCTTTTTTAAGAGAATTTCATCTTGATTTTGTTTTGTTTTGAAGCATTCCCATAATTAAAACTTAGTTTAAATTTACACAAAATAATATTTTGCTAATATTATTTAATCTCACTTCAATGTAAATGTATATTATTATTACATAATACAGCCATGTAAATATTGTAAATTACTTTTAAAATGTACTAATTATTTGGTATTTATTAACCCACAAGTAATATTTTGTATAAATGTTAACAATAAAGATACTGTATTTTCTTTAAGCCTTTTATAATTTAAACTTTATTATTGTTGTCAACACTCACTACTAAAGTGATTAGGTAAAGTTATTAGGTAGGTATGTATCAAGTTGTATAACCCCAATTTTAGTTCAAGTTTAATTAGGCACGAGCGAAGCTTGCAAGCGAGTCGTTGATAAAAACGAGTGTAGGGAAGTTTATATAAACTGGTTGCTATACTTTATCTAAGTCGAACAAAAAAAATAATTTAAGGCCAATTTTATTTTTTAAACATTTGACATCTGACAAGTATCAGTTGAAAACTTGTGTCTAGGAGTAGATAATAGTTATTTACGATATAAGTGGGATAAGAGCTTTATTAACGTACGCATGCGAAATTTGCCCAACGAGTGCGTAGCACGAGTTGGGCAATCGCAAAAGTACGTTAATAAAGCGTTATCACACGTATATTGTACAAATTTTTATCTACGCCTCTAAATGAAAAAATAAACGGTAATTATTTTTGTCTAAGACTTAATTTAGGGTTATTTTGACATTTTGACTTTTTTATTTGATTGGTTAAAAACAGAGAAAAACGCGTGCGTTAATGAACTTCTTATCTCACTCAAAATGAGTGGGATAAGAAGTTATTATCTCACTGGCGTAGATAAAATAATTTAAACCAATCGGGTTTTTAACTCCTAGGCTGGACCAATGAAAAAATAAGATAATTATCTAAAAGTAGAAAGTTAGGTAGATCTGACAGTTAACTGTAACTGTAATTACTATTGTTATTTTGTTTTTTTATACATGTATGTATCGTTTAACAAATAAGAAGACGCAGTGACATAAATAGGTAACTATAGTTATATATAATTAAAAAATTTAATAATCTTAACCTTTAATTTTACTTTAATGATAAGATAAGAAACTGGCATTTTTATGCCAATAAAATTTATAGACACAATTGTTTATTTGATACAATAAATCTATTTGTAAAAAGCTGCTAATCAATTATGTTGTTTCTGTTAAAAATAAAACACCGAGTTGCCGGTGCGCAAAAGTGTGAAAATCAGTAGGAATTTACATAAAAAAAATGTCCAATGTTTGTTGTTGGATTTCGTCAAATTTACAATCATTTCAAAGAACCAATATTTTTAATGAGATAATATAAAGTAGTATTTTTTAAACATTACTGTTTTAGCCCAAAAAATAATTATTTATTTTATTATGTGTGTAATTATAAAATGATATATGGGCAAATTTTCGTTAAATGTACATTTGTTGTCCCCAGCTAATTTAATTTTTATTTTTGACTTTTGTTGATAAGTTTTGTATTTATTATATTTAGTATTGTTTAAACATTACTGTTTTAGCCCAAAAAATAATTATTTATTTTATTATGTGTGTAATTATAAAATGATATATGGGCAAATTTTCGTTAAATGTACATTTGTTGTCCCCAGCTAATTTAATTTTTATTTTTGACTTTTGTTGATAAGTTTTGTATTTATTATATTTAATTTTAATTTTTAATTACTTTGTGTTTCTATATATGGCAGAAACACAAGGTGAAATGTCCTGTAACTTAACTGTCCCCAGAGACGATTTTTTAATTTAAATTATTATATTCTTGTTCTTTGCAGCTTTTTTCTGAAAAAATTAATTATTTTTGAACAATGGAAAGTTCTTTTATTCGTATATATTATTATTATTATTTTTAATGTGCTTTCAACAGGCGCCAGGCCCAATTACAGAAATACACAATGGCAAACACAAATAAACAACCATACATAGGTACCCCACGACCTCTCGGCTTGTAGTCCGCAGTGCTAACTACTACACCACCGAGGGCGGTAGTGTAGTTAGTTTTCTACAAAGTAGTTTAAACAGAAAAAATTATTAAAGTTGACATTCAAAAATCTTGTCTTTTTCCTAACGTCGTCTTCTATGCCGACTGCTTGGAAATAGAGACACGAGATGAAGATACTATCGTAGAGGGTAGAGGGCATCCAGTTTGATAGTTCGGCAACTATAAGTGAGCACATGTGTTTGATTTTTTTTGTAAATATTTTAAAGGTAATTCTTAAGATTTTTTTGCGTACATTTTTTGGTGTCTTTACAAAACGCCACAATACAACTCTTGTTTTAGAAGTTACCTTTTTTATTTTCATTTTGTATTATAGCGAAAGACATTTTAGTATTTCTGAAAAATAACGTTTGAAAAAGTCAAAAGCAATGTGTCATAAAACGTTCAGGAAGATGCGTTAGGAGGAGGACAATGTTTCATTTCTTCCTTGTGTTCCTTTCCTATTTCAGATAAACCCTATAAGTTTTATTTCTTTAAAGTTTATTTTTGTTATTTATAAACTTCTAGAATTTTTTTGCAGTCTATTACACTGTTCTATCACAAAGGAAAAAAAATCGATTAAATTGACCTGCCTGGACAAAATATATATACAAAATGTACATTTAACGAAAATTCGCCCATATGATTTTATAATATAAACAAATTTAATTTTATTATTTATAAAACGCCTTATTAAATAGTCTAAATTACACACAGTGTGTTTCATTTTGAATGGCGACTATTCGGTATTTATTTAAAAATATTCCGATTTTAAAAACTTTTGTTTTTATTTTGTAGTAGTCGAAAGTAAAAAATGTCATATGTCATTTCCATGGCCCTCTATGAATAGTAGAATTTTTAAATTAAAAAAACCGATATCGTTTCTGAGTTTGGCATAACTAAAAACCCTAAAACGATAATTTTGTATTAAAATTGTGTACAGGATGGACAAAAAGTAAGGTAACATTTGGAAAAAAACTCAATTTTTTTAAGCACTGTATAAATTCTAGCAAAGATTTTTGCAAAAACATTCCGTCATTTCTTTAGATCTATATTACACGAACTACTCATTCGCTTAGTTTTGTTACTCTAGCTTATTAAAGTCAAAAATTATAAAAATAATGGTATATTAAATAGAAATATTAATTTAATTAGAGGCATAATATTAAAGAATAAACTATACACAAATGTGTACCGGTACTAGATTACTTTTAAATAGTCCATTCATTATTATTTTGTCTCTAATTAGATTAATATTACTGTTTAATGTATAAGATAGAGTAACAAAATTAAGCGAATGTGTAGTTTGTGTAATACCTAAAGAAATGACTGAATGTTTTTGCAAAATCTTCGCTAGAATTATTTCCAAATTTGACCTTACTTTTTGGCCATCCTGTATACAATTTTATTACAAAATTATCGTTTTAGGGGTTTTTGGGCATGCCAATTGGCATTTAAATTCAGAAACTCTATCTGTTTTTAAATTTTAAAAATGCCTGATAACTTTTGACGTTTTTGGACACCTTCTATTAATCATAGAGGGCCATGGAAAAGACATGACCATTTTTTTTTCAAAATTAACTACAAACTAAATTTTGTTAAATCGGTTTATTTTTAAATAAATACTGAATTGTCACCAATGAAACACACTGTAGATACTTAAAATTGCACGTATTTTTTATATATACACTGGTTTTTAAACTTCTATAGATACTCGCTCGTAAGCTTTGTAGAAATTATTAAAAGTATTTTTAAATTTAACGTTTCCTTTGTTAAACGATACGATAGGTACGTTTTCTGACCAAACATCTCATTAAATCCAACACTTAATTAGTTCCACACCAACACAAAATCTCTCAAGAATCCCCGACGCACGCTGCATTTCTCTGAAAACCTCTCGGACACATCGTCGAGATGGCGTTGATATCTCGCCGCAGTGGTGAGTTTAAACGGCGCCGGTTTGGCATCGCGACGCCACCACCTTAAAACATTCGCAGTGCCAGTGTCAAGAGACGACGCGCCCACTACGCGAGTCCGCGCCACATGGAAAATCTGAACACGCAACTCAAAAAATAAGTATTTTTCGGCGAGTGTCATTTCATTAAAAACTCAAGAGTGAGGTGATTTTTGGTTCTAGTTTTATGTGACTTTTTTACAACGGATTATGAGTGTATTTTTAATTGAGTAAGTCATGTTACAAATTAGGTTATATTTTTAATAACAAAGCAAATTTTGAATTTCTTAAAAATAAAAATGATTTTATTTTATTGGAATATTTTATCGTCTTTTGTATCTAATTTTATTTTTATGACTTTCTATAAGTTTTTGGCAACCACAATACCTTTTTTATTTAAAATATGAAAAATATAGAATATAAAATTATCAGTCAAAATTATTTTTGTTTTTTGATCTTCTCAATTTTAGGAACACAAAATATAGTAAACACAATTTAAAACAATGGATGCTCCATTTTCACACTTTTCAAAATCTCGTTGTCTCATGTGACGTCATAGTTTCGATTCGGTGACGTCATGTAGAACGCTACATTAAATAGAAGAACATGCGCGCTTCGTGTTTTTTTATTCGTTTAAGCAGCTCAATTTAGTGCCAAAAGAATATTTATGATTCACTATTTTTGAAGATCTTGGCATTGTGTGCGGTCTTCTTTTTTATTTTCGTTCGGTTTTATTTAGGAAGTGGGGCTCTCAAGTATACCGCAACATTATTTTAATTAATGCAATTTTTTATTTCGAGTCTATTTTGTTTATTTCATGCGAGTTATATTAATTGTAATTTTTGTCAATTTGGGTCATTGTCAAAAATTCACACAGGATTTTTCAATGGCATTGGTGCCAAATGTTTAAGTATATAGCAGGTGGATCCCACTTGGCAAGAAATGTAACAGAAACCCTAAAAACGTTTTCGTACTGTTATATTTTAAACACTCAAATTTAAACGTTCCTGTTTTGTATTCTGAACGTAAGCATAATCATGCCAACAAGCTATACAATACATAAACGTTACTGTATCGTTTTACCTTTACCCTAACACATTTACG